AGCCGCTACACTGCGGGCCAGCCCAATGTCACTTGGCGCCTGGCGATGGCAACGTGCCTCACAGCAGAGGCAGGGTGGCTGTCCACACCAGATATCATCATGCAAGCAGCTGGAGTCATGTGTTCCCTGTAGATGAACAGACACACATGTTATACACATACATGTCACGCGTGTAATGTTCAATGCTGCTTTGGCATGGGGACCAACTGGATGACTAACTGGATATTTTGCCAGGAGCCATCGCCAGCTGGCTACTGCAACACCACAGACATAGAACTCGCAATGGAGGTGTGCGCGGTTTCTTGCTTCAGCACCCGGTTGGATGCGATCACAGTACCATGGCTTGGCCATTTGACACGCAATGCAGGCCGCTGGCACCACCCTGCAGATTGCATCTGACGAGCGGCCGGTGGAGTTGCCAGAAACCTGGATTTGGAGCCCAGCTGGCTGCTTCAGCTAGCTGCTGGAGTGCAACCGCGCGCGCTGTGAGGCGGGTCTTGGACATTGAGGTGGTGGCTTGGGCCCTACGTGAGAGTCCCTCGCTGGGGAGGCTGAATTCGGCATGTGTCAGGTGTTCAACCGCTGGGGCATCGGGGCCTCTTTGATGGTCCAGGCGGAGCATTTGGCTTCCAAGATGCCTCAAACTGAGCAAAGAAAGCTGCAACCTCGAGGTGAACATCAGCCAAGTGCCGCAGCCTTCCTTGGACATCTCTGCGTCTCCGTGGCTCTCTTAGTCACCGAGTGTGGCTTGCTTCCTGCCTTGGACGCTCCAGGCTGAACGCAACTCCCTTCCATGGCGTGGCGCTGCGTGCAGACGTGAAGCAGTTGGCACCACAGAGACGGCACGGCTTTAGGCAAGCGAGGCACATCAGCCAGCTCTGCCGAGGTCTGGCTGCCTACAAGCACCTCTGTCTTACTCCTGGAGTTTGCTTTCCGCGCGGGGCTTGGTGCCAACTCACGCGCTGCGGGGTGAGTTGCTGACTTCCAAGGTTTCGGCTTCGCCGGCTGTGACTCCAAGCAGCTCTCAGGCACTTTGCAGCCGCAGAATCTTTCACATGTGGACTATTCGTAGCAAGACGGCCAGGCAATGGAAGACCGTGCTTGGCAAATCTGGGAAAGGCCAGTGACGACCAAGCATGACCAGACACTTGTTGGGAACCCGTGGAACCTGTCAAATGCCCCAAATTGGGGCTTCGCTCACGATCCGATGCCAGCCCTGCGGGCGGCAGTCAGCTTGCCATCGGGTGGAACTCGCTGGATACTGAGTTCGACGGTTTCACACTGCACCCTTTGGCTCGAATACAGGGGCGGGGGGGGGTCATTTCTGAGGGTGCCTTTCTTGGTTCGTTTTGCTTGGTGGTATTTAAAGAGAAAAACGGCAGGAAAACCACAACTTTGGGGGGTTTCCCACAAAAACACCCCCCTACGCTGCAATGTGAGAAGCGTCAGATTTGATGGGTGGCCCTGTGCCTTTCATGGCTTCACTGAGGCCAAGCCTGCTCTTTCCGCCTTTGTCGCTGGCAGCTCTAGCCTCGGATTGCGGGTTGGCTGGAAGTGGCGGTCGGGCGCACCTGATAAAAAACCTCGAAGCCTTAAGACACCCGGATCATGTCGAGCAAGTTGCTTGCCAGAAAAAACACACACAAAGAAAACACGAGTTTGGTTTGGCGATCACCGGATGAGTGACTGCGGGCTTTTGGTTTGGGCTCCACACGTGCGGGATGTCGTGAGCTCAGCTCGTGCCAGCAAAGTGAAGTGAGCCACGAAAAAGACCCAGACAATTGCAGGGTTGTAAGGGACAATCCCAGCCATACATGGGTGCCGCCACCTTTTCAATTCTTTGCATGGTTCTGGTAGACCAGTTGAATACCAGGTTTTGATTCTGACTCAAGTGATTCCAGACTAGAAGTAGTCGCTCAAATCAAATCGACAGCCAATCGGCTTGAAACAGACAATGAGTATCATTGGTATGAGGCCTTCGCCTCTGCTTGTAGTAGCAGAATGTTGCCGCAGCCTCCAGTCGACGCCCTCTCCTTGGCACTGGGCCAGGCTTCGCCTGGCCAGTGTTCCCTGCATTTGGCTCAAGGATGCTCTCGCCGCGCTTTTGGACGAGAAGTGCTCCCTGGCCAAGGGTTGAGGCGTCGAGGAGTCAGAGCTCGCTCCCTTGGGCCCTGTGCAATCTTCGCCCTCACGTCGCAGCTTCTGCCTTGGCATCCGCTCCATGGGTACGAGGGGCAAGAGAACGCGCCCGGCGTGCCCGGCGGCGGGCGTTGACCGTCCACCTGCCTGGCACCGACATCCCCTCGCTGGCCCCGCCTGCGCATCATGGCCCAGAGGAGAGAGCTCGGAGGATGGTGCTGGCGGAGATTCCGGGATTTATACCCCACAAGGGGCGAATGGAGTCTCTCTTGGAGCAAGGGCTGCAAGCACTGTGCGATGGCCGCGGGCATGAGGCGAAATCGTTGTTCGCCAGCGCTGTGTTGGCAAACCCGGCTGATGCCAATGCGCTCTTCGGCATGAGCAGCCCATCTTGCAACATCAAGCTTTTTTCTTGGGTGTCTTTTGTGTGTGCAGTTTGTTCAAGACTGACTGGTAGCCGCCAAGGCTTGTTTCACGAAGTCATGCATCAGTTTGAGCCGATGATCCAATGGCTGGATGCCACCATTGAAGCAGATCCAGGTCACATAGGTGCCTGGGAAGTGCGCTCTCGCTGCCGAGAGCATCAGGGCCGGTTGGCTGAGGCGCTCGCTGGCTACGAGCATCTGGCAAATTTGGATGCATCTTGTGCCCGTCCTTTTGAGGCGCTGCTGGAGCAACAGGATGTGCACCTGATACCCCTGGACGTGTGGACTGAAGCCGAACCTGCGATTTCGGAAGAACAGCGTGTCTTGGGGTCCAGGCGCATGGGGTTCAAAAGTGTGAGGGGTGTTTGAATTGCGAATCTCGCGGATCGCATCTCATGGCCCTGCAGGCCCGTGTTGCAGTTGTGGCAGGAGAACTTTTTGCGACCGCTGCCTGTGCCAGAGCCAAAGCAAGCGATACTGAAACGAGGAGTCGCGGCCTGGGACAACGTGCTCTGCGAGGAGCTCCTTGAGTAGCTTGGCATAGCTTGGTCTTTCGAATTCGGCTGGCGCTTTGTGCCTTGATTTGTGCGCGGGTTGGGCGTTTCAGCTGCCTAGGTGCTTGGATGGCTGTGTCGAAGACCACTTTCGCTACATCTTCAGCAACCGGCGCGTCTTCTGGGCCGATGAGGCGTACGCTGGCCCTGCGGCAACCATGTGGTTTGCATTGGGTGAGCCTGCCCAATCTGCTCCTGAAGTGGTGGCACGAGCCATTTTACAACATGTGCTGCAAGAGGATCCCTCTGACTTTGCCGGAGTGGAATACTGGGCACGTGTGAGGTCATTCAACCTCGGCGCATCATTTCATTACGACTCTGCTGTGGGTGCGCAGGATGAAGAGTCTGAGTGGGTCAACGGAAACCCTTGGCGCCCACAATGGTCTTGTGTCCTCTATTTGACCGACGGAGGACCAACCGTGGTTCTAGATCAGCAGCTTTCGCAGGCGGACCACCTGACACCGGAGCTGCCGCTCACGGGGCACGTGTGCATGCCTGCGCGCAATCGCCTGTTGGTTTTTCGCGGCGACTTGCACCACGGGTCCCTGCCGCTGGGCGTGTGGCTGGACAGCGACCGCCAGCGCCGCGTCTTCATCTTCAACTTCTGGCGGCGGCACCGGCCCGAAGCGCCGGACTGCCAGCGGCCGCAGCTGGAGCGACACCTGGCCATGCAGCGCCACAAGGTGAACCCAGGGGCTTTGGAGGAGATTGCTCGCATGCTGTGGAGGGTTGATCAATATATATATATATATATATAATATACATATGTGTGTATATATCAATATTCCGTTTGGCCCCCGCAAAAATGACCATGGGTAACTAATTTTCCATTTGGGAAGTAGCATTCGTTTGATTTTTTTTTTTTCCGGCCAATGGTCCTCCCATGTTCATCTTAGCTTTTGAAGAGCCCCCGCATTTTCAAAGCAAGAGGCGTGGAGCGCATGGCCATTTCAGGAGCTGGCAGATGCTCACTTCCGCAGCGGCCAGCTGAGCCCACTGGAGCCACAGATGCTGACAGCGCCCGAGGAGATGCCGCAGTCCTCGGACTTTGGGTACTTGCCGGTTGCTTTGCCCATGCCGTCCATGGAGAAGCTGCAAGAGGGTGCTGGCTTCTTTAAGTTGGACTGGGCCAAAGCAGCCCAGGCGGTGAAAACTGGCTGAGTCCGTGTGGTTCGCTCGGGCTCGCCGTATGGCGGACAGGTGTCGGAGGGGCTTGTAGGAGGCGCTCTTTCCCGAATCGATTTGCTTCACCTTCTCGGGCGCGTCAATTGCGCCCCCCTCCTCCCTGGCGAGCGTTGGCCCAGCGGCCAAGCGGCCAAGTGGCCCAGGCCGGAGTCATCTACACCTTTGAGCTGGAAGTCAAGCCGCTGACCAGCTTGCCGGCACCCTGGGAGAGAGGGGTCGCATGGCATCGGCGTGTCGCAGAGCACGCTTTTGAGAACCCACGCCAGGTTCGGCCGGGGTCAGAAGTAAGGGATGCAGAAGAAAGGCATTTGAAAGGTGGATGTTTGCTTGAGCATTTGTTTCAGTGTTGACTTGCTTCCTTTCCGCTTGTGACCCTTCAACAGGTCGTCGGGCCATTTCTCCGTTTGGGCATTTGGTGTGAGGGTGATTGACTGTCAGGCCCGGCTACGCAGCGGCAACAGCCATAGATGCGCCGCCCCTGGCTCTTTCAACCGCTTGTTTTGGCAGGAATTCATTTCATGAAGGGTTCATTGCGTGTCCAAGGTTCGTGTAGACCCGTCACCACTACAAATGGCTTTCCAGCAGCCGCTGTCTGTGATCAGGAGCTGCGCCTTTGTCTAGCAGCCATGTGCAGTTTGTTGGCAAGAACCCGGTGGAGGTCGCCCGCGTTTCTCGGTGGCATGTTGCGAAGGAGGTCCGAAGATGCCGAGATCGACATGGCGCCGTCCTTTGACCCGGACAACCCTGAGGCGAGTTTTCGTTCGACTCAGGGGGGTGGAGTGAGAGCCCTGAAGGCGTTGCTGCCCACGCCGGCGCCTAAGGGTTGCATCATAGCTGAAGGACTGTCCGCAGCCTTCCATCAGGCCCAGCTGGAGCTGCAAAGCGCTGGAGCCGGAGGATGCGTGTGATGGCCTGGCGCAGGTGGCTTCAGAGAGGCGAGGGCCCCCACTTCCGGCCTGTCAGTTCCGTGCCAGGTGCTGGCAGCGGGCATTGCAAACTGCACAGACTCAGATGCAACAGCTGGGCGGCCCAGCGACACATTCTTAAATGGGTGTGGCTCAAAATCAAACAGCGGGGGTTCCGCAGGTTTTGGTTGCTATTTTTTCATGTACCAAGGTGCTATTGCGGGTACCATTGCCATTGCGGGTACCGTTGCCATTGCGGGGATTCAACTTTTTGAGCCACAGCCAAATGTTTGCAGAGAGGCGGTTCCTTTGAAGGCTTTCGCGTGCAGACCTTCGCCTTCCGCATTGCTGGTGCGCGGAATCCTCCGCGCGGGGGTGAAAGTCCAGCTCGTGGCCAAGGCTACGGTTTTTGCGGGCGCTGCAGGTCGTATCCCACAAGCCTTGGATGCAACTCATTTGGGCATGGGTCAAAATTAAGCCAGGATATGGACCGCAGATTTTAGTCCATGTGTCCATTTACCGGGGCAACCCATTTTGGGTACCTATTCTTGACCCACAGCCATTTCTTAGAATGCCCATGCTTTCTCGCCAGAGCCAGTGATGCGGTTCAGATAGGTGATGCTTTTGAATTGCGCAGGTTGCTGCGGACATTGTGCCATCAACTGACGTTTGGTGGAGGAGTCGCGGCCCCAAAGCTCACCTGCTTCTTGTCGCATCAGCTGACACTAACGCCTTTAATGAAATTGCTGTTTGTGCTCAAGCTGCAGTGGTGGTTTCTGGGGGTGCTTGTTTTGCGATGCAGTCTGGATGCCGTTGTCACGGTGCTGCTGTGAGTGCTGGTCAGGGTGCTGTTTGGTGTGCTCAAGTCAAGGTGGTGCAGTGGTTGCTGGTGCTTGTCTGGTCAGGCGGTCAGGGTGCTCTGGCGGGTTGTCCATGGTTGTTCAAAGTCAGGCAGGCTTAGATCCCACGATGCAGTAAGTTTGCAAACTCGAGCCTCAGAGTACTTGACTGAGAAGCCTTTTGCGGAGTATGTGTTGAACACCTGACGCGGGGCACACTCACCAAGATTGCCGCAAGAACATATGGGGGTTACTCACAGCAAATTTAGGGGAAATGCAATGAACATTGACCAATAACTCAAGTACATGAGAGTGAGAAGGTGGTGTCAACTTAGTCGATTGCATCTGTGAACCAGCGGTTTATCGCAATGAAGTTCCCGTCCTCAGGCTCTTGGATCTGGCTGAACACTTGTGAGGTATGCTGCTGTGGCATTCCGTGCCTGATCTCCTAAACAGCGCTTACGCGAAAGCCGCTGTCTCCTGTTCTGAGTGCATAAAACAGAAATGACCACGTGCAAACATAAATGAAGCTTTGTAAGGGCAGGTTGGTAGAGTACCCATGTTCTCTCAGAGCAAAACTAAACATTCCCGCAGAATATATTGAGGCAAATACTTGATGCCAGCATGGCCGTTTCACAGCCATTGCACATCCAATGCATCCGCTTATAGGGTGTCTGGTGTCTCACTTCCATGCTTGTTGGCGTGCAACGGGGCTTGTCTTTGAATTCACGACTCCCCCTAGCATGTCCCTCAGCCCGTGCCAAAAGAGACGCGCTGTTCAGGCCCATCGCTGCTTCTTCGGGAAGCCACGGCGTCGGCAGAGGTGGTGGTCCTCGAGGAGAGAGGCTCACCTCTTGCCGGGGGATGGTATAGGCTTCTCTCCTAGAGCAAGAGCAGCCCATGGGATGAAAGGTAGGGTGTCTTGGAATCTGCTTTGAAGAGCGTTGATGTGCTGCCCACGCCGCATCAGGACACATCCCTTGCGCCCGCACCCGACAACTGTGATTCAACCTTGCGTGCCAAGCGAGTGCAATTGAGGTTGCAGCCAATTACAGTCTGGGGCCAAGTAAGTGGAGCTGTGGCAAGTCCCTTTGCCGGGCGAGCTGGCATGGAACCCGTCAGAGATCACTTTCGACGGAGGCTTGGATCGTGTCTCTTTCGCGGTTCCGCCTTAGCGAACACCAGCCGCTTCGTTTGGAGGCTCGCAGTGTTTGCTCGCGATTTTTGCATCCTCAGCCAGATCTGAAAAAGCCTTTGCGCTTTCCGTTGCGGGCGTGGCCGAGCTCCAGGGATTCGGCGTCGACGAAGCAGCAGCAAGTGCTGCAGGCTTGGCGCAAGCTGCAGTTTCTCTAGCACACCTTCAGCGATTCCAGAGGATCCCCTTTCAAGCTCTCAATAAGATTGCGAATTTGCAATAGTGCAGGTGCGTCTGTGCTGGGCAGCTATGGCAATCTTGCCTACAGCTGGGCAACTTGATCGCTATGGTTTTCTGGCAATGCTTTGTCAACCTTGGCATTTGCACAGCCTTCAACATGAAGGCACACGCCTGAAGCCGCGTTATTGGCACGGGTCACACGCTGGGTGAGCGCATGGTTCCCAGGAAGTGGAGAGGTTCAACTCCAATCCAGTGAGCCTTGTCTGCATTGATGAGTGTTGAGTGCTACAACATGCCTTATGCCTTGGCTGACTATACAAGTGGAGAACGGCCTGAGATCCAAGGTGGGATGCAACCAGAGCTGTGCTTGAGGGGGACAGCTACCAGGTGCTCACGAGCTGTTTGCGTTCTAACTTTGTGCTGCGTGCTCGCGCCAATCACAGCAGGTTCCTCGAGAGATCTACTCAGCGGTGCCCAGCACGCAGGCGTCATTCCTCCCGGTTTTTGGTATTTTGTGGACACCGTTGGGCACTACATGCAAGCTTTGCAAACCTTTGGGCCCTCGCAATGGATTTTCCATTAGTGACGGGCTCACTCACTTTAGCTAGCGTGTTACCAGAGTGATGATCTCTAAGAGACAAGTTGTGCGTGACAGGCACGTCTGACAAACGTCTCTGCCGGCAGTTCACTGGTGCTGCTTGGCAGCACCGTGGCACTGGGCGCTTTTGGAGCACGGCCCAAATAATGGGCTCAAGGCAAATACCATTTGCAGCAGCATTTGGGTATGTTTTTTTGAGGGTACCCCATTTTCGGCGGCTTTTTCCAGGGACGCCAGGGACTGGGGGGGTGCGAGTCCCAAAAAAAACCGGACGCGCGCCCTCTCCGCAAGCCGATGCCGCCGGAGGCTGCCGGCGAAGTCGCTGGCCGCAGGCGCCCAGTACCGCTTTGTGCTGAAGGTCTCGGACCGAGACGACCCAGCCAGGCGCAAGGGGAGCTGCGTGTCGCTGTGGCAGAAAGTGGAATGATAGAATAATAGAAGTTAAACTACTTTAGAATTCGTCATAGTTGGCGAATGACAGAGGACAGAAACTGAGTGAGGTCGTTGCGTTGCTTCGATGTTCAGTTGCATGGCGCCCCTTCAGCGCTCCACAGAAAGCTACAATATTTTTGGACATGGGGCGCATGTGATTTGACCACAGGTTTGCTGTCGCGGCTGTTGAGATCAAGGCCGTGCATGCATGTCACCCTGCTTCGACACAATGGCTTAAGAAACGACAAGCTCAATGAGCGGTGATCACAGGTGGACATATCACTGCCTGAGGTGATTCAAAGCCAACCTCTCCAAGGATTGCTACGAGTCACGCCAACACAGGGCACCGCAGGCCTGGTGTGTGTGCAAGTTGGCGCTGAGGCGTTTGCATCGGTTTGCGCATTTTGTCCGCAGAGTTGAAGGTGTTACCAGCTTCGCGCTAGAGGCATATGGATGGGGCGCAGAGGAGGAACACGGGGAGTGGTTTTGCATTTGGGTGCCGGCCGAATTCGACGAATGCTGAGCGACATCCCGATTTCAAAGCGTTGCCCAGGATGGATTGCCGCTGCTGTACGACTTCGGCTACATTGATGACTCAGGCCGTGCACAGGGCTTCATGGCTGTTTAGAAAACGCTTCATTTCACAGGCAGGTGAGAATTGACACTGGCACAGTGGCTTCTCACACTTGTCGCCTGCTTGTCGCCTGCTTGTCGCCCTGATGGTCGCCGCGCAGATGCTTTTCGGCTTGGCGGCGGCTTGAGGGAGATCGGCTTGGGAACTGGTCCGCGCGCGGTGCTGCATACAGCAGATGTGCCTGCAGGCGTTGCCTTGTGTTGTGAGTGTTGGGATGTGGGCAAAATGGTAGGACAACATGCCATGCGCCCGCTTAGGGCCAATTACTGATGAAAGAACCGGGCAAGCAGAGTCAGTTTGCGCTATGCTTTGTGTGCCGCCGACACCAACGGTCGCAACTCTTGGTGCATGTCGGTGCATGGCTTGACAGGCCAGATAACATTCTTCGTGGACGTGTACACCACATGGGGTGGCTCACTTCGAGCCACTGCAGCCGCCACTGTGCATGCGCTGCCACCAACAAGCCAGAGCCTTATACCAACACGGGCAATTTCACAAAGAGCAGCTGCTCACTCACTCACTCCAGGATGTCTGTTGACACTTGCTGTGCCTCCATGCTTTCCTGCATTTTTTTGTTTAGCTGCCCAAAAACGGTTTTGGAGAGAGACCAGCCACTCGGAACCTGCGAAGCCCAGAGCTGAACCGCTCGCCCAGATGCCACGGCGGAGCGAATGCGGGCCATGCTGGCAGAGCTGGACTTGGTGGAGCCGGTGCCTGCCCTGAGAGTCTCGAGTCTCTGATTGCCCAAGGTATCCGGTTATGAGCATCGTTCTAGGCAACGCGCACAAAACACACATGCATGCATGTATGCATTTTATATATATATATATATCTATATCTATAGGCACTTGATATTCAACACTATATTTATAAACGGCACATCGATTAGTAACACACACACACACATTGAAAATATGGAGAGCATAGATAAACGTAGTATTTTGGAAGGCTGCGCCCCACACCAGCTGCTCTGAGACAGAGAGAGCCTTTGGCAAGGACCCTGAGAAGCACCTCCTGCACCCTGTCCCCAGACGCTTTGCCGGAGACAGATCGGAGCAAGCACGCCAAAGCAGAAAAACACAGATGCATATAAGAAAGTTGCGCGCCCAGTCTCGCATCTTTTTGCGCAACTCATCTCGCCCATGATGTGTAACATTTGCTCGCTCAAGCGCCAAATCTTTGCTGGAAAGCCGGCCTTGAATCTGGGAGAAGAGGGGAGGGGGGCGGTACCACGAGTGCACTTTGCTGCGCATGTTCGCGCACAGCGAGAGCTTCGGACTGGTTCTTGGTCCAGTTGTGTGATATGCCAATATGCCGCCGTTACACATTGGCCGGATGCATGCTCGGCCACCTGTTTTGACATTCCTGGTTTGCAAGCTTCGGGGGGGCCACGAACAGTACCTAGGACGCGGACTTGTGAAACTACTGCAGAGTTTGTTCATTTGCCTTTCAGGCCGGCACAGGACGAAGACTCTGACAACTGGCATCGATGAATAGCCCTTCTTGCATGCAGACAGCCTCCCGTGTGCGAAGGCACCGGGGAGGGCACCCGAATGAGAGTCGGCAAATCTCAAGCTGGTGCCGCACAAACGACGACATGGGGCACGGTTTTTGACAAATTGACTGACTCTCATCGAGAATCGATGAGCACCGCTTTTCGGGGCAAGGAGTTTGAGAAAATAGGCCCCTAAATGCCAGCACAAGTGCCACAAGACTGAAGCCCGGACACTGATTGACATGACAGTCTTTGCACATTCCTCAAAGCAACTCCTACATTGTCACACAGGCACCTAAAATCATTTCAGCAAAGGTGATTAAGCAGGGGATGCTTTCGGACGAGCCGACTGATATCTACCTGGAACCAAAGTGAAGCACACAAACATTTGCTAATCCAAGTGGTTTGTTCAGGATTCCGTGACCTAGCAGCGCACCTGAGGATGCAAGCTTAGGAGGCTGAAGCACCTCTCAGGGAGGCTTAGGCTGAACACAGGTTTCACACTGCATATCTTAGTTGTCCTTCTTTCCGCATACTAAATGTGTCGGCGGATTTACTTCCAATGGGTGGAGCCACTAGTTTCTGTTGGGAACACACTTGAGCAACTAGCTCAGCGGGGCTTTGTTGGCAGCCGAGGCTCAAGCTATTTCGAAGCTGCAGTGAGCTTGGCCCGCCCTGGTTTTTTTGTGTGAGTGACATTGCTTGCTTTGCACGTGGACTCCCCTGTGCCTTCGCCGTTTGCATATCGTCCTTGCAAAACCCTCGAAGGCAACTTAGGTCGTTGCCGCCTTTTGTCAAGCTACTTTTGGTGCATATTGGTGGCAGAGAGCAAGTCAATCATTCATGAGAGCGACGCTTTCTGGCCATCTTGGGCGTAGTGCCCCTTTTTTGTTTCCTTTTGGCCTCGCATCGAGAAGTCCAGTCTACAAACATAAAAATCACAATGCCGCGCATGCACACAACTCCTCTTTTGGACGCACGCGCAGAGAGGTGGTTTCACAGCAACGATGCCCCACGAGTGCCGAGGCCAGTCTTGTTGTCACAGTTTCCAAGCGCCCCAGACTCAGCCAAGCTTCTGAAAGCCAGCGGCTTGCGCAACGATGTGTATTCCGGATCGTGGTTCTTGCCTGCGTCCGAGGAAAGTGGGAATGTGAGCAGCAGCCAGCGTCCCAGCACTTTGAAGTCCGTGCGCATAGAATGACCTCAACCCTTCAGGCATTCTGATGACATCCTTCCTGAGCAGCTGGTCGAAGAATAGGGATCGACTCCTTTCAAGCACCGTGGCATCCTGAGTCCTCACAGTGGATTGTTTGAGCAGGGTAGAAGGCATAAAAGCTTCTCCTCGCCGTGGAGAGAAGAATTTCCACAGAGGCAGAAGCGAGATGTGGAGTCGGTTGCTTGCGACTCAGGCGGTAGGCTTGCCCTCCTGGCCACCACCAGGGCTGGGCCTTACGCTGTCTCTATTGCTGGAGCGGTGCCCTCAGAACGAACGCCGTGTCAAGACCACGCGGCACAGCACCCACACGCCATGTTCTGGCTGCACATGAGCATACATACATCTGGGTCTTAGACTCTGGAGTTTCTTGAGCTGACTCGGCATCCCCTGTCTCTCGCCCTCAGGTCACTGCGACCCATTTGCAGACACTTCTCGGGCGACGAAGCACGCCTGGAATGCGCCAAAGGCTTGAGGCCGCCTCTGAGCATGGGAGTCGACCTCCCATCCCGTCACACCTGCGAAGGCCGCTGGTAGCAGCGTCTCTTCCCAGCGCCTCTGTCATCGACAAGCGCACCTGGCGATTTGCGGTGGTGATTGTGCATGATATGCATGAAGCTGGTCTACTTCAAGCTTGTGCCCATAAGACAAGAGACCTCAGGCTGCGGCTGATGCCGGAGCGCTGCCCAGAACCTATACTTAAGCCTGAATCCAGGCTGGGCACTCAGTCGATGCCATGATTCATGATGCACTGCTGCAAGCCGCCGGACTTGTGGCCTGCCAATTCGGTGACTTGACGCATTTAGCATTGAGGACGTTTGATGTGCTCAGGCTTGCGTCTTCGATGGTGCGATCTTTGGCTGACCTGGCTTTGATGGAAAGACAGGTGCGTGCGACAGCTACCGATTTGAGCTGCAACCCCCACTGACACCTTCCAGGAAGCTGCGACCAACCGGCGCTTGGCCGACACTTCAGGTGTGAAGTGCAGCCACTCAATGGCAAAGCCGCGGTTTCTTATGCCTTTGCGTCAGGTGGGGACAATAGCAGCGGAAACAGCAGCAACGACAGCAACGACGGCAATGGCAGCACCGGTAGCATCAGCAACACCAGTTTGACCCAGCAAGAAGGCAGGGGGCTTGGTGACAGTCGGCTGGCAAGGCAGCATCGGAAGAACAATGAACCAATGCCACCCCACATCATGCTGCCCTGTTGCAAAGGTGTGCAAACCTCTGCCGGAGCCTTGGCGCTTGTTTTTTTTTTTTTTGGGGGGGGATCTGGAGGCAGAGTCTCAGAGAGTGTATCTACAGCTTGCAGGACCTCGCGAGCCCGATCCAGGCCATGACTTGGATTTTGGACTCCATGGCGCGGAAGCCGAGAGATGCCGCCGGGGCGGAGAGAGGGTGGAGGGCTGGAAGGCGAGCAGCGAGCAGCGAGCCCCCGTAAGGCCCAAGCGCACTACACGCTGACGCCCCACCTCACGCCAGGCTGCGGATACATCAGCTGCCGGCAGATGTATCCACCGCGAAATGGCCAAAACTTGTTGAGACCTTTAAACATACTTGTTTGATTTGCCTTTCTCGGTCACCAAAGGCACCAGGCTACCAAAGGTACCAGGTTACCAAAGGTTTCCAAGTTGCCTAAGGAGTGATCTTCTAAAGGTCTTCCAAGCTGTGCTTCAAAGCTCTTCAGCCGCGGAGGTGAGTCCTTCGAGATCCTGGCGCCGGGGATGCGATTTCTCTCCACGCGCATGGAGCGCGGAGAGAACCAATCCACCTACTCCGCCACCAGGCCGGACAAACCCTCCACGTCGATTCTCCATGAGGAACACCGTCGGGGCTGTAGCTCAGACCTCTCCTCTTAGGCCCTTCCTCCTGGAAGATGAGCTGAGGCCTTGGAACGGAAAGCAGTCTGAAGCCCTCCCTCCCTCCCTCCTTCCTTCTTTCTTCATCCTTCTTTCTTCCTCCTTCTTTCTTCCTCCTTCTTTCTTCCTCCTTCTTTCTTCCTCCTTCTTTCTTCCTCCTTCTTTCTTCCTCCTTCTTTCTTCCTCCTTCTTTCTTCCTCCTTCTTTCTTCCTCCTTCTTTCTTTCTCCTTCTATCTTCCTCCTTCTTTCTTCCTCCTTTCTCTCTTTCTCCGTTTTTCACACTCTCCCTCTCTCCCTCTCTCCCTCTCTCCCGTTCTCCTTCCCTTCCTCCCCTCCCTATCCCTCTTATGTCTCCGTCTATGTCTCTATTTGTTTGTCTCTCTCCCTCTCTGTCTCTCTATCTCTTGGGCTCTCTCTCTCTCTCTCTTTCTGTAATCCTGCTCCATCGCTTTAGGTCATTGCAGTTGGCTTGGTGACAGTGTTTGCTTGGCAGTTTCCATTGAGGTCGGGCTTCCTCAACCCTACTAGTTGGCTTTATGTCGGCTTGGGCATGATGACTTCTCTGGAGCTTCCTGCTGATGCCTCGGCGCACTGTGAGCCAGAGACACGTTTTGGCATGCTGACCCAAGTCAAAACGCTCAGGACGGCGTGTTGCCGACGAACTCGACTGGCGAAGCTGGCAGCCTGCAGGCATATCTAAGAGAGCTGGATGATTGTGAGAAGTTTGGGTGCCTCCCGGGAGTCGGGGGCCGAATGAAGTTTGAGATGTGTGAACCCCGGCCAGGACGGCTCGGAGAGCGAGCTGCCAGCAGCCCAAGGGTTTATAACTTTGGCACGTGCTTGCTTCAGCAGGACCTGCGAATTCTTGCAAGGCCAGTAATTGCGCTGCTGGCTGTGTGTGACTCTGTGGGCATCCCGCGCAAGGCGCCGGTTGCCAGGGTGTCAAGCGTCTTGAAACTTGTCCAGCCCTGCCCCAGCCCTAAACCACGCAAGGCTACGGCCAAGATGTTCGGCTACCTCCAGGAGATAGAGCCTGCAGCCAGCTGCTACAGGCACTTGCTTGAAGATCTGGTGCAGCAACTGATCTAAATGATTGTCTTGTGCGGCAAGGCTCGCAGCTCGGCTCAAAATGCTCAGAGCCCATGACCGAATGGTCGCAGGTTTGGTCGGAGGACGCTGGCGCAATGCTGGCAGACGTGCTGGCACGTGTGCCTGCGTCCGAGCCGGAGGAGAACGAGCGCGCACCGCTGCCTTCGGACTCCAAGCGCATCCCCTGCCGGCCGAAGTCAGGGGAGTGGCAGGTTCTGGACTCTCCCCAGAAGGCGGTGGCCACCGTGAGCATGATCGACTGCCTCTGGGAGAAGCTGACGAAGGTCAGTGATGACCTGGAGCTGCTGCAAGCCGAGCGAGCCAAGTCTTCCCCGGACGTGCCGAAGCGTAACGAGCTCGAAGAGCTGGCCAAGGCCTGGTGTAGGATGGGGCTTGCATGTGTTTCCCTAGATGCGTTTAGGTTTCTGACTTAGCCGATCAGTCTTGGGTCCAAGGTGTGCAGCAGCATGCGGGAGGAATACGCCGCGAAGCAGCAAGTGCAGCAGCAAGTGCAGCAGCTAGAGCAGCAGCTGGAGCAGCAGCTAGAGCAGCAGCTGGAGAGGCTGCAGCAACTGGAGCAGCGCTTGCAGCAGTCTTCGGAGCAGCAGGCGACTTTTGCTTCGCGACACCTGGACTTAGCCGCTGAGTTGCGGTCCTGCTCCACACAGCTGGTGCCTTTCGGCGACCGCTTGGCGGCAGCTGAAGGCGCCCTCAAGGATCTGCCCTCACGCCGGGAAGTCGAGTCTTTGAGGCAGAGCCTGGAGGTGCGGTGCTCAGGGAGTTGAAGACCCCTCTCTTGCATCGCCTCCATTGTTTCTCAAAATTAGTTGGGACCCATTCCTCCCGGGCGGTTTTTCCGAATTTCCTCTTGGTTTCCCTTTACCGCCCTCGCAAAAGGGGTCCGATTCCCATGTTCCGAGCCACCCGCGCCCGGCCCGGCCAGGCGCTGGAGCCGTTGCCAGAGCGGCTGCGCGGGGCCGCGGCGGCCACGGAGGCGCTGGAGGGGCAGGCGGCCCAGCTGCGCCGGGACCTGCGGCAGCAGGGGCTCGAGACTGAGCGCCAGGAGGGAGGGGATGGGGAAAACGGAGCAGAGGCGGAAACCGACGCCTCGTTTTTGTCCTTCTTTTTTTGGGGGGGAGGGGGAGGGACAGTTGCGGAAGGAGCACTGGAAGGGTCATGAGACAATTGAGGAAGCGGAGGAAAGGTGACTTTGCCGAGCTTTTGATTTATGCGGATATATGTCTCCGGCTTGTTTGTGATGCTGTGGTCACGCGCTCGACCAGCATGCAGCTGTAGCTTGGCCCATTCCACTTTGTCAGGAGCAGAACTTGAATCAGATCAAGCAGCGGCTGGGGGAGCGATGCCGCAAGACCCGATGTTCGGTCAACATCCTGAAGTGTATGATAAAGCTGAGGTCGTACATGTGGCCTTCAAGAGGTGTTGCTTGAGGATTCGGGGGGGGCCGGGGGTTAGACTAGAGTTGCTAGATTTAGATCATCGTTGGTATTGCCGAATGCCAAGTTGTAGCTTGGCGCGCGACGCAGGGACGTGGCCACGCATCTCATCTCAGGTGACGATGCCACCTCGGGCCTCCGCAAATTGGAGCTGTCGCTGCAGTCGGAGGTCTCAGAGCGGCAGGCCAGCGTGCAGCTGAACTGCCAGGGCATCGACAGCCTGCGGCAACAGCTGGACCTCCTGCAAGGACAGCGGACTGTCGAACTGTGGCAAGCCTCTTGGCCAAGAGGCCAGGGCTTCCATGTCTGAAGACGGGGTCCCTATATTTCCCAGTTGCGTGATTTTAGACATCTCCCTTTTGGCCCATGAGAGGTGAGTGTCCCTTGGTGATGTTCTAAGGGGAAATATAGGGAGTCCTGTGTGTCTGAAGGCGGACGGTCCAGCCCGTTGGTTTGTGAACCTGCGAGGACAGCAGCTGCAGCTGTCGAGATCCGCAGATGAACTGAGAAGGCTCCTCGATTCCTCGAATGAGGACATGAGGCGGGTGCTTGCATGAAATCTTGCATGAAGAAAATCTGCAGACGCGTGTGGGAATATGGCTGTGGGCCTCAAACATAGGTACTCAAAATGTCACCCTGCCAAGTAAAAACATGGACTAAAACCTGAGGTCTCCAGGTGGTTTAATTTGGACCCATACCTATATTGACATATTTGGCACTGGCCGTTCGGGTCCTGTCTTTTCTAGGGGGACCCCCACATGGTTTTCCTCTTGGTTTCCTCTCTCAACAGAAGGACCCACTATATCTTCCCCACCCCTCGTGCAATCCGGATCACCCTTCGACCAACTAAGCCTTTTCTGGGGTTGCCCTACTTGGGGTTACCCAATTTCTAAGACCCGCAGCCACATCTGCCACACACACATGAGCCACCATCAAAACCTGGGCAGATGAAGCTTAGTAAGGGACTCCCAGCCAGAAACAGCTGCGGCCGCCTTTGTATTTTCCTTACATGGTTCTGGATCAACCATTTTAGTTCTAGGGGTAGCTTCCCCATTCTTTCCAGGGATCCTTCTTTCTAGAAAGCCACCCAATGGCTGGTTTGTGAGAAGAACGATGGCTGAAAAGAATGGGGAATCAACCCCTAGATTAATACCGTTCTTTTTTGGGGGGAATTGTGACTCACCTGGCGCTTCCCGTCGGGGAAAAACGCCGCCAGGAGGTGCCTGGAGACCCGCGGCCGGGTGCTGGAGCTGGAGGCGCTTGAGCCGCCGCGGCTCAAGCGCCTGGAGCGGTTGGAGCTTCAAAACGGGCAGCTCCAGGCTCAGACGGAGCAGGCCATGGCCATGAGCGGGAATGTGGATGGAGAAAATACCCACCCCGCACCAGTGGCTAGTTTTTTTTTTTTTTAATGGTCTTATTTTTTTAGCCTTCTATTTGTAGGGATCCAGCGGTGGGGCATGATTAGGGAATGGGGAAGGCATGTGAAGGGCACAGGCGTAGAAGGCGGGAGCTGACCGAAATGCTGGTCGCTCGACGCATTCGAGGTTTGCCCCGCGCAGGCCCAGGAGCAATGCCGTGCGGTGATTCAAGCCACGCAGGCCGGAGAAACAAGGGAAACAAACAAAACAAGAACAAAAAGGAGACAACAAAAACGCAGGGGGGGGGGGGGGGGGGGGAAACACAAAAAAAAGCGGGCAGACGTGGGTATCGTCAGCCTCAGTCCGGGCCTCGACCCCTCTCGCTGGCGCGAAGTGTTGTTGGGCCAGGACCTGGGCCAACAGATGGAAGTGCAGCTTGTGGAGGTCAGGGGCCTGGAGCAGAAGCTCAAGGACGGGACCGGGCAGTTCCTCAAGAGCAGGTTTTTAGTGCAGTTCGAGGTTGTTTTGGCGGGCGTCCCTGTGGTCTAAGTCTTCAGTGTGGTAGAGGGGAGGTGCCCACCCTTGCTGTCGAAGCCGGCATGCTCGCAACTGTGATCACTATTGACTGTGAGAGACAGGCCATCTCGTCCCGCAAGATGAAGGTGAAGAGTTTCGGTTTGGTGCAGGCCCAGAATTGCCACTACTTGCATACGATTGGTCAGTTTGAAGGTCCGACGGGTCGAGCCACGTTTTGCAGGAAACAAACAGCTGATCTGATCTTTGACCTCCCCGCGCGTTTCAGGACCAAGAGGAAGTGGAGCTCACACAGCGGCTGGGCTTGGAAGAGCGTTCCAATGAGCTGTTGGACATGGGCTTGCAGAAGCTTGCAAAGGACCAAGGGATTTGCAGCTGCAACCATGATGCTTGCGTTTACAGCATGTTTGCCCGTGCTACCAGCCTTTTCCAATTCTACACATTCTTTCCTTTGCGTTTCCGGTTCGGCGGCTTGGTCGCGAGCACTTCAGTGCTGCAGAAGTGGCTTCGGCATAGAATCGCCGCGGCAGGAGGTGGCAGAGCGCATGGACAAGCAGCAGGAGCAGCAGCACCTAGCGCCTTGGTTCAACGTCGGCGCGTCAAGAAAGGTTACAGCTTGAATGCTATGGGTTTGGATCTTCAGACCTTTTCCCACTTTTTGGGGAGATCAATGGATTTTTCCCTTGTCCACACAAAGTTGACCACTTGGGCAGAGGCGTCTCCATCTTCAGCACCCCAGAGGTGAGACGTGGCCTAGACGTGGCCTGAAAGCTCCCCGCTTCAGGCGGTGCTGGCCGCCGAGAGCCGGCTGCACGGGCAGCTGGAGAGCTCCAACAGCCGGCTGCTGGCCGCGGAGAGCTGGCGCCATGCCTTCCAGGAGCTAAGAGACGTCTGGATCCGCGCGATGCAACGGCCTCCCACCAATGAGCCTTGGGAGTTTGACAGAGGGTCTGCTTGAAAGGAAAGATGGTCTAAACCAGGACCCCCCCGAAGGTCAGATTTCATGTGAATTGGTGGGAGGGTATGGTACATTTCGGTATGCCAGATTGCCTCATTTTTTTTAAACTTGCTTCAGCTTGCTCGAGATTGCTTGTGCCGTTTTGTGCTGTTGGGCCGTCGCTGCTTCGGCGATCCTCGGCGATTTTCGGCGCCAGGAGCGCGAGAGAGCGCTGGAGATGCGCTTGGCTGCCATGGGCGGGCAGCTGCAGCAGCTCGAAGGGGCCTGCCAAGGGCAGCTCGGAACGGGCGCTGATGTCAGACGGCTCGAGTTGTTTTGGGATAGGGCTGTTGGCATAGGTTTCCTTTTTAGGTTAGAAGGCAGTGGTTTAGATGGGTCTTGTTCTATTGACCAGGGCCATCGATTTTTCAAAAAGGAGACCTATGGCTGTTGGTCTCAAACAATAGTATGGCTGCGACCCCCCCCCAAAGAAAGAGGTACCCAACATGGCACCTTGGCAAATGGAGACAAAGACAAACATCAGCGTAACCCTCGCTCATTGAATTTGAGCCACACCCATTTGAAACTTGCTCGAGAAGCGTGGGTTTGCACGAGGATCCCAGACTTGGACGCCCGGATCGACGAGACACGCGCTTTGATGAAAGAGGACGTGGCTGCCACTGCCATGAATTCTTTCCAAGGAGCAGTGGCGTGTGTTCAAGTTTGTTCGGGTGTTGGCTGGCCACACTCAACATATTCCTAGGTGCTTGACAAATTAGTATGAAGGCAAAGGTAAATGATCCAGTTCTTAGCTTTGCTTGGAATCCTCGGCCTTGTTGGCCGCACGCTAAGCCTTAAACCAACCCTAGATGGGATAAACTTTAAACCAACCCCAAAGCCAGCTCTTGAATACCAAGCGTAAATCAACCGTCCAAACCCACGTTAAACAGACCCTGACCCAATCTGAACTTCGGCCCATTTGAACTCCAGCTGAAGCAAGCCCTAAAGCAGCCCTGAGTCTAATCTTGAACCAACCAGAGCACCCAAACAATACTGGAACAAAGCAGGACGTCGCGACCCGCCGATTTTGAACCCACAAGCCAGGCCCTCGCAGCCTTCCGCTTTGGCACAGATTCGGGAAGAGGCTCCCCACCATCTTCTCGAGTCGCCGGAATTGTTTGGCGTCAGGGATTCCAATCTTCCCATGTGCCATGTGCCATGTTTCTTCTTCTTTTTTTTTCTCTTTTTTTTTTTTTGATCCAGCAGCTTAGTAATGTCCTTCTGCTCCAGCAACTTGGTCTCCGGTTCCACCGCGGAAGTCGTGCCCGCACCCGGCGCGCGCGCGCGCGTCCGCGCGCCTTGTCTCGCGCGAGGAGAGATGCGGCTGTGGGCCAAGATGGCGCAGCTTGCGCCGCCGCCGCCGCATGGCTTCGGAGCGTAGCCTTCCGCTGGCCAGCAGTCGCATGGCTGTCTCAGCCGCATGGCTCGTGCGGTACGCCTGGGCTCTGGCTGAAGATGCATGGCAAGGAATTTGGGGGACAGAGTTCTGCCGCCGCTGGGCTGATGGAATGCCCCAGCAGGCAGGTAGCACAGGTTGTGGCCAATGGGGCTGCTTCGAATTCCTGAGAGCAAGGGCTGAGGGACTTCCCTTTTCAGCCTTTGCCAGTTGCACGTCAGCACCTCAAGCTTGAAGTGTTGCCATGGTCCCAAAAGAGTAATATGCCCCGGGAGGTCACTGCAAAGGCCAAACGGCAAGGCCAAACGGCAAGGCCAAACGGCAAAGCCAAAAGGCAAGGCCGAGGCGAATAGCAAGACCCTGGGTGCAAGGTGGCAAGCTGGCGAGAGCATGGCCCTCAGTGCTTCTTTCTGCCAAGAGCTTTGAATTGTTGACAGCAGCCTGCTTTTCTACTGTCCTCTCGGAGGTACTCGAAGAATAAAGATCTCCGTGATGGTTCAGACTTGTTTAAAAGTTCCACCAGCTGTGTGCACAACGCAGCTGCTAGGCTGTCAGGATTTTCCACCTGAGGAAGTTTTGTGCACAGCCTTTTTCCCGCCATGGTGACATCCGGCAGCCTGCTGGCCGTTTTCTTTGTGTATGCATGGAACACATCCCAGGCCTCACTCAGTGACACGGTGGTCAACATCTCAAAGAATACCACGCGCAGCGAGCGCAGCTGGGACAATGGCAATGCCAGCGGGCTACACCTTGCTCAAGAGAAAAGTTCCAGAAGGAGCTCGCATGTGCGCGTCATCAATGGATGCCATTCCGAGCCCATTTGGATTGCCCACTGCTGCGGCTATGACTACCGCACGAATGTCAAGATTGAGCCGGGGGGATCGCATAATTTCCCTGCCTATGCTGGGCTGACAGGCTTTCGCCTTTGGCCGAAGATGAGGCTTCGGGACCCGACAGCTGGTTGTGTTTTAGTCGGGTGTGAGCGTAACCTGAAGCTGTCCTCGAAGATGAAGCAGTGGACATCATGCATGGTTGTTTGCTGGCATGTTTCACGGGATCTCGTTTTTTTCAGGGTACCCCCTTTGTGGTCGGTTTTCAAGGGAAACCAAAACAGGAACACTTAAAAAGCGACGAGCCTGGCCCTGACCCCAGGTGCAACTCTCATGGCAACGGCTGCAGCATAGGCCAGAGCGGGGGCCAAGGCCAGCCCTGCGGCACTGGCGGGAACTGGCGCTGCCAGCCGCACATCGACACCAAGTTCGAGGCCAGCTTCGGGGGCCATGCGGACTACTTCGATATGAGCCTGGTGGATGGCTTCACCTTGCCCTTCAAGCTGAAGCTGCGGGGCTGCTCCGTGCGGGGGGTGGGCTCTTTCTGGGACTGCTCCGGCCTGAGCTTGGACGCCTGTCCCGCCAAGAACCGGGAGTACTACAACGGCAAGCTGCTGGGCTGCCACGCCAAAGGTCGGCCCGGCCACGGTACCCGGCAGTACGTGGACTTGGTGCACCGCCGCTGCCCCCGCACCTACGCCTACGACTTGGATGACAAGAATGGGAACCACAACTGCCCACATGGAACCACCTACGAGCTGACCTTCTTGTGCCCCAAGGCGTGAGACGTCTTTCAACATTGGTTGTTTGCCTTCGCCACTGGCGAGCACAGTGAAGATGTCATGCCTTCCCGACAAATTAAGCCAGAGCTCATTTAAGATCAGTTGTGAATTCAGCACGAGGCTGCCTATCTTGAGGCGGCTGGTTTTGAATCTTATGGATGCTCACTTGTCCGTCGAGGGGACGGCCAACAAAAAAGCATGGGCATCAACGGCAAACTGCCTGGCGGGTCACTGCAGCGAGTTGCCACTTGGATGTATACATGTATATGTATGTACATATAAACATATAGGTGTGTTACTGACCGTGTGTTGAGATTAAGCTTGCCGGAGGAGATGTCATGACGGCATTCAAGAGTTCGCATGAGTACACAACACCTTTGGGTACTTGTGTTGCTTAGACCTATTCAGAATCAACAAGTGCTCGGCTGACTTGGCTACACCAAGCTGCATGCCCAATACCGATGCCATTCCCTCTTTTGTGCTGGGCACCTTCCCTGAAGAGATCTGAGAGAAGTTGTCAAGGCCCATAGGTACGCACCGGCTCGCCTACTTTTCTTGAGCAACGCTGTGTGTTTATGGCCAGAGCTCACAGGTTTGACTCTCCGTAGCCATTGCATCAGAGTGTTCGAGGAGGTGCTTCCAGCAAGGGGATGACTTCCGCCAGCCATGCCACAAGTGCGGTTGGTTGGCGCTGTGCATTTTTTCGACGGGCGCTCGCCCCTGGTGCCGATGTGCAAGGAAAAGGTTGCACGACTGGGAGAGGGCTGGAGGGTGCTGGCTGCACTTCACACAGCTCACGCTGCCCTGTCCCCTGGTCTATCAGATTCCGTGTCCTCAACTCCACAACCTCCCGTGGGCCAAGGGTCAGAATGACGCGGGGTTTGGTCACACACACGCACACACATGACGCATTCCAAGCTTCAAGCATTCCCAGAATGTTGCGCACTAAAGCGATAATCGGGAAGCACTGTGCAGCAATCCATCAGCGGCGTGCCTTCGTGCTCTTGCAAGGCACCAGAAAGTCACATCGTGCATCCATAGGCCCTGGCTGGCTGCGTGAGGGTGTCGCAGTTGAAGAGTGCGGGCCCCAGGCGAGTAATGATTTTGCCACTGCAAATGGCCAGCGGCACCAAAGGCTTTGGGCCAATCCAGCTTTCCCAAAGCCAGAGCCGGACTGCTGTTTTGCGCATTGCGCACTCTGTGCTAGACGGTTGATCAAGGACAGAAGCAGCAGAGCTGGCAATCAGTGCAATCACAATTGTCCCTAACATTCTGCTAGTGTGTCAATGGCAGCCTGCCAGATCGACGTGTTGGATAACTACTTCACGAATGATCATATTGCCTCACGACCTTAATGCAAGAGAGAGGAGCATGGCACGGAAGTTGAGGTCAGGATCCTGCACTGTGACCGTCGGGCCAGAAGGCAGGGAAGGGTGACACGCCAAAAACCAGTGTCATTCACCTGGTTCTGAAGCAGGGCACCTACTGCCCTCAGGTTGAAGACCCACATCAAAAGCAAGAAATCACCCATGGCCATGGGTCATAACCTATGCCTCCATTTTGGGGCGGATGAACACCCATGTACCACCTAGTTGATGTTCACCAGGGGTTTCCTGGGTTTTGACAACCACAGCCATACGTCATAAGGTACCCGCGCAAAGGAAGGGAACCTCTGCAGACCCCGGTGGTTCAGCTCGGAGGCCACGTTGGCGTGACAGTCCTTCTGGGCCTGTTCCTGGACAGTGAAGAGGCACGGGCGGCGGCGGGTTCCTGCACTCAGATGCGCTGTTTTTTTTTTTTTTCAGGCGCCAATCCCCGTGGGAGAGGCCTCAGAGCTAGTCGGAGAGCTTGAGAAGGAGTGACCGCAGGGTTTGAAGTTTGAAGTTCTCAACCGTCGGAGCCCTGGAAATGCCTCGGAAGCCACGTGAGTTGCAAGGAGACTACGCCGCCACCGTTGCTGGCCGCATTTGGCGGCGTGGCAGCCTTGCTTCTCCTCAACGTAGGCCCCAGAGCCGGCTCCGTGCGGGTGCCGCTGCGGTTGGCACGCAGGTTTTTCGTGCCTGGTAGGCATCGCAGCGCTGAGCCGGCTCGCTGACATCAAGGTGAAGTCTGACTCCAAGGTAAAGGCAGGCGACGCATCAGAGATGCAGCATTTTTCATTGTTTTTTCTTTTTCTTTTTTGTTTTGGGTCAAGCTTTTCACAGGCGCCGCCGCGGGATTATTGGGAGACGCCAGGCTACAAGTTGGCCCAGCTGCCACACTTGAATTTGACAACGGAAATTCAGATCGAAAGCGGCATCGGAATCCCAGGCACGAGTTCTACCAGACCCTCTGGTGTACGGAACTGATGCTGAAGAGATTGGAGTGCACATCGTCAGGAGGGGTGGCAGAGGCTTTGGATGCTTCCGTTAGAACGCGGGTGTGCAGGAGTTGGCTCTCCGTTTGCCTGGCTTCGCACTTGCTTCGGCCTTACCTTGCGAAATGGCCACACTGGAAGGAGCTTCAAGCCCTGGGTAAGGTTTGTCGGTATATACTCCTCCGACGAGAAGGTGCCTGTTCATCAAAAGGCGCACATGGGCAGCGGTCCACATTGCTGTTCAGGCGTGCATAGGCATTCGGAGGCTCGAGTGAAGTCTTGTAGGCAGTTGAGTAGGCAAAACATTTGACAGTTTTAGCAGTGATATTGTACGCATTTGTCAGACAGGGGATTGATGTCTAAAAGTTCCTTTGCAATGTGTATTCATCACACACGGTCAGCTGATCCCCCCTTTAATCACCGAACATGGTGTGTGAGGTCCGAACATGAAATTTACACGCGAGTGCGTGCTCCATGTGTCAAATTTTCAAAGCAAAGTGCTGGGGCGGTTCTTGTGCGATTCCTTCCATATGGCGGGGCTGTATGGCCGGACTGCCCACACATCAAAGATGCTTTGACGCACGGCTGAATGCCACGGGAATGCCACCATCAAGGTTCCGGCTTTGGGTACTTTTTAGTGCCTTCAGCGGGTAGCAACCTGACAAGTTCGCAACCTGGCAAGCTGGCAAGTTGTTCAGCACAAGCAGGTTTCCTAAGCTTGTGTGCCCCAGACATCTGGTCGCAGGTCGCAGCACTGTTGGCCACTTGCGTGGCTGCAACGGGCTGTTCCTCAGTGCTGTTGGTACGGCTTGGCCGCTTGGCATGTCTTGAAGGAACGGACCAGCGCAAACTAGGCCAAGTGCCGCAAACCTAGCAGCTAGAAACACCCCTAGGAGGTAGCTGTGAATCAAAAGCATCAGTTGAGCTGCCGCTGGAGGGCCAGAAGGAACCGGAGTGGAAGGATTCACAAGCCCAGGCTACAGCGCTGGTTTCAGCGCTGCGCTGGGCGGAGCATGCGCTTGGCCGCTAGGGTTGCTGATGAAATGGCTGCGGGGCCCCCAGGCCCTCAGCCCCAAACATCTTCCAGGCAGCCGCTTGCTATAGGCTCATCCAGCGCCTCGCTGTCAGACATGCAGATTTCAAGTGGCCCGCCTGAGGTATGAGTGGCGGCCATGGTGCCCTGCAGAAGGAGAGATCCTGAACGAGGCCTGCAGCTTGTGGCAGTTTCTCTGAACCTCTCTGGCCTTGAAGGTCCTGGACGCAGGCGAACAAGCTTCATGGCAGCACTTGGCTTGCCTCTCTACGTTTCGTCTACTTTAACTTTTTGCTGCACCGCAGCGATTTGACAAACCGAGGGTAGGTTATGCTGTTTATGCTGGGACTTGGTTCGGCCGTTGGGCGGTGCCTTTGGCTGAAAGGCACTTTGATTCGTAGCTTGCTTTGGTTGGTCCAGGTAGGTGCCAGTGTAGGTATGGAGAGGGCTATGGGCAGCTGCTGGGTTGGTGGTAGGATTGGTCAAGTGAACTTTGGGGGCCTGGTTTAGGGTGACACACACATCGATGTACAAGATCGTTTGGCTGCCACGTGGCTTTTTTGGGGTTGAGGCTAGGCTGGGTGTTGGCCGAATGCTGTTCTGGGCCTTGCTAAATAGGTTGAGGGTAGGCCGGTCATGATCTATCGTTCCGTGGGTGTGGCCAAGGCACGCATTCAAGACCTGCTTGCCGACGACAAGGACTTTCGGCGCCTTCATTCCCGCCTAAACAACAGAAAAAGAAAGGAACAAAAACACACCAAAAAAACAACAACAGAAGAAGCGCCTCACCCCCGGTCGCTCAGGAGGCGTCCTCGGTCAGAACCGATCCGGCCAAATCCCCCTTCGAGGTCAGCGCCTCGGAAGGCCTCGGAGGTTTCTGCCGGATGACTTGAGGCCAGCAGCGGGTCGGAGGGCGAGAAGCAGGACCCCCCAGGCAAGAGCCAGAGCCACGCACATGGCGCCCATGGCCCATGGCCCATGGCCCACCTTGCTGACAGGCCAGTCAAAGCAGAAGCTGGTGAAGAAGCCTTCCTCCGAGGCAAGGCCGTGTGACCAGATCCCAGAAGAACCCTTCTGGACGAGGCCGTCACTGATGCAGCTGCTGCGGGCGCTTCTGCAGCATCTGCCGCATCAGCATCTGCCGCATCAGCAAAAGCGGAGCCACAGGTGCCGGGGATGCAAGCCAAACTTTATGCTTCTAGCACTAGAAGGGTGTGTCTTTTTTCATTGGACACCACAGAATGTTGGTTTTCCTCTTGGTTTCCCCTTAAAGCCACAAACATGGGGTATCCTCAAAGAAAGACAGACCCGTAAGCATCACAAGAGTTCAGTCCTAAAAAGTGTCTTGCCTTGCGACATGCGCAGACGCCGACCATTGTTCTGACAGAGACGCCTGGGATGAAAGGCCTGAGCAAGACACTTCTACATGCCACGTGAGCCGTTTGTCAGTGAACCGATGTCTGCACTTCTCCAGGTCTGCGGTTGGGCGCTTCGCCGCAGCGCATGGACCTCCTTCGCGTTCCGGTGTGCTGGGCGTTGTTTGCTCCACCCTGCTTGACGCATGAGCCAGGCAGCTGCGCCCCCGCATCTTGACGGCATTTGCCCAGGGGCAGGCATGCTAAGTGTGTCCCCCCCATGCCACAGAAGGACGCATGAGGACTTCTTTGAGCCTGAACTTCCCCCCCGTCTCCAGGGCCAAGTCAGACCAGGGGTTTAGGGTTTCGGGTTGGTTTCACAAACATCTCAAGCCTCGTATTTCGTTGCGCCGAGTTGCTTTCAAGGAAGTTCCCGGCACTGCAACTGCTCAAGTCCAGCCAGAGGAGCGGGTTGAGAGATGCACCACTAGGTCAACTCTGAAATTTCCCGGCAATTTGCACGTAGGATGCATCGATTGCCAAGTCGGCAGTTGTCTCTGCCGTGCCCTGCTTAGCCGGAATAAAGCTCAAGCCGCAAGCACAGAGCCGAGAACTCGGCGTGGCTTTTTAGGCCCTCAAGCCGAGAGCGGCGTGCGGCAGCTGGCTTGCACCTCAAAAGGGAGGCGTTTGCTGTCGGCAAACATATCCTGGCCTCAGGTGATGAGGGCACTCCACATTTGCAATCTGCTGGGCTGGTGGGCCGCTTACTTGCTGCACCAGAAGTGTGCCAATCAAGCACTTTCTAGACGAGAGTGTGCATCTGCGTGCCAGTGTGAAAGTGTGCAAGGGTGTAAATGCGTGCAAGCGTGCGGGCACGAGAGCCTGCACGTGCGTGCGTCCGTGCGTGCATGATTGTGCGCTCAGGTTTTCGCATCGAAGTCGCTGGATGTGCACCTTGGCTGAGCCTGAAGAGTTCTATGGTGAAGTCTGTCGTGATGCAAGTTGCTTGGTAGTTGGCTGCTCGGCCCAGGCCCCTTTGGCTACAGCAGGCGAGAGCTCTGCCGAAGGTGCGCTTCAAACCAGCACGGGTGGCAAGCCCCGATACGATTGCTTTGTTTGGGGTTCATGGCGGCATGCCCGAAATTTTCTGAATGCACCACTCACGCATTTTCGGAAGACTCAAGGCTGCAGAAAGCGGCTTGTACCATCAAGGTGATGGGTGGCAACCTCAGCTGACTTTTGGCACAGGACTCAATCATACTGCTTTTTTCCAGATGCTGTTTGGACAGAGCTGCTCTGGAAAGCGATGTTCATGTGAAGATGTCCTTGATGCATGAAATTTAGCTAAGGCGCCGCCTCTCATGTGGGGCCGTTCTTGAAAAGGCCGCTCCTTGGCGTTGTTTGAGCAAGCGCTGCCAAATTTCAGGTCATGCACCGTGTGAGTTGCGCTCACCTGAGCTCCATTCGTTTGCGCCATGTAGCCCGCCCAGGCCACATGGCAAAGGCCCGGTGCCGTAGCGGGTGAGAGCGGCCAAGCTCTGAGCTCATGGTTGGCTTCTCAGGTCAGAGCAAAGCCTGCTGAAAGCTCAGACCACTTCGGTCCATTGATTGGCATCCGTGGTCCCCAGGCCACCTGCAACCGGGCCCCTGCAGAAGGACCGGGGCTGCGTTTTTTTAAAGCTTCGGGTCTTCAGCCGTTGGTTTCACTTCAGGTTGGCAAGGCCCTAAGAAGAACCGTGGGCGAGATTCATGCACATTTGTTCCATGGCAGCTTTCTTCCTTCACCCTTGCGCAGCTCTTGGCTCGGGCGGCGCCGTGATGCGGCCGGGCAGCGGCACAAGTGCCGTGCATGGGCTCGGCGATGCGGCCGGTCCACGTGGAGCCTTGGCCGCTCCACAAGCTGAAGGCGGCCTGGGAGGAGGCGAAGCGGCCCGCGCGGCCCGCGACGCCCGCGACACCGCTGCGCGCGTGCGTGCTGCTGACCACCGGGGCCATGAACCCGCCCCACAGGGGCCACGCGCAGCTGCTGAAGCAGGCGAAGGAGAGACTGGAGAGCGAAGGCTACAAGGTGGGGCTCTTACCTTTTGATGGATTTGATGTTGCCCCCATTGCTAATTTTAATCAGTCCCAGTTCATTAATGGGGGGGTGTCCCTGGTTTTGGTGGGGAATCATCACTTTTGGAGGGGAACACCCTCCTAGTAACAAACGGGGGTTGATTATTATGGGGTCAACATTAGTCCAGCCTCTCACTGGTTTGCAGCCGCATGTCAGCTGAGTTTCCCAGATGGCACACGGCCTGGCCGAGGTCTTGGCTGCGTGGATGTCCCCATCCCATGATGGCTACGTGGGCCCCAAGGCGCTGAGCCTGGGCACTTTACATCTCAGCAGCCGCCTGCGCCTCCACCTGGCCCACCTCATGGTGGACAGCGACCCCCTTGTGGCAGTGGGGGCCTGGGAGGCTACCCGCAGCCTGCAAGCAGTTCACTTCTAGAGTGCCGGGGGGGGAGGGGAGAGGGGCGCTTTTGGCGGGAAGAGATGAAAACAGAGGTGCTCATGGCGGAAGCTTGGAGCCTGGCCATCGAAACAGAACCTGGGGATGGGCTGCTTTCCGAGCTTTGAAGTTGCTAAGGTACGGGCAGATGGCCGGACTTTCCCGTCGTGGCTATGGAGTTGCGCCCTGGCATGCGAAGCTTGCAGAGCCGTACTTCCACAGCAGGCCACTCACGGGTGTCACGCGCACCATGGCCCGTGCAACTGCCGCCTATGGGGCACATACATCTGACAGCTGTGGGGGTCTAACTTGCTTAAAGGGAGAGAAAGAGAGAGAGAGAGAGAGGGAGAGAGTGCGTGTGACGCAGCAGTTTGGCAGATTGCTGTTGCGCGAAGTGCTGTTTGAGGGTGAAGGGCCAAGGTAGCAAATCCTGGCAGAGTGCTGCTGCAGGGTGCTCTTGCAGGGTGCTGTTTTGGGGTTCTGGCCAAGTGGGATTGAAATTGAGGTTGAAATTTGAGCAAGGCGCAGTTGTAGGGTCCTCTTGCATGGTACTGCTGCGCAGTGTGCTGCTGGAGCGCTCAAGCATGTTCCATTATCTTGTACTTTGATGAGTAAGCGCCGACCTTTTTGCCTCCCAATTTCTGCTCTTGCCGCTCTTGGGCCTATGCGGGTGCATTTTTTTCACAGTTGCTTGCCCATTGCTTGTCCGCCGAGGCAAAGCACCATGCGGAGATTCGTGGAGGAGAATCCGGATCTGCCGGATCTTCTGGAGTCAGGCCAAATACGGGTCTTCTACGCCTGTGGCCCCTTGACTGAGGGCGGGCTGCCTGAATGCTAGGCGTGGAATTCCAGGGTTCTGCGAAGGGAAGCAGCTTTCGCGGTACGGGGCCTCTTTTCAGCCTTTGCCTTGTTGCCAAATTGCCTTGATGGCTTCGCAGCTCTGATTGGCCCTCACGGCCTCCAAACTTGGGTGGCAAAGGGCTTCTTGTTTTGGCATGTGCCCCGGGCGCGCAGTCACTGCGGAGAGATTTCCCCCGTAATTTCTCCCCAAGGTCCTACGGGGCAGCAACACGCTCCCCAGTGGCGGTGAGGCTTTTTGTAGGTCCCTAGTTCTGCCAAGTTTGGCCGGCAATCCTTCAATTCATGTTGTTCATGTGAGTATCGAGAACATCATGAGCTTGATTGGATATAATCTCTCAGTCAGCATGCGACCTTACACTGGGCGTTGCTTCCGTGGCGTGTGTGTGCTCCCCCACTTAGTTGTTCCCATTTGTGTCTCTCTCTCTCTCTCTCTCTCTCTCTCTCTTCTAACCTTTTTTGAGGGTACCCCTTTTTTGTCTGGTTTTCAAGGGCAGCCAGAAGGACAACCACAGTTTGAAAGGGTTCCCTGAAAGCAGAGACACCCATTTCCTCTTGCGTGTGGCAACCTCTCAGCTAGGGACGGACCATGCAAAGCGCTGTGGGCTCTACAGCTTTGGGCCCTTTGGGTCCGACATCGGCGTGGTGGTGGTGCCCCGTGAGGGCGAGGAGTGCGGAGAGTCAGCAGGGCTTTTTGGATTCGAAGTTGGGTCCAATTGAGCCTCACAGGTCAGCGGCGGGTTGTGGCATTTGAAGGAACTGACTCAAGTCTAGGCCACTGGCTGCTGCTGGCTGCTGGGGACGTGGTTCGGTCGAATGCGAGCGGCGTTGCAGATTGAGATGTTGCGAGGGTCGACGGGTATGGGTCAAAATCAAACCACTAGGATATGGACCACAGGTTTAGGTCCATGTTTCCACTTACAAAAAATCCATTTCGGGGTTTCCCTAGTTTTGACCCACAGCCGGGTTGTGAGGAGCCCGAGCCCGAGATTCCCAGCCGGGTCTTCGTAGCAAGGGCAGCGCCAGGGGACGTGGCTGGCTTCAGCTCGACGAAGATCCGTGCCTCGGCTTCGGGTGGGTGGGCGGATGTTGGATGATGTTCTAGGGGTTGATTCCCAGGGTTACAACATGCCCCACAGCCATGTCTGCTTTGGGCGCTATGTTTTTTTGGTTCAATCTAGGGGTTGATTCCTTTTCTTTTCAGCCATCGTTCTTTTCACAAACCGATCGCCATTTCCCCAGGGTTTTGGTGGTTTTCTAGAAAGAAGGATCCCTGGAAAGAATGGGGAAGTTACCCCTGGAGATGTAGGAAACAAAAGCTGGGGGCATTCGACATGGGAGATCGCAAGAGCAGGGCCTGAGCGCAATTCAGCTTAACAGGCCGGCAGTCGGTGCAATCCTTGGCCCCAGGCGAGTCGTTCCACATTGCGGGGCAGGATGAGCATGCGTACCTCTGCAACGCCATTTGCAAAGCTGCAGCGGACTTGATGCTGCACCCTACAGATCAAGAGCAACTTGGCCCACAAGTGAGTGTGAACATTTTGGGAGCTCAGTACAGTTGTAGCCTGCCTCAGCCGTTTTTGCCAGAATCCTCTCTCTTTTTCCCACGCCGTGCCGAGAGAGACGCCTTGTGGCTTTTTCGGAGGCGAGTCGAGTTCAAGGAAGACTTCGAGAAGCTTTCCCGAGAATGCCTGGCCGAGACCTGAAGGGTCGGATGGGCGCAACTTTCGCCGCTGCGGCCTGTAATCCAATTGAGAGAGGTGTGTTCTTGCGGAGAGCTGGAAAAATAATAAGGGCACCTGGGAGGGGTTTGGGCTGGCATGGCTGGCTGCTTTCTTTCTTTCCGCCGCGCACGGCGGCCTCGGACGGGGCGGCAGGGATGTGAGAAGCGCAGACAGCATCTTTTGAGATCCCCCGGCCATCCCTGTCGCTGGCCATGAGGCGACCCAACATATGCCTGCACACAACACACGCATACCTTCCGTCACAGAGCTGATGCAAATGCCCTCACACACTTGGAACCCAAATATGTATGGCGATGTTGCATGATGTTGCTAGGGCTGTTCAATGGCTTGGGCTGTGGTGTAATGGTGTAAGGCTTTGATGATGTTGCGCTGCAGTCATGCTGGTGAGACGGCGGGTGCGCACATAGAATTATTCTAAACACGTTCATATCCCGCTTAGCCGGTCACGTGCATGGGCTTTGAATGGCTACCCTTCTCTGGGCCAGCTTTCATGCCAAGCCTTGCAGGACTTGGAGCAGAAGTCTCGTCAAGAACCCAGCAGAGCTTACAGCCAGGGCTTGCAGCATGGGCAGTACACTTTGCATCGTGTTCCGTGTTTACTCGGGCCATCGGGCCGCAGATATGACCGCAGGTGTAATTTCTAAACTGGCACTTGCTGAGGATCAAATGTGCAGGCGCTGGAGGACGGTCGTGGGCGCAACATGCAGCTTCATGGCCGTGTTTTGCCCTGTTCACTTGTCACGCTTTTCTTCATCTCGTGAAATTCCAACACTTCGTGGACAAAGGGGGGAAGGGCGGTAGACTATCGGGGCAGCGTGAGATGCCTGATTTTATGGCAGGCGGCCAGGCTCATTGCCACAGGGGAGCTTCTGGCGGCTGCAGCCACTGGACTTAGTCTGGCCACAGAAGACTCCAGAAGAAACGTGTTCAATTCCTCTTGCTTGCCCCTCTTGTTGCCTGCGCCTGTGCAGCTGCTTTCTCAGAACGGCTGTGTGTAAAGAACTTCGAGCGGCCGACACGCTCCGCCAGACCGAGCAGTGCTGACTCAGACATTGACTCAGGTAAGTGACCCTGCACTGCCGTGCGCTGCTGAGTTGGCACAGTGTTGAAAGGGCTGATCGACAGATACATCCCGCTAAATGTCAGCGAGCGGTGCTGACTGGTACGTAAGGTGCCTCAACTTTGCAATGTCGTCTTTACCTGCTCTGTACAATCAAATGGAAGCTCAAAGGGCAGCAGGAGACATTGAGCTTGCAGGATGCGGAACATGCCCCTGCTACCAATTCGCGTACCGCTGAGGCCCGATCGACCAGAGTTGCCTCGGAGTCTGCATGTCACACATGAAGCATGCTTAGCTGCCTGGAGGGAAAGCAGCCAACGCAGCGAAAGCGCTCTCCATGTCTTGTGGTCTTGTGGTCTTTGAACTGAGCCGCTTGTACATGCAGGTCTTGGGGCTTGTGATCTGCATGTTCCTTGGGGCTGGTGGTTTCTTGCGCAAAACTTTACACGCGCAGAGGCACCTGCCCCCCTAAGCCTGTCACATGCCCTTGGCCCTTGGGCTTGCAGCTCGGCCACGCGGAGGCCCCTACCGCCACCAAGCCGGGATTCGATGACCGAGGCCTTGCGAGAAGTGCCTGGGCAAAATTTGGTTTGCAAGCAGCCTTGGCCCATTTTCGCAAGGGTCTCTAGCATCATTCCTGGTTTCTTGAGAGCAGCCCCGACGCAAGTTTGCGAGATGAAATGCGACGCAAAGCAGGATGCAAAGGGTCAAAAGGGTGGAACATCTCACATTGCTTGAGCTGCTGCCTGTCTTCCAACAGCCAGGGCTGCATAGGCCATGTTCTTGGTGCTTTTGAGCCTATTGCGTACTACCGGGGCAGCCAAATCAGAGGTGCAACTGCGTTTCTTTGCCTGACATTCTTTGCCAATTGGAAGATGCCAGCCCCATGTTCTTGGTATTTTTGAGCCTATTGCATACTATTGCAGCCATTCCCAGGTGGACGCTCTTCTGGCCAGCTTGCAAGAGGCGTGGCTGTAGATTCAATTCGCATCGAAAAGCTCCCAGCTGTGTGGTTCACAAGTTGAGGAGCCGCCGCCTGCAGCGGTGGAGCTACTAGAGCAGCTCCCTTATGAGGCGCCAGGGGCTTGCGGCTTGTTTCCATTGGTTTCCTTGAGCTTACGGAAATTTCTGCCGGACATTGGCCAAGTACCCACCAAACACTCTGGATTTCTGATAGAACTTTTCTGTAGGTTTCTGCGCGCAACCAATTGGCGAGAGAGGCGCTGAAATGCTTGCCATTGCCAGGAGCAGTCTCTGAAGCACATGATGAAGCAGATCCAGCGCATGGAATCTGCGCACGTCCGTCGACTAGAGCGGGCGTATGTGCAAGAGGCTGCGGCTCCTGAGCTCTTCCGAGAAAGTGTGGCTCCGCAGGCCAAGCAGCACCTACCCGAGGAGGTGAGCCTTGTCATGCTTCTGCCAAGCCCTCATGAAGATGCTGGAGGCTGACATGCATTGTAAGTACTGGCCATCTGCTGCGCAAATTCATCCGGATTCCTTACTCCCAACAAAAAGGGAGGGGGGAGATCCGTCAGTCCCCCAACCAAATCAAAAGGGATCAGCAAGTGTACGAAGTTGTTCAGGTCGGCAGCGGTTCAGAGCAGCAGAAATCATGTTTGCGCATAAGGCTGGCATATTTGGCCACCATGGGCTTGTTCATGGCTGGTGCGGTGCCCAATGGGAATCGGAACGGTGTTGCCGCAGACTTGTTGCTTGCATGATGCTGCGTGACCCCCCCCACTTTGATATTGCTGAGGTGTGGGCTCCACGGTCAGCTACTGGAGACTTGGACATGACCGTGCCTCCCCTTTGCTCCCCCAAGCAAGCCATGATACATGGCCATGGGTCATAACCTATGGCTCCATTTTGGGGTGGATGAACATCCATTTGCCACCTATTTTGATGTTCACCAGGGGTTTCCAGGGTTTTGACCACCACAGCCATATCATATGCCTGTGTAAGAAATGCCCATGGGTGCCCATGGGTGCCCACGAGTCTTCGTCAGCCAAGGGCCTGGATCGCCCCCTCAGCGGTTGGGGACTACCTGGCGGCCATCATGGGGTCCATGGCCACCGCCGGGGCCTCGCACAGCGCCGCTTGAGCAGCGGGTGCTTGGCGGTTGGAATGGGTGGGACCCCATGCACTGGGCGTTGCAACTCTGGGAGTTGCAGAGTTGGCAAATGCAAGGGGCAGGAGGCCTCGTTGCCTTGCTCTGCTTGCTCTGCTTGCTCTGCTTGCTCGGCGTGCTCTGCTCGCTCGGTGTGCTCTGCTTGCGTTGGTTGGTGTTTTTTGCTTTTCGTAGAGAGCTGCGTCACTGAGGTCTCTGTGTTGGAACTGCTGCGCATGGTCCTCATCTTGCTGGTGGCAATGAGCCGTCTGGAGACCCTGCGCAGGGAATCGCAGGCAGGGCAGCTGAGTAGCTCGTGGCAAGTGACAAGTGGGGGTCCAGGAGCCCAGGGGCTGGCCATGCCCTCACTTGACAGGCGCGGTGGACCCGCAAACACCCGGAACTTTTGGAGGCCAGGCTTGCAGTTCATGTCGAGCGAGGTTGTGCTGTGCGGCTGGGTCCGAAAGTAATGAAGAGGCAGTCTGAGTGAAACCGTCATGGCAAACAGATGGCATGAAACTGGCCCAAGGCACACAAAAGTATGCGATCTGGGTATGGGTCAAAATTAAACCACCTGGGGACCACAAGGTTTGGTCGTTGTTCCATTTACCAGGGTGCCATTTTGGGGTTACCCTATTTTTGACCAACAGCCATCTAAACGGTCTAAACTTGGCCAATAAGTTGTGCAGTTCGATCAGTCCGCATGACGCAATCCCCCGATGCAGGTTCGGCCTGCTGCGCCGCTGGCCTCAATCCCGGGCCCCGGCAAGCGCAGGTGGCCAGGCTTGCCACCCCAACCGCAGCCGCCGCCGCCGCCGCCGCAGGCGCGCAAATTTTCCAAAGCGGAAAGACTCGAAGTGTAGGAGCTTGCGGGTTGGCCGGCGCCTGTTCAGATTGTGTTGTCTCACCAGGCCGCATGTTTCCAGCTGGGGAGTAAGTATTTCATGAGAGCAGTTTTGCTCCAGCAGTCCGGTTCCTGAACGGCTTGTTGCTTCAGAGGTGCCGCGTAGCGCCACAGCTTCTCGCGGTGCATCAGCCTCATCACTCTCGCTCAAGAGCCAGGACAGAAGCTGAGAATCTGTCCTGTAGAGTGTGCTTTCGTGCTTTGCCCTGCGCTATTTCACTGTCTTGGTGTGTTTGTGCTGGCAGGCATCTATTTTTTTGCACACATCAACCCGACTTGTTGCCTGTTAGGCGACACAGAGCGGTCTCTTTTGGGCCCTGCCACGGAAGCTTCGTAGGGGGCTTTGGCTGGGCTCTTGGCCAACACGCGAGCAGAGTGGACAGTTGCACAACTCGGTGACTGCTGTCTACCCTGAGGCAGTCTGCGCGGGTCTCGCCGGAGAAAGGCGTGCAACTTACCTGGAAAGTTCCACGATCAAGATGAAGCAAGGGCCAGCAGTTGCGGCATAACCAGCGGTTTCCTGGCTTATTTTACCCCGGATAGCTCGCTCTTGGTTCCTGAGTGGGACAGTAGTGAGCTGTGCTTGTTTAACTACTTGCTTTAAGATATTCGACTTGAACGGCGGATGGCCTTTATGGCACGCACGAAGGGGCTGCATCGAGAGGGGTTGAAGATACTTGAGGGAGATGTCCATTGAATTCTGTGATGTGATATCCTGGAAGCACAGCTGGAAGCATAGCAGGACTGGACACCTGATTGGACACGCATGCAGGCGCCGAGCAGAAGCCGTCCGCAAGGTGGAGCTTTTTGAGGCGACCAACATCGGTATCTTGCTCTGCTTATGGCACTGTACCGGAGGGCATCACCAACTGCTAGGGCCACGCTTTGTTCATGTGCGAGGTTTTGCCGGATCTGCCCGCATTTTTATGGCACCTAGCAGCTCGTATCACTTCCTGCCAGGAAGGTGGGCATTCAGCCTGACGATCAGTTTGGGGTGCTGGCCTCTAGGCCTCAGGCGACGGAAGCCTCGACGTTTGCGGCGGCTTAAGGTGGTACCCACGGCTAAGGCGAGTTGCAAAGAGCCTTGAGTTTCGGTCCAGGAAAAGGAGTGACGTGTCAAGTCTTCAGGGACCTGGCCAGGCCCAGGCAAGAGAGGTGCAGCGTGGCCCGCGTGTTTCGCAAGACGAGGCTGGTGCTGTGTTTCTCAGAAAGCATGCCAGCCAACGCGAGCACAACTGCATTTTCCAGCCCCCGAAAAGAGCAGATGGGCCCGTACTCGCACTCGATGTGCGTCCAGCGGTCCATGTCCTAATCTTGCATACGTATCTCCTTGGAATCGCCACAGATGCTCCAGAGGAACGTCGCAGGTGAAGCAGCGCCTGGAGGCGCGCGAAGCCGAGCGGGTGGCAAAGATGATGGATATGGTTCCGCCCTGGGAGCCCGGCCCCCAATGGCCCAAGTGCCGCACAGCACTCACCAGGTGTCACCAGATGGCGGTCCCGTTCCCCGCTCCCATGACCCCCATGAGACGCGAGGCCGGAACGTTGGGCCCAGCGTGTGCCAGCGCGCCGGAAGCTCAGAGGGCGAAAGGCACCGGAAAGCAATGCCAGTGCTTTCGTTCGAGTGTACTGATTCAGGGCGCGCTTCACATGTGCAAAGGCTCTGAAGCACCTGCAGTTACATGGCCTTCAGCTGTGTGGACCCTGGAGCACACTGGGAGTGTTCGTTTGGGTTTGGCAAGCTTGCGACTTTGAAAAGCCGGCAACAACGCGAGCATTTCTCGCTTTAGCGTTGGCAAACCGCAAAGTACATGATAGCCTGAACCAGCATGAAGTTTTCCTGCACTGAGTCTTCCGTGTCTTCAAAAAGGACGCGTATCCAAGCAGCCTGTGACGAGTACAGCGTGGGGCAAGGTTTCTTTGGGTCAAAGCTGTCCCGCGAGGACCAAGACCAACAAGTCGAAGGGCTCCAGAGTGCGCTTTGCTGTCACGCCAGAGGAGTTTCCGAGAGAGAACATGCCGGAGCAAAGCTCTCGAAGCCTGGCGCTCTCAGGAGGAGATGTCTGCCATCGTGCCGTCTGCTCGCCACTTAGCCCAGCCTGGAACTTGGACTTGCACTTGCTGCCATCCAGGGCGCGCCCAAAAGGGCCCCAGAACACCCAGAGCAATGAGCCGGTGGCTCATGCATGGCCGTGCCGCAAAGCGGCTGGGCCTTGGAGGATTTTGAAGACGCTCAGTCTCAGTTGCCCGGGTGAGCGGAGATGTTTCAGAGCGAGTCCAGCAATGACGAATGCTCGGCCCGGGCGTGTTTGCAGGACCTCTTTTTCCTTGCAGGGGTAGCAATCTGAGAGGGCCGTGGAGAAAGAGTCCTGCATCTGTTTGATCGCGAAATGCTTGGCATGTGCCTTCTTCCATTGTTTTCTCCTCTCCCTGACTGGAAGGCCTTGTGCTGACGCGCTGAAGCTTCAAACGCATGGCATACCTTTCTCCATATATACAAAGGCTCTCAGAGAAGCGGCATGGATCATCCACACATTCCACTTGCGCAAGCAGAGGCTTTACGGCAGTTGGGGGGTGCATTTTCGAAATCCCTAGCGGAGAGGCATTAAACAAACGAGCCGCAAGTTGGGCGGCACCTTCGGACCTTCGGACCTTGACATGGGCCGAAGGCGATGGAAGGCGATGCGAAAAAGTCTCCCGCACAGCACGGGAGCAGTTGGCGCGAGGCCCGGAGAGTGGACCTGCGAGGCTGTCGGCATCGTCCCGCTTTGCAGAAGCCAGGGTCTTGGAGTCGTGGGAATCGGAGCCCCCCCAACATGGCTTCGGCTTTTCCCTTTGGTTTCCCAAGGGAGGGTGCCACCAAACAAATGACACTCCCAGGAGTGATGACCTGTGAGGATCATTTGGGGCTTGCAGTCCTTCCGGCGAAACTTCCCTGCTCCGAGGATGTCCACCCATCTGGCCATGGGAGTGTGAGCCCGCCTCAGCAAGCATTTTGGGGGGGAGAGATGCTCGAAAACTGCTGTGTTGTGCACTCCGGAGTCACGCGTGCGCCTACTCACAACCATACTTGGCAACGAGTTGTCTTTTTGGTGAGTTGGTGGTTGGCATAGCCACATAGCTCTTGCTTCAGGTTGGGCTCCTGGTACTGCAGAAAGTCAAACGCGTGGGGATTCGCTTGCTGCCTTTGCCTCAGAACTGGCCGCAAGGTGACCGGTCCCAAGAGTTGGCATGCTTCAGGCCACTCGACGGGCCGCCAGGCCTGGCCGGGCCAGAAGGGCAGAATTGAAAGGAAGGGCATGGCGGCATGGCCAATGGCTTGCTCGGGAAAGTGCAGCGGGCATGGGGCAGGCAGGGGTCCAACCGCTCAGGCGCCTCCGTGTCGGGCAGAGGCTCTAGAGGCACCGCCCAGGCCCGGATCTGACGCCCCGAGGCTCTCTTTTTCGCCGCGCGATGCCCAGGCCAGCTGGCGAGGCGGTGCCGCCGGTGCAGGAATCTGAGTGGATGCCAAGGACCTCTTTGGCATGAAAGCGCAGGGGCTGTTTGGTGTGCGTCTGGAACGGAGGTACGAGTCAGGAATTCTTGGCTTGCAGGAGCTCCTTTGAAACTTCTGTGGGTTTCTTGGCGGAAGACCCAGTGTCAATTGATGGGTTGGCGGCGTTCTTACTCAGGGGCGCGAAACTGGTCAGGATAGGGGTGGCGCTTTGCACGCGAGGCTGCAACTGGCTGGTGGGCGGGGCTTGCTGTCATTGACAATGGTGTCATGGTGTTTGCTTCAAACAGCCTATTGCCCGCTCGGTCATTCACGTATCGATTCCTTCAAAACATGATTGGTGCTGAAAAGGCAGGCTGAAAAAGCAGGCTGACATGAGGGGCTTGCAGAGGCCTATGCGCTGCAGCATTTCCTTCATCGTGGGGAGGCCCAATGAAGTGGGCAAGATTGATCCCTGCACTTCTGCTCATTTGCTTTGAGGAGAGGGTTCTCAGTTCAGGGAAAACGCGGGCAGATCGAAGGTCAGGCCATGTCAGCTTCGTGGCCTTGTGGCCAGATGGCCTGAGGCTGGAGACGGGCAACGGGCCAAGACCTCCAGGCGATCTCAATCGACTCGGACAACTTTCAGCCTTGTATTCGGCTGCGCGAGTTTTTGCTTGCTTGATGCAGTTGATTTTTGTGTGTTTGTTTGAGTTTTTTGTTTGTTTGATGTCAGAAAGGGCGTTTGGATTTGTGTCGGACCTGTGAAGGCTGGCCAAAGTTTGGCGCCAGCTCCTCAGATTTAAGACGATCGGACCGCTGCATCTTGGAGTGAATGAGACCCGCCTTGGATGAACTGGTCCGTCCCTTGGCCCAAGCCCTTTGCTGCGCAGCCTGCCTTCTACTTGGGAATGGCAGCCGTTGTGCGAGGAGGAGTCCTGGAGACGGATGACGATAACAATGTGGTGTACCGAGTCATGGAGGCAGACCTGGTTGCACAAGAAATAGATAGATTATTTATTGATGCATATATATATATGGGGGTTGATCAAAAGGTCCTTGCAAGGAGTTATGTATTCGGTGACCATTCGTCTTGGCTTAAATCCCTCCGCGAAAGATCGGCCATGGAGTTCGCGAAAGAAACTTATTTTTTCGCGAAAGATTCCTGGTTGAATTCTTGGAGGCCTGCCTGTGCACTTACATATTTGCAGACCCCGCTCCCCTGTAGAGAGGGAGATACGCAGCACCTACACTTGCATTATTGATTCCCTGCCTGTGTTGGGATTGGTGCAAATCAATAACGTTGGCTGGGCTATTTTAGAGCAAGTTTCGCGAAAGATCCGCGAAAGACCGGCGAAAGGCCAGGGAGCTTGTTGCAAGGTTCCGCACATCGCCGGCAACCGCAAGTGGCAAGGGCGAATGACGGTGGCTGCCTGCACTTGACACTACGTACTGCACGCAAGTGAACTGCGGCTACCGTGTTTGCAAGCACAACTGCAGCAGCCACAATGGCTCCACAGCGCACGCTGCAAACAACAGGGCGTGGCGATGGAGTCGCGAAAGATTCGCGAAAGAAACTGTTTTTTCTCGCGAAGATGGCGTTTTCCGGAAACAGGAATATTGATCAACTGCCATATATATGTGTGCGCGTGTGCTTGTTTGTCTGTTTGTTTGCTTTCTTGCTTGTTTTTTGTTGTGTGTGTGTGTGTGTGTTTGTGTGTGTTGGTGTTGGCATTGCCGTTGGTTTTGGCATTGGTGTTCCTGTTCGTTACTTGTATTTGTGTGTGTGTGCGCGCATGTAGATGTGCGCGTGCATGTGCGTGCGTTTGTGTTGGTGTGTAGCTGTGTGTTTCTGTGTTCCTCTTCTTCTTCTTCTTCTTCTTCTTCTTCTTCTTGATGTTGTTGTTGTTGTTGTTGTTGTTGTTGTTGTTGTTGTTGTTGTTGTGGTTGTGGTTGTGGTTGTGGTTGGGGTTGCGGTTGCGGTTGCGGTTGCGGTTGCGGTTGCGGTTGCGGTTGCGGTTGCGGTTGCGGTTGCGGTTGCGGTTGCGGTTGCGGTTGCGGTTGCGGTTGCGGTTGCGGTTGCGGTTGTGGTTGTCGTTGTCGTTGTCGTTGTCGTGGTCGTTGTCGTTGTCGTGGTCGTGGTCGTGGTCGTGGTCGTGGTCGTGGTCGTGGTCGTCGCCGTCGTCGTTTTTGTTGTTGTCGTTGTCGTTGTCGTGGTTGTGGTTGTTGTTGTTCTTCTTCTTCTTCTTCTTCTCGCCCCTCTCCGGTGACCATTGCGTGCTTCGGCACGGCGATGCGGCCATGCGGCTTGCCGCAGTTGGTTGTTTGTCTCTCCTGTGTCTGTTTGCATCTCGTGCGCCTGGCTCCGCACAGCGTTTGACGACGCTTGGTTCTTGTCGCACGCCTGGGCACTTTGTTGCAACTGGCGCTCCTTCAGAGCTGCCCTGTGTTGACCCTCCTAACTTGTGGAGGCAGAGGTTCTCGCGCCGTGCAGGGGGAGACACCAACGCTTCTCCACCAAAGAATCCAAATTTGTGTTGTGCGCATCTTCTGCTTCATTGCTATGTGGTGCGGTAGTTTTTAAACGCTGTCATCATCTGTAGGAAAATCAATGCACAAGGGATTTAATGCCAGTGGCTTATGTCAGGAGCTTATGTCTTTCAATCCCAAATGCAAGCAATTTCCACAAGATCAATGCTCAATATTCAAGATTAAAATGCATAAGCTTGGTGTAGGATTGAGCTAGCAATGCGTGGTGCAGATATCACTTCGGGATGCCAAACTACCCATGCGACCTCTGTGCTGCTGTTTCGTTGTTCCAACTGTGCCACTCGGGCTTGAAGCTTTTGTCACATTGCCGAGGACCCTTAATGGTCAGTGCCGCGTGCGTCGTGCAATTGGCAATCTGAACAGTGTCTGCGTTGGGGGTGCGTGGGTGGGTGGGTGGGTGGGTTTGTTTGTTTGTTTGTTTGTTTGTTTGTTTGTTTGCCTGCTTGGTTGGTTGGTTGGTTGGTTGGTTGGTTGGTTAGTTGGTTAGTTGATCAGTGCGTTAGTTATTTGCTTGGTTGGTTGGTTTCCCCCTCTTATTTCATCGCTGTTGTTTGCCTTTGAAGCAAGTGAAGCTTCGCATGGACTGCCTGCTGGATTTTATGAACTAGATTGTTTCTGCTTTGGGCTCTGTGCCTGTTGGTTACTGCGCTGGTATCCATCCTTGGGCAAGCTTGCTTTGGACAGCCTTGTGTTTAGTCGCTTGGACCTTTGCCACCGGGTTCACCTCATGCTTGTTGTAAATGTGTGGAGCCATTGGCGATGCCAGGTGCCTGACATCCCAGCTGCCATAGAGGCCGTGGCTCTGGCCTTTTACGAGGGCGAGCCTGTGATGCTGGCCTCTGGCGGCACGCTGCGCGACTGGCAGCGCTTCGCCGAGATGTACGTGCCTCGCATGGCCGCGGAGGGGCATACGGTTTTGGCGGTGGAGAAGGCATCCGGCCAGATCATCGGGGCCTTCCTGAACGAGGACTTCAACAATCCGGATCCCCAGGACTTTGAGCACTTCCTGGAAAGCAGCGACGGCGACTGGAGGCCGATCATCGGCATGGTGGAGGACCTGGAGGAGAGCCTTATGAAGGCCCACTCCATTCCGCTGCAGGCCTCAGAGCGGCCCGCAGGCCAGTTCTTCCACCTCTGGATGATTGGCGTGTCTTCTTCCGCGCGGGGCCGAGGCGTCGCCACAAAGCTCTTCCATCACTCCCTGGCACTGGCAAAGGCGTGGCCAGCCCGGGTGGGGCAGGAGGCTTGTTTGTCGATTTCGTTGCGGCTCGCCGGAAAGTGGCTTTTCTGAATTTCTGGTGGCTTCGGTGGATGTTGGTAGCTTCTATGGGTGGAAAGTGGCCTGGCGTTTGTACCTGCCCCATTCCACACCCTGCTCCCTAGCGCTGAAAGTTTAGGTCTTGAGTTGGAATCGGTTTTGCTGTTACGGATGCCAACGGGTTTTTGGGCAGTTGTGCAAGACAGATCAGGCCGCAATTAGGCTTGCCAATGATGATGATGATGATTTTGATGATGGTGGTGGTGGTGGTGGTGGTGATGATCATGATGATGATGGTGGTGGTGGTGGTGATGATGATGATGGTGGTGGTGGTGGTGGTGGTGGTGGTGATGATCATGATGATGATGGTGGTGGTGGTGGTGGTGATGATCATGATGATGATGGTGGTGGTGGTGGTGGTGGCGGTGGTGGTGATGATCATGATGGTCATGATTGTCATGATGATGATGATGATGATGATGATGATGATGATAATGATGATAATGATGATGATGATGATGATGATGATGATGATGATGATGATGATGATGATGATGATGATGATGATGATGATGATGCTAGTGCGACTGCCCGAGACATACATTGACAGGAAACTCGACCCTAAAGCAATCGTTCTACACTTTTGGCCACCGAACCAGACCCAAAACGATTCCAAACGGACCCTCAAGCCAACAGCTCGCCGGTGATGGTAGGGGTGTTTCCAGTCATGCCACAGGTGTGGAATGATGCTGGTACGACTCGCCGAAAATGCCTTAGGATTTAAGTCCTCGAAAATGCTATAGCATGTCGGCATTTGGGCCCAGGAAGCAAGCCCAAAAACAACAGGCAGCATGAGAAGCAGAAAAGCACCGTGCATTTGCCTCCCTTTCTCTGGGCGCGAGCGGCAAAGATACCAAGGGAGCCGGAGCCCGAGAGCCGAATTCGTGGGGCCTCCGGCGCCTTCGGCGCCTTCAGGCGCGGGGCTTCAAGCTCGCCTTCGCAGAGTGCACGGGGGCCGTGAGCACGCACATCTTCCAGCGCTTCGCGCCTCGCCTGGACAGCTTCGTCAGCTATGAGACCTGGGACAAGCTGCCCACCTCCCCTGAGCTGAAGCAGCTGAAGCAGAGTGGGCATCCTGGCATGTCCATGCTTTCCGTGGACCTGGCCTGAACACAAAGTGAGCCAGGCGGAAAAGAGGTTTGAGCATGATAGCCGGTTTTGAGCGTGTGCACGGCACAGCTTTGGCCACGCCGACTCCAGGTCGCAGAAGGCGCTTCACGAGACCGAGGGTGCAGTGAATGAGCTTTGCAGGAAGCTAGGTGCGCACAACTATTCTGGTTACCGGTATTTTGGCAACTTATTGAAGCTCTCTGGTTTTACGGCTTTGTGATACCATGCTGCGTTGGACGGCCGGTGTTTGAGTCTTTGAGGTGCGCAGCGCCTGCCGCCACAGCTGCTGCAGAGGCTGGAGGAGAGATGGGAGCGAGGTGTCCAGCAAGGCAGCCAGCCTATGACCCCGGATGAATCAACCAACCTGTTCATTAGGGGGGTCCCTGGGTTTCTGGGTCCCTGGGTGAAATGTGGGGAATCAGCCCACTCTTGAAGGGGCCCCGGCCACCTATGAATACACAGGTTGGTTGATGAATATGGGGTCAACATTGAGAACAAAGCGCGCAGAGGGCAAAGTGTAAATCCAGAACTCGTCTGCAGCACCCTGCAAGCTGGGGATATGAATGCCAGGACATGGTTACCTGCATGGGGGATCGAGAGTATGCGAATGCCAACAAGGTAGGGACCAGCAGCTCCGACCATGGTTCACAAAGCAGAGCTGGTCTGAACATCTTTTGCGGGAGTCGGAAGTCAGATGGCGGAGGCAACTTGTGAGGTGGTCCACACGTTCGCTCCTGATTCTTGAGTCCTGATTTTTTCTCTTATTTTGCTAGATCTACATGGACCTGGTCATTGGCACCAAGAAGTGGCTGAGCGACATGCCATATATGGCGCGCAGCTGGTAGACAGTTGGTCGGATTGCATAGCCCTTTCAATGTGCAGGTGAACTTCTCCATGTCCCGGCAGGACACAGAGGCCGGAGAGTGGTGGCGAGTGTAGCCACGCTGTAAAAGCACGCGATGAACCTCGCTCGGACACCGCCCAATCACCGCAAGGTGCATTGGACGCCAGAGTCCGGTAGCCATCCCGTGGACGAAGCTGGGCTGCGCAGCCACGTGGTCTCAACCTAAGGTGATGGAAGAAGGCTTAGTTGCGTCAATGTCTTGAATCGAGCTTGGCCGGAGTATAGGCAGAGTGACAAGCATCACGGAGGGAGGAAGTGAACAGAGAAATGACATCCGAGCTAATCGCACTTACAAATCGGCTTTGCTTCTGATTTACGAGCATGGTGACCGATTGCTGTTTGAGCATAGCTGTTTGTGTGGGCCAAGTGCCAAGATTGAAATGAGGTTGCGCTGCGGCGCCTGATGACGGCGTTGCAGGCCAGACCGCAAGACCGCAATGCGCAGGTGACACGTCGGGCCCAAAGCAACTTGCCAAGGCGCTGAGCCCAAATGCCGATCCGTCAAAGAACTGCGGCTGAAGAAAGACCGGAGCAGAGTTGCCAGCGCAACGGCAGATGAGAAATCGGCGCCAAGACTTGAATTGCGCTTAGTTGGAGCAACGGTGTCTGTTTTTGATCGGCCGACATTGGTCTCTATCCCCTGCTGGTACCTGGGTGCTCGGCTTTCAGCCCAAATAGGCACTGAGTAGGCTTAGGCGCTGCGCATGGCTTCTTTCGAGCGGCCTCCTGACTGGGCCGGGCACCCAGGCTTTCGCAAGCCTCGCCTGAAGGGACCAAGCCATGGCAACTGAGCTCTGTGGAGGCTGCCGCCACCTGCTTGGAGAACTTGCGGCAGTACCGCGACCTGACGTCCCGTGAGGCAAGATGCCACGGTGGTTTAAGTTCAGACAGAGCCATGCCCTGCAACACTGCGCATGATACCATGCGTTGCCTTCCCCATGCTGTAGTAGCTGTAGTGGCTGGTTCCTCACCCCCGTTGCCAATCTGCCAATCTGCCAATCCGCATGTTGCCAGGTCGAGCGCGTACGGAGAAACCTCAACGGCCTTTCCGATGATGACAAAGCCTCGCTCATCAGGAGACGTTTCGCACCCCTCTCACCAAGTGCTGACCGGTTTGCGGGCATCGCGAAAGGTAGCCTTAGCCAGCTGAATTTCCAATTGCGCAAGAGCATGGGCTGAACCGCCACTTCTTGAGCCCAACTGATTGATCCAACCGCCCGTCCGGGTCGGCCCTCCCCCAACAGGGCCCTGGGCTTCCATGCAGCTGGCAGGGAGTATCTGGCATTTCTGCTACCAACATGGTGTCGGCAAGAATTGGATCAACAGCCTTTGGATCACGCTTAAGTCAGTGCATGGGCTGAAAAATCTTGACATGTCGATCTTATCGAAAGATTGGGTGGAACTAGTTCGGCCCGGGGCGCCTTCAGGTTCTAGGCTCGCTTCGGCCCCAAGCCCGTGACTGGCTCCTTGCGTCTGCTGTTTGTTCTCAAGTTTTACTCATCCCTGAAGCAGGGATTGTCAAGGATACCCCCGCGGGCACGAATGCGGGCTGACAGCGCAGCATACGACATGTGTGCCAGGAAGCCTGAGGAGCAGGTAAAGGCAATGGAGGAGGCTTGGGGCAATGACACTGCTCACATGTGGGGGGTGATCAAAAGGTGCTTTACATGAGGTGACCATTGGGGAAACCGCCAAAAAGATGACTTTAACCACTAAGTGGGAAAAGTCACCCGTGGTCATTTTGAAGGCTGTGACGACTTTGCAGCTTTGCACATTTGGCTCAGCTTGCAGGGAGAGATGGCATCAGAGAGCATTTGAGACTCATCGAAAACACACATTTTGCGGAAAGCTGTTTGGCACGGCCATGGGGCCGGATGGCTCCAAGTCCGGATGCTACGAGTGGTCCCCAGCTCAGAGTTGCACACAGCTCAGCCACACAAAGATATCCAATCAGTGCAAGGAAGGCCGCAGGTCCATGTTGGGCAGTGCCGAGGTTAGTGCCCTTTGGTGAGTTGAAAAGCTACTTCCAGAAGCTTGAGTTGGAGACGCCTGGTGGGCTTTGCTCTTCGTCGCTTTGCGCATTCGCCCGGGTTTTGGGGGTCCAGTCTTGTTGCTGGTCTTGTTTGGCACTCGGATGCGCGCGGTGCGGTCGAACTTCGAAGCCGAGAACGCGACTTGGAAGCCAAGGAGGGGCATCGACAGCTCGGTGGTGGTTGTCGGCTGTGGCACGCCAGACGCTTAGAGCCCTGGCGCAGCTCCGAAGCGCGCCACCGTCGGACCGTGGCGCTTTTGGGGCGTCGAGGTCCAACCTCTCCGCAGACCTGCAGGAGGTCTTTGGCTTCCGGCAGGTTCTGTCCATCGACTACAGCGATGCCGTGATATCTCACATGAAGGCGCGAGCCTCATGGTGCTGTCCGTGTGCGCAGCTTTAACGCTAATTGACTTATTCATTCAGTCTTCCAGAATGGATTTGTCACTTGCCTGGTACCAGTCTTTCAAGACACTCTTCCGAGCGGCCCCGAGCGGCTGCTCCAACCAGGCTCGCTTTGGCTCCTGCGATGCTCTGAGCTTTCATCAAGCAGATCTCACTCAGCCCTGCGGTCACGTGTCTAGGCCATGGTTGGGTGTGAAGCGCGTGGGAGGTGGTCCAGACCAAAGCAGCCAATCTCAGAATGGGAGTCATGACGTAGGTCCCGGCAGTACCTGTTGGTTCTTTCTCTTCAACCCCCATCAAGAAAAAGAGTCCATGTCATAGAAAGCTTCAGAACTCCACTGCACACGGAAAACCGTGGCAGCTCTGCGACCTGGTTTCGCTTAAACGGTCTGAGTCACTGAGGTTGTGCCGGACGGAACTGCAGATCTCGTGGTCGACAAGAGCACGCTGGACTGCAGCTTGCTTGCACCCCAACAGGGATGGCAAGCGACAGCAGAGGCATGTGGTCTTGTTTTTGTTTTTTTCCTGGCCAAGGCCTGCTGTGCAGCGAGGGTGCGGTGGGCCTCATTTGCAACATCTCCCGCATGCTGCGAGTGGGGGGTCTCTACGTTGTCATCTCCTTCCACGAGGCGGCCGCTTGGCCAGACTGGCCCATGCTCTGATTGCGCCCAGAAAGTGCGCGGGCTGTGAGGAGTTCCTGGTCGGCTTCTTGTCGCTGGCTTTCACAGTGGAGTCCGTGACCAGCCTGAAGCGATCCACAGGCCCAGTTGATTTTCGTTGGCATCAGCTGGTTTGCAAACCCACCCCCGGCGCAGGAGCTGATGTGCGGGCATTAAGCCTCCGGAAGACAGCGGAGGTGCCTTTTCGGTCTCCGGCGGCATGCGATCGGGGCCGTTATGATGCGTTCCAAAGCCTGTGTCAATGCCAGCCGCATGAATGCCATGCGTGCCATTCCCCTCCTTGGAACACACGGCGGCAGCAGCAGCGGCGACAACCGCGGCAGCGGTGAGCAGACTTAGCTGTGCTTGTGCAAGTGTTTTTTCCCCATTTGTTTGGCCGCAAAGGATATGCAAGAGATCGAGCGACATGAGCGTTTTCACCGCCTCCCCCTAGTAGGAACACTAGCATCCCTGGTGAATCATAGGCGTGTTCACCTGGTTGCTCATGCCTCCAAAAGTAACGTGCATTGGTTCTTTCGCACGTGCCCGAGCCACTTCCCCCCTGCCATTTTTTTAAATTAAAATAACAAAACAGCGCTTCTTATTTTGGCTTCCCTTCAAAACCGCCAAGCAAGGGCCGCCCTCCCAGAAATCCACACCCATGTGGCAATGGCGCAAACAAATGTACCAAAATGGCACCTTGCTAAATGGAACCAAAGACTTCAACCTGCGTAACCCTGGCTCTTTGACTTTGTGAGCCACACCCACTTGACGACATCCTGACGCTTGTCTGACGCTTGTCTGGAAAAAAAAGCTCATGCAAGCCTCAGGAGAGAACGCCAGAAGCAGGTAAGCCACACCCATGTCATGATATCAGGAGGGTGCTTGCTGCCTCCGCGCGCGGCTGCAGTCCTGGGAGGCGAGGCGGAAGTCGCTGCTGACGCCGCGGCGCGCCGAGACCATGGAGGCCTGGCCTCAGAAAACCCATCGAATCGAAGCGAAGTGGTGGTGGTTTGGTGGTTTGGACGTTAGGGTAGTGGGATCAAGGCTGAAAATCCGACCACTTCTGTGATACAAGTTGAATCTCCTCGCTTAGTCTTTGGGAAGCCCTTTTTTGTTGTATCACAGAAGTGGTCGTTGCCCACAGCCCTAAACGTTAGGGGGCTAGCTCCCCCCATTTGGTTTCAAAAGGAACTGGGGCTCAAATGCCAAGCCACCCATCCAACCCACCAATTGGAGGGAAGCTGATGGCCGAATGAAATGCATCCAATCGATCAGATCCTTGGCTCATGTTTCACTTTTTGGTCCTGGAATGTCTGGGACGGTCGTCATTTTTCGCACCTCCAACTAAAGTCAACAGCGTTTCTGTCGGCCTCGGAAAAATAGCCCGTTTCACTGGCTAGGGGGATACGGTGAGAATCATTGCTCGCGCGTCGCGCGTATGTTTGATTTGCGCGGACTCTCTGCTGAGCAGGCTGCCTGGCTGGCTTCCAGCAGGACTACATTGAGTGGTAGCCGCGAGCAGCAGCAGTTGAGTTTGCAGGACCGGTGCTGTCGACCAGCCTTGCCTTCCCATTGAAGAGGCAGGGGGGTTTTCTGCCTGGGAGGGGGAAAGGTGGGGTTCTGGGCTTGCTTCAAGTGCCAAGCCGTGTCCAGCTTCGTGAGGCTTACCTGGCAATGTTCACAGACACAGAAGCCCGGCCCAACAAGAAGCATGTCGCCTTGCTGTTCAAAGAGTGCTCGGCCCAGATACAAATGGCTCCTGTGCAAACCAAGGAAAGAAGGGAGTACATGCTGGCAGATTTCGAAAGTGCCCTTTGGCTGGAAACAGGCTTTGCCCCCCGAAGATGGCAGTTTGCAACATTCTCGGCTAATCCTGAGATATTCTGTTCAATTGCATAAGTGTAAGGACTTGGCCGAGTTTCGACCTGGATGCGCGGGCTTGACTTTCTTGGACGCCAAGGAGTTCCTATCTGCGATGCAATGATGCCTAAAAAGCCCAGCAGGAGTGCGAGGCACCGAAGCAACCGGCCGAGCCTGGCAGACATGGACGCTGCCCCGCAGCACGCGCATGCTTTGACCAAGGGAACCGGCGGCACCCACTCGGCCCGGCAGATGTGGCTGAAGCAGCGCCACAGCGTAGGACGTCACCGACGTCCGAGCCGACCCCGGAGACTGAAGATCTGACCTGGCGGCCTAGCGGCCCGAGTCGCCGGAACTGCCCGCAATTGCCATTGCGGTCCATGCTGGCGAGCTCAGCTGAGCAGTTTTTGCGGCTGGGTCAAGGACGCTGCGGAACAAAGCAACTGCGCGCGTGGAACCGAGGGGCATGACCGCATCAGTTTCGGATTCCAGTGGTTCCCGGGGGCTCGCAGGCGGTGGCCGCGACCTTGACCGTTGTGGGTAAGCTGGAGGAGTTGCTGGAAAAGGCACGCGGTTCAGAAAGTGCTTGGCAGCAAAATGGCTATGGCTCAAAAGACTGTACCCCCAGTGCACATCCCAATCCCCACTAAAATAGATTAAAAGGGGTGGTGCACCTAGCCCGAAATGGTACCACTGGTTTGGAACCACAGCCACATGAGCGCCTTGCCGCAAGACGGCTGTTTCGGAGCTGTCCCAGGAAGCACAGACTGCAGAGAAGGGATCAAGGCCTGCGATCCGCATTCGCTGAACACATCCGCCTGGACTGCATGCAAACTCATGAGGTCTGCAGAGGTTGTTTTAGTTCGTCCGCTCGATGCATCTTCAGCCTGTGCAAAAGTGCAACATGGGTGATGAACCTTATTTTCCAGGGGGATCAATACTCCTGTGGGCACAAAGCCGGTCGGCGCCTCAATCACCGCGCTGGTGCTTTGATATTTGCCGTTGCCGGACACGTCACATGTGGTTTACGCACTTTCTTGCGCAGCACCCATGCTCAGGTTCAAACTTTGCTGCAAACATTTGTGTGTGCGCCCCAGCATGCTGGCACCCCCAGCGCTGTTGGAGAGAACTGTTGAGGGTAGCAGTACCCTCCCACCAATCAACATGGACCTGACAGGGGGTCCTGGAAGATCATTTTCCCTTGAAGGGACAACCTGCCAGGCGCCATATTACTTGGTGGTACTTTCATCCGTTTTCCGGCCCCCTCTTTGCGTTTGATGTTGGGCACACTGAGGCGGGAGTGGTCGGCAGAGGGCCTTCAGGATGCCACTTTTCTTGGCCCACGGGTGATTTTTTGGAAATTGACAAAGATCCATGCAGCTTCTCCGAGAAATCCAACGAAGAGCCGGTGAGGGGGGTTTGCAATGTCCGATAGGGGTACTTCCCTTAGGTCCCCTAGCTGTTTGGCTTGCAGGAGCGCGGGGCTTGCTTCGAGAAACTCCTGGGCGCCATGGAGAAGAGCGCCAAGGAGGCCCTCAAGCGGCTGGGTGCCTGTTGCCAGCTGTCAACAAAGCTCTCGCGAGGCCAGCCGGGTACTGTTGCCTGCCTCCTCGCTAGGCCTGCCGGACAAAACTGGGGGATGGGACGCATGCTCTAAGCCCCAGCGACCCTCAGCAAGCCATGGCGGTCTTGGCTCGGCCGGCTTCGCAGCTTGTCACGCAGGCAGGTTGGCCTTCGACGTAGCTTCTCGCGGGCACTCGGTGGAAGCCTGCGAAGGCCGGGGATTGAAATCGCCTCCAGCCAAGCACCTCCAGGCTTCCATAGTCTGCGATGGCAAATGGGCGCTTGTTGAACTGAAAGCCTAGCATTCAGAACAGGTTGGACACATTTCTTAGGCGCATCCTAGATGTCCTTGCCTGGTGGACCTGCATCCGTGCATCGCTAGAGGCCGGCTGCTGCAGTGGTACGGCATGGAGCTGATCCGGCAACACAGTTCAACAGAGGCTTCTGCAGTCTCCTGCCTTGGCCGTGGTTTCCAAGTGCGGGTGTCTGGAGCAACACGGGCATACCTCATTTTGGGTACCTAGTTTTGACCCACAGCCACCTTGGAGCAGACGTTGCAGACCAGACAGCCAAGTCGGCAACAGGACCATGCAACAAGTGTCAACAGGCCTTGCGGCCCCAGCCCTTTGCCCTGAACACCTGCAACCGGCCGGGGGCCGTAGCCAGGCGCATGTTGCGTTCACCGTGTTGCTTGGCACCTCTCCATTTGAGCGGTGCCGAAGCTGAGGCTAAAATTTTCGGACAATCATCGCGCAACTCCAATTCCGGATGTCGATGTCAAGGACCGCCGGGCATGTTACGTGGAGCGTTCAGCCTTCATGTCCATGCCTGCAGGATATGCTGCCTCGGCAGCGCTTTGGCGACTTCACTACGTTGTACGACGCGTCAGATGCCAAAGAAAGCCGGTGAACCCAGTTGAGCAACCATTTTCCAGCAGAGGTTTCCCAGCAGAGGGCAAATGCAAGCGCATGCCCTATCACCGGAATCGTGCAAACTCTCGCGCGAAGGCTTTGACTGCCTGCTGTCAGCATATGCGCTGGACTTGTCTCCGAACGTTTTTCGCTTGGTCCTCATACTCGTGCAAGTTGGACTGCGTGATTGGCTGAGCAAGAAGCGGGCCACATCACGCAATGTGATTGATGCATGTGTTAGCGCTGGATGAGTTTGGATGCCGCATGATCTTTTTGGCATGTCATTTCTGGTTTTTGCTTTCAAGTCTTGTATGTCTGAGTCCTCATGAGCACCTCCCTTTCGCAATGCCGCAATGCCCAGGTTTCGTGCGCACAGCCGCACATGTCCTCAGGCCTGGCGGTTTGCAGCGCCCCCAGCACCCCAGCACGCCGGCATTCCCGATCCCCAAAGCAGCCAGACGGATTCAGATCTCAGTCAATGCGACCCGTGCCCTGCCAAGAAGGTACCCTCCCCCAGAACATGGAAGCCAGGACCCTTTTGGAAGACTTGGTTCCAGTTACAGGGGCCTTCTGGGAGCTTCCATGTTAGGCTGAGGAGTGAAATCCGCTGGGTGTTGAGGTGGGCCAACTTCGGCCCGCTGGCATACGACTCGGATCACGACGAGGCCCAGCCCGGTGCTGGTAGACCTCTCTGAAATGGACCCCTTGCAATCAATGGAAGCAGCGCATACCCGTTCTATATAAAGGTGGTGGGTAAGGGCCCATTCAACATTTCCTCGGATTTGGCGTGGCAAATCATGGTTTGGTGCAAAGTGACAAGAATGACTGGCAACGCGCCGCCAAGACTTGTTTGAAACGGCTGTCGGATTGCACCAGTTCTTTGGCTCAAACTTCCGAGCGGCTAGATGGACCTCAGTTCGAGGGGCCCATGTGGCGGCGGCAGCCTGATTACTATGAGGTTCTCGGGCTCGCACGGACGGCGACCGCGGATGACATCCGCCGGGCCTACAGATTCTTGACTTGCAAAAACGGACCGTTTTGCTTGGAGCTTTTGTAGGGATGGTCATCGGCCAGGTTGATGCTCTCATTGACTCATAGGTTTTTGGACCACCAAGAAGGATGCTCTTGGGGTATCCATGGCCATGATCTTCAAATGCACGTGTGGGTGCATGACATCTAGTCCTGCCAGCCTGCCTGCCGAGAAAAGCAAGCACTCCGACATCATCCGGATAAGAATCCGGGCAATGTGGAGGAAGCGACCGCCAAGTTCAAGCTGGCTGTTTGGCAGAGATTTTTTGTTGTTTCAAAATGAAGGTGTCCTGCCTGTGATGTTCCATCCGAGGTTTCGGAGGCTTACTCCATCCTGCGGCTTGGCTCGTTGGACTTGTATCTTGCCATGTGACGCGTGAAATGCAGCCCGGCATCACCAGAAAACAGGAGCCATGGCAACTTTTCCATTAGTTTGGCGGCTTGTTTGGCAAAACCATTGCTGCCAGGATACCCTAAGCTTTGGGAGCACCTGAAAGGATGATCAGCTTTCTCGCCTCTGAGGAATGACCCGTCCCGGCGAGCCGCATACGACTCCGGCAAGCTGGAACGCAGCTCGGCGAGGAAAGGCAGTTGGCAGATGGATAGTTGGGTTGACAACACTTGGTTTGCTTGCTGAAGCGGCCTGACATGGGCTCTTGGCACCCCACCTCTGGTGGACGGCTTACCTATGCTGCGGCGGAGAGAGAGAGAGAGCGAAAAAACAAAGAGCACACTTGGTATGCTGTAGTGCGAAGTTCTGCTTGCTAGTTTCGGCGACCTCAATGCTCAATCCCAGCAAGAGCTGGAACAACTCAGGTCAAGACTCCGAGCCTACTTTCACTACGAACATGGCTCACGACCTCTTCCGCGATGTGTTCGGCCCCTTTGCTTCGCAGTGCGCACATGCGTGCACCAGCGTGCTCAAACACAACGTGTAGCGCACACCCACCAAGCCTCACAATTCCTTGTGCGGAGCTGAGGGGCGGAATTCGCTCGGCGCCTGACAGAAGCAGCAGGCCATGCGAGCATCTTGTCAACAAATGCAAGTTTGACTTGTGTGTGTGTGTATGTTTTTTGTTGTCCGTGTTTTGCTTTGCTCTGGTTTGTTTGTTCGCTTGCTTGCCTGCCTGGTTTGCTTGCGCGTGAGTGAGTCAGTGAGTGAGTGGGTGGGTGAGTGGGTGAGTGGGTGGGTGGGTGGGTGGGTGGGTGGGTGAGTGAGTGAGTGAGGGGGGAGGGAGGGAGTGAGTGCGTGGTGCGTGAGTGCGTGGTTTGCGTGGGTGGGTAAGAATGAGTGAGTATGTGAGTGCACGCGTGCGTGTGTGTTTGTGCCTTCGCACTGCCTCGAGGCAATGCGGTGGCAGGCACCATTGACTTGGTGGCAGAGAGTGAGAGACATAGCTGCAGATATTTGCGGCCATACTAACCTCGAAATCGGCAACCAATCCAGTCAGACAGCCCGTCCGGCCGGAAACAGGAAACGCGGCAAAGCCGAAGGTCAAGCAGCTTAGCAAGATGAAAGGAAGCAGCATGTTTTGGAATGGGGATGCGCAACGCAGCAAAGGGGGAGGCAGTTTGCTGGTACGGCTGCTTGAGCGGAGTGCAGCTCCGTTGCCATAGTTGGCATCAGGACCTTCAAGGCGGCAAAGAGAGCGACCACAACTGGCATCTCCAAAGCAGCGGAGTCGATGGGCAACAGCCACGTGGTCACTTGGACGACATCGAGCAATGGAACCCACCTCCAGTTCCCTTTTTGGAACCTCCAAGGCGCACTCGTCATGCCAGGCATGTCTTTTCCTGTCTCCCTCTGGCGGTGTCCATTGAAACGATCACCACTTTGAGGTGAAGAGCGCGGTGGCACAGCACCTGGGCACTCTGACGGACAAAGCGAACAGCAAACTGGCAGACAAGGCAGGACCCGGACCCCCAGCAGCTGGGTGAAGGGGACGATTTTGGGTCGCAGATGTGAAGCGATGTGCAGAGATGTGCAGAGATGTGAAAGAAGCAGCAAGAAGCAAACAGCTCCACCCAGCTTTACAGCTTTCGGTTTTTGCTCTAGGAGCGCGCGGAGTGCCTGTCGAAGCAGGCGCTCGAGCTCCAGCGGCGAAGGCGAGGATCTGTTCTCCGTCCGACGACGCACAGTCGCGAGTCGCGCGTCGCCAGCGAGTCGCCAAGTACGGCGTGCTGCAACTTGCATTTTCTTGTGCACTGGCAAGGCTGGATGAGCACTGCCTGAAAGTGGCCCAAGAGAAGAGCGCGAGGGGCTCACGGAAGATGAACTGGTGGGAATCTACCTGGGAGCCACGAAGCCGCATGTGGTGCCGTGTCTCTGTCTTTTTAAGGGCCCCCCCCCCCCAAATTGGTGTTTTCCTTTTGGTTTCCTTTATTTAAAACCCACAAAAAAAAGGGGGGAAACCCCAAAAAACGAACACGCCCAGCCGAGTCTTCCCCACTGTTCAGACCTCGGGCAGTTGCACGGCCGGTGAGGTGGCTCAACGGCGATCAGGCGGCGGCAGACCTGCTGGCGGATAAGAAGGCGTCCACCGAGTGCCTCAGCGGCGTGTGGCTGCAAGCCTGGCTTCCGGTGTTCATGTGGCTGTTGTCAAAACCGTTTTGGGATACCATGTTGGTTGGTAGGTGAATTCACCCATTTTAGAACCTATTTTAGTGGGGATTGGGATGTTCACTGGAAGTACGGCATTTTGACCATGGCCATGTGGTGCCAGGTTCGGTTTGTAGGATTCTTGGCCCTCGGTGGGCGCGTGATGGGTATGTAAGGACCAAAAAGCTCCAGCCACCTGGCATGCCGCACGCGGGAGTGTTGAGCATCGCAGACACAATATGTGCTTGACACGTTGGTTCAAACTACTTACGGGCCATCTTGTGATTTCATGCTTGAAGAAGCTTGGTCGTGAACCTGATTAAGCTTTTGAAGAGGTTGCAGGGCGGAAATTCCGGGCTGCGCCGCTGAGGGCGCAGCTTCTTTGGGCCAAGACTGCCTGGCAGAAGGCTGCCAGCGACTTGGATGAGGCCAGGTTGCCCCAGACGGACGGACAGACGGACAGACTGGCGGACGCATGTCGGAGGCCGATGTCTTGTTGTGAAGGTCAAATCTGCATTGACACCAGTCCTGTGCCATGACTCAACCTTTTAATCTGATCTGCTTGGCCCAATCCCGAATCGCGGATGAGTCCACGGAGTGTGGTCACTTCTCCACTCGGCTCCGTTGTTTCGCAAGTGAAAGGCTGGTCCTTTGCGAGGCTCGATGGCAAGCCAGCGAAGCAGAGAAGAAGGAGCTGTCAGCCCTGCAGCAGGGCGCGTTAGGGCCCCATGCAAAGAGCTCTGAGAACTATTGGAAAAAGCCTCCGTTTGTCTTGAAGTTCAAGTAAGGTCACTTCAAGATGCTGCCGAAGCAGGGGCGTTCATGGTGAACAGCGCCGTAGCTGAACAGCTGGCCCGGCGCAATATTTTTGGCGCTCGTCGTGGTCTTTCATTTTCAGTCGGGCTTTTTCGCGTCCATCTGCGCCCGACCTTAGGCTTCCTGGACCGTGTGCGCTGGGGCGAGGGCGACTCGCGGCGAGCACGGAGGCAGGGCTTCAGCGTGAGCCTTTGGAGCTTTGAACGCAGCTCTACCGTACTTCACGGGTCCCTATATTTCCCTTTTTTGGTGGTTTTGAACACCTTTTTGGCCCATGAAAGGTGAGGGCCCCTTGGTGGGATGTCTTAAGGGGAACAATAGGGAGCCCTCGTCATTTGTGCAAAGGACAGGGGAGTCAAGGGGTGAAGAGTCCCTACATGGAGGTCCCATTCCACTTTCGGAGGGGCCCAAACCCTGGGGAGCCCTGCGCGTCTGTGTTCCCGCTGCAAGGTCTGTAGCTTGAGCGCCCACGGCTTGCAGCACCACGGCACCGATGCATCAATGCACTCGGTGCTTGCAAATGGTTCGGCCACGGGACTCGCTGGCCTTTTCTGTTTTTTTCTTCTTCTTTTATCTTTTTCGCAGGTGTCACCTGAATTAACAGAATCCCGCATGCAGAGACACGCTGAGAAAGGCTCAAAGAAGAACAGCCTCCTTGGAAGCAAAGACAAGCGTGTGCTTTGCTGTGGGTGGTACAGGCCACATAGCTTGCTTGGGGTTGGAGCTACCCTTCCCACATAGCCCATACTTCAACAGCATGACTGACGCCTTTTGCCGGGCAAAGTAGTGTGGGTTAGGGCTGCTGAGCTATCTTCCAGTGTAGCCAGCCCTTGAAGTAAGCACGCAAATGTCACGCGGGTGGTGTCAAGGGAAATGGGCTCGCCCGTAGTCAGAGACCCCTTGTGGTTCGCAGTGGAGCGGCCTCATCGTTGCATGGAGCAGCATGCACTGTGCCTGTCATGTGCCCATGCGCGCGCACGCGCAGCCGTATACACCTCACATACATCCTCACGCATCTTCCTCACATAGAAACATGGCACGCAAGCAATCATGGAATTGTGGAAGTCTGCATTTGCAAGATGCTTGAAGACTTGTAACGAGGAGAGCCTGGCAGCATTCAATTGGAGGATTTGCTGCATTCGCAGCGTGCTCGCACAAGCCAAGCCCGTGGCTGCTGCCATGACCCCGGACTACTATACTGTTCTGGGCGTTGAGCGCGATGCCCGGCCAGCGCAGATAAAGAAGGTGGGCGCACGGTGGGCTTGATCAAGATCATCCCACACCTCATGTATCTTTGCATGCTGCAGCTTGTCGTAGTCTCGTGTGCCACGTGGAACCCCGAAGGCCCAAAAGGAAGATAGTAGGGCCGAGTCTGGCTCAAGTAATGTGTAATGTGAAACCGCACTGCCAGCTCTAGAATTACACCTGCACATTTGGCATGCAAGAATCCTTGGGCTTATTTCAAGGTCAACATGCGCAACAGTGAGTCCGCAAGCTAAAAGGAGGCAAAAGCAGAATCGTCAGGCCTACTTCAATCTGGCCAAGAAGCTCTAAGCTCAGTCCAGGGGGCATGACACTTGAGTTCTGCTTGTTGGTGCCTAGGCTGCACCCGGACCGTCACCACGGCACTGACATAGAGCAAGCTGCCCAGCGTAGCGCTTGAACGACTCCGCGACCTTTTGGCGTGCGTTGCCCGAGTTCCCAGGCAGGGTGCCAACCACGCCTTCGAGCATCTTCAAAAGGCTTATGGCGTGCTCTCCTGAGGCTTGCATCTTAACAAGCCCCGTTGGAAGGAGCCGTTTTTTGCCCCAGACAAGCGTCAGGATGTTGTCAAGTGGTGTGGCTCAAAGTTAAAGAGCTAGGGTTGCGCAGGTTCATTTACCAAGGTGGTTTCATTTACCAAGGTGCCTCTTTGGTACTTGTTTTTTGAGCCACGGCCAAGTGCTTTCCCTGCTTTGGGGTCTAGCAGGCACTCCATGGATGGTGAGTTCCACGCGACTCAGGTGCTCTCCAGCCCCGAGAAGCGCCGCGTCTACGACGCCGCCTTAGGGACCAGTGGGGAGGGCCCAGCTGCGCAGGCGCTCAAAGGCGGGGGGCTCGCGGCTCTGCTTTGGCTGGATTTGGACAAATCTTGATTGCTACTAGGTTGGATCTTTAGGCTTTAGCTTTTTAAGGAGAATCGAGGGTTCTCCGTTGAACCCAACAAACAGTTGAGTTTTGTGCAGACGGGTCAACAGCAGCCAAGAAATGAATTTTCTTGCAAGCCTCAGCAAGCTTTTCAGGTGGCCTGAAAGGGTCTTCTTGGCTGCCTCGGGAGCAGCAGGCCACAAGGCCGGCAGATGAGCTGGTGCATTCTGGGTGCCAGATCATGGCTGCAGGACATGGTACTCTCAGGCGTCCATGAGGACAGTTGCAATGGGCCCAAGCACTGAAGCAGATGTTTGGCAGTTTGTATGCTTTTGCCATTCGCCATGACTGCTACAGATGGCTTTAATGTTTGGCGTGCTGCAACTCAGGAGGTTTTGGCGCAGTACTTGGAAGAAGGCACCGGCCAGGCGGCAAATGACATCGGAAGCACGTGCTTGCAGCAAGGCAGCAGAATGCGCAAGAGCTGCTGTGAGTGCTGCCGTGTGCTGAGTGAGAGGCCATCGGTGCTCGGGCCCCTCCTCTTCGTCACAGGGGTATTTGCAATTTTTCGAGGTATCCCACTGGGCGCAATGTTCGCCCAGCAGCAATCAGAGCCATTGAGTTTGAGAGCTTGAGTGTGAGCATGCCAACCTCTGCTTCCATTCCCTCAAAACCCTTTGCAAAATCGGACGCCCAAGGTACCTGCTAGATGACACCCAGCGACAAGAGTTCATGGCGCCACCGAGGGCGAGACAGTGACGCTGGCGAAGCCGTCGTTTGACCAACCCTTCTGCAACACAATGCGTGCGTTCTCCTGAAGGACAGTGCTTGGATTTTCTCGGCCTTGGAGCTTGCTCCAAGCATGCTGCATGGCGAGGTTTGGCAAACCAGTTGTACATAGCCGTGGGGAATAAGGAAAAAAGGGATGCGAGTAGAGGCACGGGTCCACACCGGGAAAGATGGTCCACGGAGCCTGTGATTTTGGCCAGCACTTGTTAGGCAGCCGGCCATGGGTTGGAACTCAGCTGGGAGGAGCGGGTGAGCTTTCAAAGGGCCATGTTGGTCAGTTCTATTTTGGCTGTTTCCGTTTTCGTAGAACTCCGGGCTGGCTTTTGGCCTTTTGGCGTTTCTTGGGCTTTGAGTTTTGTGGGCATTGGCAATGTTTGAGTGACCCTCACAAGCAAACCCAAGTCTCAACCCTGAACGAACCACAAAGAAATCCAAAGCCCACCCTAAGCCAACCCTAAACAAACCTTCTGGCGCTTTTTTGCAGGTGGTTGTTACACCCTAAACCCACCCTAAACCCACAACTGAAGCGCCACCAAACCCAAGACTAAACCAGCACTACACCAAACTTTAAACTACCCTAGACACACCCGAAGCAAACCCTGAAGCATGCAAACCCTATACAAACCTCAACCATTTCTAAACCATTGAACCAACCCTAGTGCTGGTGTAAAGCACATGCATGCGGTAAGAACACGCTGTGCAACATGTTTATTTCCCGCAGCGAAAGCAACAGATCAAATCCTGAGAATACTGGATTAAATCTCGGCCCGTTTCCAAGTAGCGAACATGATAGGGGGTTGAACCTTCTCGCTCGGAAATTTGCCAGGAGCTCAAATTTGCCATCAGCCACTTTTTCGAGATTCAGGACATTAGTGTGTGAATCAAGCGGGCAGAGTAATTTCAGTCGGTTTGTCGAATTCGCACACCCCAGGAGGAGGAATGGGTTGACTCCTTCCATGCATCAGCCTCAGTTCAGGCTTCGACCCCACCTTCCTTCCCCAGCTAAAAGCCACAATGCCACCATGTGCGGCTCACTCTTCCGTTGCATGCCGTGGCATGGCTCGGCTCATGGCGCTGCATGCCACCAATCAAGTCAAGGCTCAGAATGCCGAGTCGTTGATGCAAATGCAGCCGGGCACCTGGCCTTCTGAGCGACTGAGCGCATGGCAAAGGCTGACACGGAGCCGATGCAGCGAAGCCGATTTGTCAAAGCATCAACTCAGCCTGCTTGCATCAACGCGCAGAGGTACACTTGCATCTACTTCAAGGCCACTCGCAACAGCACGCCATCGCCAGGAATTGGGCAGCGGCGGCCCCTGCTCTGACTCTGTGGGTCGTGAGTTATTCAGCACGCCCCGCTGTTGGGCTGTGCATCCAGGTCAAGTTGACCGCGCCGTGGTGATGCCCCCGCGACCCGTGAGCCACGTTTGCTGGCATAGTCCTGCGCTCTTTTGAGACTTGTGGCAGCTGCGGCTTTGTTTTCAGATTGGGACGATGCCATGTGGGTAAGGCTGTTGCTTTCTTGAAACAGATGCCGGTCACGCACACGATCCCGAGAGAAGGCAAAAGATGTGCTTAGGTTGTGACGGTTGAGGGGGATCCTCAGAATGCCTCATGAACATGAGGCCTTGCTTGCTTGCCTATATGTTGCCTGCAGCGTTTACTTGAAGCCAGCACCATGAGAGCAGTGGTTTTTGTGGTTTGCTTGGTGCGGAACTCAGAGTTTGTCAGTTGCAGCTTGCCGACCTTTTTCCGATCTTGCAATGACCGTGCAGTGGCCCAGGCCGGGGTCTGGGCCAAGTGGCCGCTGCGGGGGAAAGAAAGCTATGTCAACAATGTGCCGGCTTCCTTTGACTGCGAAATGCGTAAGCTCGCCTATGCTTACGGCAAGAAGCTGCCTGGCAGGCTTTGGACTTTACTTTGCACTGGTGTAGCTACTGACTAAGACATGTGCAAAAAAAAAGAGCCTTGGTTAGGCCTCCAGCTGTGCCGAGGCTTTTGCCCCGCATGGGGGCCTTTGAAAGCTTATACTACGCGCTGGATTTGAACAGCGGAGATTGTCACGCAGTCTTGGAAGGCCGGGCTGCGAGCCCCACGATTTTGGTCCCCCCCGCAAGGAGTGTGCCGTGCGCAGATGTGCGCAGGTGAGGCGCGGCCCCAGGTCCGTGCTGCGGTGCCAGTGGCCGTGCACGTGGCGCCCTGGGGCCACGACGGCTTTGAGGGCACGGAGCAGCGGCCGCTGCGGTCGCTGCAGCTGGCGGCGGACTTGGCGGCTGCGCGGCAGGTGCCGCTGCTTCTCAGGGGTCAGTTTTTCTTGGAGGACACGCTGCACTTGGGACCCAGGCGCGGTTGCTTCGAGGGCTTCAGGCCTTGGTTCCAGTCCTTGGCCCGGGTTTAGATAGGCATTCTGGGCTGGAGATCCGCTCCCTGCCTGGCGAGAGTGCAGAAGTCTCCGGCGGAATCAAGCTGGAGCCCAGCTGGAAGCCCTACAACACCAGTGGCGCAAACATTTGGGCCGCTTAGTTTGGAGTAGCATGGCGCTTGCGCCCAGTCCATTGTCCAGACCAAAGTCACGTGAGCTTTGGCGTGCCTGAGTCGTGCTCTCAAACCTTCGCTTAGGTTACTGACGTTCCGGAGAAGGTCAAGGAAGTCGAAGGCCTGCAGATCAATGGCGTGCGCGCCACCCGTGCGCGGTACCCGAACATGCCCCAGGGCATTGAGGCGTCCTGCGGCTACGGCTGCATGATTGACGGTGGAAAGGCGGGTTGCCACAAAATGCCGGGAACATGTTTGTCTCACTTCCCGAGCTCATGGACTTTAACCTTTTTGGGCAGAGCGTTTTAGTGGTAAACAATAGACAAACATTGGCTTTTTTGGCCAGTCCACTCAGGGAGTGAGTTGCCGCTTGATATTTGTAGAGACTGCAGTTGCTGCCTCCCCCAGGCCAAGTGGACTCCGCCAGACTTCGACAAGTATGGCAAGGTGTCATTCCACACAGACAAGACGCCGCAGCACTACCGGAACTTGGGATTCAAATTGGACGTATCGTGGCTGCTTTCCATGTTTAGCCCTACCTTCCACCATATTTGCTAAGGAATACGACTCATGACTGGTTCAACGAGTACATGATTGGGGTTGGCGGGCTTTGCAGTGTTTATGACCCGCCGGTTTCATATTGGTGCTCCGAGCACCCCAGCGGCGGCGGTGCTTTTGCATTCCGCACCCCTTCCGGTGTGAAATACGACTTCCCCAACGGGCCCTACAAGAAGGGCGAAGATGCGCGACTCTTCGTGTGGCGGCCCGCTCGTTGGGCCAACTGGATGTTTGACGTGGCCAAGTACGACCAGCAGACCGGGAACTTCACCTTTGGCCGTGGCGGGAACCAAGGGGCAAGGGGTGAGAACAAGGGAGGCGACTTTTTCATAGAAAATGTCATGGAGGAGTTGGATCACCCCGGTGAGTTCTTCTTTGACAAAGACAGCCACAAGCTGTACCTGTATTACAACGGCACGGGAGCACCACCTGCAGACGCGAGTGTGGTGGTGCCCCGCTTGCAGGTGCTGGTGAACCTATCTGGGACACAGTGGAAGCCGGTGAAAGGAGTTCAAATAAAAGATGTGAAGTTCTCTGCTGCAGCGCCTACTTACATGATGCCACATGGGGTGCCCTCAGCAGGGGACTGGGCGCTGGATAGGTACTCGGCAGTATTCCTGCAAGGCACGGACAGTGTACTGATAGACGGCTGCACGTTTGACCGTTTGGATGGCAACGGCGTCATGGTGTCGGGATACAACCGCGCAACTTGGCTGCAACCGCTTGTCCGTCTCCCCCATTTTCCCTCCAGAAAGTTCGGAATACCTGATGCATGAGGGTAATGATCGGCTGTGAAATAAAAGGATGCCACCATCCGCGACTCCGACTTCTCCTACCTGGGCGGCAACGCAGTTGTTGCCTGGGGCTTCACCAATGAGACCAAGACCGATCCCGGGCGGCCGGGCATCAGCCTATCGAATGCTCCAGCTGCTGGTGTGGACGGTACGGACGGTGAGCACCCGGTGGGCACTACGGTGCAGAACTGCTCTGCACGGGAGATCGGCCTCTATGAGAAGCAATCCAGCTTCTTCGTGCAAGCGAGCCGTGGCGGCACAGGATCAACTGCTTAGGGCACCTTGTTTCATGCATTTCGCCGAAACCCATAGGCCCTGCAAACGTAGGAAGACAGCGCAGTCGAGAGTGCTCTCCAATGTGTTCTTCAACGGGCCCCGCGCCGGCATCAACATGAACGATGGCTTCGGAGGGGGAGATGAGATTGCATACAACCTTGTGTTCTCTACATGTAGGGAGAGCGGGGATCACGGGCCATTCAACTCTTGGGACAGGCAGCCCTTCCTGACAACTGTCCGCACTGGGAAGCCTTCCATGATCATGCAATGGCGCGAGATCCATCATAACTTTTTCATCGACAACTATTCTCCCCAAGAGGATGTGGACAACGACGATGGCAGCTGCTACTACAAGACACACGACAACTTCTTGGTGTATGGTGGGCAGGCCATGAAAAATGACTTTGGTGGACATGACAACCACCACTACAACAATGTTGATGCTTATGTCGGCCGCGGGCTGGGTGTTTGCGAGACGCTGCCGGGGCATGACGACTACTTTTATGGAAGCTTGGCTGCAAGTGCTGTGCAAGTGCTATCATCTTCTGCCACATGTGGGCCTGATTCGATAGATGAGGCAACTATGTGGTGATGACTGGAGAGGATGTTGGCACTTGCCTGGATGACCGCATGCACGATAACAAGTACTTTACACCAAGTGGAAAGATCTCAGCAGGGTGTGGTGGCTTTGGTGGAGAGGCACCCGACTTAGTAAGGCATTGTGGCATTGATTTCATATTTCTAGAGCCTCCGGCTCAGTCCGCCGACATTGTCCTCTCCCTTTTCTCCTTCTTCTCTCTCTTGTCTCCTCCCCCGTGTGTTTCGTCGTCCTCTCTCCCTCCCTTTCCCCATCCTGCCCATCCCCCCAATCCTCTCTCTCCTCAAGCTCCCTCTCTCTCTCTCTATCTCTCTCTCTCTCTCTGTCTGTTTCGTTAAAATCGGAGTTACAATTACTACAAGTGCAAGTGCGATGCTGTTGTTGTTGGCACAAACAAATGTAGTCTGCTGCAGCCTTTGTTTTCTCCTAGTCAGGCAGAGGCTCAAGGCCTTGCGGTAGTGTACATACATGCAACACAAATGCAAGTAGTGAAGCATGTAGTTTGACACGGCCCCTCAGTTGAAATATCTTTTTGTAGTAGCTTTCCCACTGGAGTGCAGAAAAAGGCCAGTAGTGATGAAAACTGTTGTTGTTCATCTATGCTACTGTAGTCAAAAGAAAAGAGGTGGAGTCCTCACTAGCTCGCGCTGTTCAGGTTTCAGTCCAGAATGTAGGCGGACTGAACGGAGTTGGTGAGGAAGCACCTGTAGTTGTAGCCAAGCCCGTAGCTCAGACATGTAGTCCCCAATGTTGAAGCCGGTAGTTGCGTACCTGCTCCAGTCGTTGGTTCAAAGAAGCGAAGTAGTTGATCACGAAATGCTCGGTGAAGTCCGGTGCACCACGTAGTCGATTGTCGTCGACCTCTGGTGGTGCTACCTGGTGTTGGTAGTTGCGGAGGAAGTGGTGAAGTTGCAGTCGTTGTTGTGCAGTGAGGTTTGTCATTGTGAGTAGTGTGAACCCATAGTAGAGGATGCTTTTGCGCAGCATTGTAGTGATTGCCTTGTGTTGAAAGTCATGTAGTTGTTCGTGGTTGTTGAGGTAGTGAAGTAGCTCAGGTAGGAAGAAAGGCATGTGGTAGTTCCAGATGTAGTTGTTCTTCAAACTGTAGATCTCAGTGAACCTGCCCATGTCATAGTCCACCTTGTAGATGAGTTGTGAATGTTGTGAGATTGGAAGGTAGTTTGTGGTCTGGATGGCGAACATGTAGGAGATGTAGTCGCGAGTGAAGTGGATGAATTGTCCTGAGGAAAGGTACCTCAAAAGGTAGTTCTTGCTCAACATGTAGTTTGACCACGATGTAGCTGTCATTGTGACTTGTTGTGGTGCGCAGTGATGTTGTGTGGTAGTAGTGCACGTTACATGCCTCTGCGGGTGTGATGCTGAGTAGTGCCAAGTTGTAGTGGGGCATCCTCAGATCACCTGGGATGCACTGTAGTGGTCGTGTAAAGTCAAGTTGTCCCAGTGGTGTAGATTGTTGAAGTGAAAGTAGTTGTTACTCTTCAAGCGTGAATGCAGTGAAGAGTTGCACGTAGTGAGTGTTGTTGTGGAGAAGTGGTGTCTGCGCTGTCTGGTACTCGGTGGTGTGTAGTTGTTCCATGATGGCTGATGGGTGGTAGTAAGGTGTGGTGTTGGGTGTAGTGTCGTTGAAGTGGTAGTTGGTCTCGTCGTAGTGAGGTGGTGGTAGTGACCCACGGCCACTCGAGTCAGTAGTCTCCTCTGCACGAGGAGTCAAAACTCGGTTGGGTGTAGTGACGCCCATGTTGGAATCGGCAGCGGCCATGGCTGTAGTGAGCACAAAGCGTAGTGAGACGGAGCAAAGAAAAATATGAGCCTATGTAGATAGCCCCGGGAAGCGGCGCATGCAGACATGTAGTAAAACAAACAACTGTAGTGTTGACCCAAGCCGCCTAACATGCCGCCCAAAGTGCAAGTGACGTTACATGTAGTTAGTATTACCTACATACCAAAAGTGTCATGTTACATGTAGCTGCTACATGCAAAAATGTTTGTCGTTGTTGTTGCTGCTGCTGCTGTTGTTGTTGTTGTTGTTGTTGTTGTTGTTGTTGTTGCTGTTGTTGCTGTTGTTGTTGTTGTTGTTGTTGTTGTTGTTGTTGTTGTTGTTGTTGTTGTTGTTGTTGTTGTTGTTGTTGTTGTTGTTGTGGTGGTGGTGGTGGTGGTGGTGGTGGTGGTGGTTGTTGTTGTTGTTGTTGTTGTTGTTGTTGTTGTTGCTGGTGTTGTTGATGTTGTTGTTGTTGTTGTTGTTGTTGTTGTTGTTGTTGTTGTTGTTGTTCGTAGGGCTAAATGCGTATCCCACTGCTCTGAATGAGCCTTTGTAGTGTTTCCTTGCTAATGTATTTGGTAAACAAATCTGCGCTGTTGTGAAGTGTGTTGATCTTAAGGATTCTGATGATGTCGTGTTTGATGAGGTCTTGTGTGTAGAGAAATTTGAGGTCGATGTGCTTTGCTCGTTTGCTTGCGCCTTGTCGTGTAGCAATGCTCTTGCCTGCTGTGGAGTCTGTGTCAATGCGTAGGTTTAGTTTGCTGCAAATGTTGGTTTCAAGTAGGAAGTTTCTGAGGTGTAGTCGAACTGAGTGCTATTGTAGCCTGTGTTCTGCTGCCAAATGCAACTGTTGTTCCTAGAAAGATGATGTTGAAGCCTGAAGTTGACTTCCTGGTAGTAGGGCATCCTGCCCAGTCAGCATCGACATGAACGTCGAGATCGAGGATGTTGTTGGTGTTTGCTCTGAGTGTTGTTGTTGGTTCTATGGTGAATTTAAAGTGTTTGGTGCCGTGCAAGTGGCGTAGTAAGTGTTTGACTCTCTTTTATGAAAGTTCTGTAGGTGCTGTGAGGTCTCGTGCTAGTTCTTTTGTTGCGTATGCGATGTCTGGTCGTGTGCATGCTAACCATTGAAGTTTGCCAACAATCCTTCTGTATCTTTCGTGTTGTTCGTGGTCAAGAAGCGCTTCAGCCTCTATTGTTGGTTTGTAGTGGGCAATTCCTGGAGTGGTCACCGTGTTGCAGTTGGTCATTCCAGTCTCCTCGGTCATGTTGTCGATGTAGGAGTCCTGTAGTCCAAGGTTGCAGTAGTTGCCGAAGTGGTCAATGTTTCTTCCCAGCAATTGTTGTGGTTTGCCAGGCTCGAGGTAGCCAATGTGCTTGAGTAGAACGTGCTTCTGGATGGCCTCGAAGATGGAGTCAACCGTAGTCTTGTCTCCAAGTACCAGTAAATCGTCCACGTAGACCATGATGTAGCAGTCGCGAGTCGCATTGGTGTAGAGGTTAGGTTCTAATTTTAGTCTTGCAAAGCTGAGCCTTTGTAGTACTTTAGCCAGGTAGTCCTGCCATGCTTTAGGTGAGCTGCGTAGTCCATACATGGCTTTCTTTAGTCGCCATAGTTTGTTCTGTAGTGGACAAAGTTCTTTAGGTGGCCAAAGGTAGACGTCGCGTTGTTCGCCGTCCTTTGCGATGGGTGCGTGCGTCGCCTAGTCGCGCGATCCAGTTTGGTCGGGACATGTGTAGTGCGAGAAGTGTTCGTAGCGTCGTGAACATTGGTGTAGAGGCGTAGACGGAGTCTTCGTCCTCAATCTTCTCAGTGGAGCCTTTTGCGACGATTCGGCTTCGCACTCCTGGTCCTTTCCTTCTGTGGACCCATCTTGTAGGGATTGCTTCTTTGATGACGCTGTCGTCGGATGTACTTCGTCGTAGACGTCATGTAGTTTCATTTGGTTTGGCTCATGTTTCATTCCTTCCAGTAGTTGTGTTTCGTCGTAACCTTTGTTGTCGAAGATTATAGGTTGGTCTTCGGAGGTGTCGTCGTTTGTGTAGGGAGTGATGGATGCTCCGTTGGGAAAAGTCACTGCGTTGATTTTCTGTCGTAGTGGTTGTGGTTCTTTGGTTGCTTGTTCCGTCGATCTGATTGTAGTATCCTTTGAGGTCTTCTGTGCTTTGGTTGGTTGCATTACTTCTTCCGGAGTCAAGCGTCGTACTGTTTGTCTAGGTGGTGCTGGTAGTGGTGGATGTTGCTGTCCGGTTGGTGAAGTAGCCATAGGGCTATCCGGTAGTGGTCGTGAACTTGACGTCGATGTCGACGGAAGTCGTGGAGGTGGCGTAGTACGTTGTTGTTTTGTTGCGGGTTCCACGACGATGTCATCCGTCACGTTCGTCTGTTGTCCAAAGTCTTGCGTAGATCGTCTCTTCTCTGGCGATTGTAGTTGCGTGTCCAACAGTGTTGCAAATGACGGGTTGTAAGTATTCCGTCGTGGCGCCCAAGGTGTGCCGGAAACTTTGTTTAGCAGTACGAGGTCGTATTTACAGTCTGGTTGTAGTCTCCGTATTGTTCGTACTTTCTGTACGCCTGTTTCCGTTGCGACGTAGTTTTCTCCGGTTTCGGAAACTTTTCCGAGCCAGATGCATTTCTGCATCCGTAGATCTGCTTTTGGAAGTTTCTTGTGTTGTGGTGGAAGGTAAAGTAGTGTTTCGCCAAATTCGCAAATCGCTCGCTTGTAGTTTCTTCCGCAGCGGCGTTCGAAGCTTGTGTAGCCGTCTGAGTGGATGACGTAGCGATTTACCGTCCATGCTGCATGTCGTACTATCCAGGGTAGTAGACAGTGCTTCGTGGACATTGTCACGCTGTAGTTGCTTTCAACTTGTGCTTTGACAACCCGTACCTGTCCGAGGAGTGTTCGATGAAGTCGCTTAACGCTTCCTTGACTGTTGCTGCAGTAAGAGGGCGCATGTCGAAAAGTCATTGGAGCTGTAGATTTTAGAAGTGCGTTGAGTGTGTCTTCGTTGTCACTTTGTAGTATGCCTCAAAGATGAATGCTTGTAGGTTGTTGACCATGTAGTCCATCATTGATGGTTTGTCCGGGACCATTACCGCCATACACAGTTGTGTAGTAACATCAACTGCTGTTAAGACTGGTATGGTCTTCGGATCTTGTTGTGATTTGATGTAGGCAAAGTCTACTTGAATGACGGTTGTCGTGATTGTTGTTTCTTGTAGTTGTCTTGGCGTCCCTTGCCTTGCGCGCAAATTGGACACCAATTTCTGCACGGTAGGTGTGTCAAGCTATGTTCTGCTATTTGTTGAGTTGGTTGCTGTGGTTGTCGTAGTCCTCTTGCTCTGTGTGCTTCGTGATGCTTGTGTTGTTGTTCCTCATCGTGGTTCTCCTGGATGTACTCGTAGTCTTTCTTCATGGTGAACCTTGTTGTTCCTTTCCATTGAAATGGTAGTGCTGCGTTGCCCATGACTGTCCAGTCATCTTTGCGTTGTGAAACTTCTCCAAAGTTGTTGTGAGTGATTGTAGTTCTGTGAGGTTCAAGTGTGCTAATTGGTGGATGTCCTGGTCCATCTGTTGGAGTAAATAGTGTAGTTCTAAGTGTTGCGTGGTGCCTTATCCAGTGTTCACCTTGTCTTTCCCAGTAGTCTTGGTTGTCTTCCTGTGCTGTGAGTGGTCTGTGTATTGTCTCCTTTGGTTGTGTGGTGTGAAGTCCATATCTTTTGTGGAGCTCGTAGTTGGATCTTTGATCTTGTTGGTGGTGTATCCATTAGCTGTTGTGGTTGTGAGCTCTGCCTTGTTGGTGTGGTCTTTGATGTTGCTCTGCGTGTAGGTGCTATCTTTCTTCTGAATCGAGTTTCTCCAGTCCAGTTGTCACCTTCTAGTCTTCGTTGTAGTTCTTGCTTGGAAAGTTGTTTTGGGTTCTCTTGTAGTTGTTCTTGCTCTTGCCCTTGTCTGTTGATGATGGTTAGTCGCCAATCATCTAGTTCTCCTTGTGTGGCGTGAAAAGCGCTTTGCGTGGTCGTTTGTGAACTCTGATGGCGTAGGCACCATCAAGTTTCCAGGTGTGTGTGAGAGGTGCAATTTGTTCTTGTTCTTGTTTGGCTTCCTCTGTAGGTTGAATCACAGCAATGGATTTTCCATTGTCTGTAGTCATTGGGTAGATGTCGAATCCTGCAGGGATGTCAACCTTCTCTGCTCGCAGGTAGAAGAGTCCTGAGTGTCTTATGAGGTGTGCTGGTTGTGATCCATGTGTGATGGTGCAGTGTCGCGGATTGAAGTCGAATCCATATCCTCTAGCAAGTAGTCTTGGTGAGGTGAGGATAGGATACTTCACATCACAAACGTAGTAGGTCATCATGATCCTGAAGTTGTCCTGCTTGTAGGGAACACACTTGATGCCGTAGACAGGAACCTTCTTGTTGGTAACCGTGTAGAGTTGTGGAACTGATTCTCCACAAGGTTGTAGTGGTAGGTCTGGTGCGTAGTCCTTCGGGCAGACATGTGTAGATGCTTCTGAGTCGATCAGCAGGTGATGGTGTGACTTGAAGTTGGGGTTCATGATGTAGTGTGTGATGGTGTCCTCAATCTTCTTGTTTCTGCGCTGTTGTGTTGCTGCTGCTATGTCGAAGTGCAGTTGTGTTGTGTCCTCTTGGAGGAATTGTTGAAAGCTCTTGCTGTGGTCGTTCCATCATGTTGTGTGTGTTGTTTTCTTTCCAAGTAGTGATTTGGATTTGTGCTTGTGTAGTAGTGACTTTGCTTGTCTGATGTCCAATGTGTGGCTCGTTGATGCCTCCAATGTAGTTTGCTGTGTCTTCGTGGCTGCTGTCATTCCAATCCCAGCTGTTGTCATAGTCGTAGTCGTTCCAATTCTCCTCCATGTAGTTTATCTCGTGTTGTCCTTCTTCTCTTCCTAGTACCAGTCCCACGTGTCGTTCCATCCTCAGGTAGTTTTTCATTGTTGCTTGTTCCTGTTCTAGTGGATGTAGTTCTTCTCCTTCTCCTATGTGCCATACAGGCACTCTGCAGTCCTGGGCCCAATGGCCAGGCTTGCCATATCGGTGGCATGTCACGTTGTTGCTTCCTTTTCCTTTTGCTTTGCTGTGGTTTCCTGAGCCTTTGTAGCCCTTGCTTGATCCATAGCCTTTGGATCCTGAGTAGCCTTTTCCCTTGCTCTTGTTGTACCCTCCTTTGTTGCAGCTTCCTTTGTTGCCTTTGTCAAATCCCTTGTAGTGTCCTTTGCTCCTGTACTTGCCTTTGCCTTTGCTTCCTTTGTAGTGGCCTTTGCCTTTTCCTTTGCCTTTGTAGTTTCTTCCTTTCCTCCAAATGTTGTCAACGCCCATTGGTGCAGATCCTCCATTGTAGTTTGTGCCAACTGCTGAAGTCGATCTTGGGAAAGCTGAAATCATCTTGTCTAGTCCAGGATGACTGCTCTGATCTCGATGTAGTTCGTGATCTGTCCAGCTCGCAGTTGGAGATGTTGTTGCAGTGCTCCTTTGGTCTTGTTGAGTAGCAATGCGATTTTTATTCCATCTGGTAGTTCTGTGCCGTTGTCTTTCTCGTAGCGGTTGATGTCGTATTCCCATTGTAGGAATTGCTCTTCAAACTGTGCTTCATTGAATACAGGTTCCAGTAGCTTGGTAAGGTAGCCAACGCCTCGTGTTCCTACTGGTAGGCTGAACCTGTTGCGCAAGAGTCGTAGTGTTTCACATCCATTTGCGTTGTATCGGTTTTGCCTTGCTACTGTAGCTGCTGCTCCCTGACAGATGTTGTTGAGGATGTAGTGTAGATCTCTGGAGAGGTCTACTGCTTTGCTTGCTTGTGTAGGGTCGAGTATGTGTGTTCTGATGTCTGTGTCCTCAATCTGTCGTGTAGCTACTTGTGCTAGTTGTAGCACCAGGTCAAAGTCTCGGTCTATGAGGCCGCGGTAGGCTTGTAGCTTGAACATCCATTCTTCATACTGGGAGTAGTCACCAGTGAAGAAGGGTCGTGGCAGTTTGTATCGATGTAGTCTCTGAACGTCGTTGCGTTGTCGTGGCTCCTACTGTTTCTGCTGTTGGCCCGTTCTCTGCTCCTGTAGTTTGTTGTGCTGAAGCTGATGCTGCTTCTCCTGACATGCCGTGGTAGTTTGGCACGTGGTTGCTGTTGTAGTTGTTGTAGTACTTACTGCTGGATACTGGATCTTCTCTCAGCTCTGCTGCCGCGTTAAAATCGGAGTTACAATTACTTCAAGTGCAAATGCAATGCTGTTGTTGTTAACATAAACATTTGTAGTCTGCTGCAGCCTTTGTTTTCTCCTAGTCAGGCAGAGGCTCAAGGCCTTGCGGTAGTGTACATACATGCAACACAAACGCATGTAGTTTGACATGTTTCTCTTTCTCTTTCTGTCTCCCTGTCTCCTTCCTGTCCACGCCTCTCTACAGAAAAAAGGTACCCTGATTCGAAACTCTCTACTGGAAAGCCGAGTCTTTCTCTCTCTCTCTCTCGTCCACTCTTTGTCTCTCTTTGTCTCTCTTTTTCGCTCTCTGTGTGTGTGTGTCTCTCTCTCTGCATTGCAGCGTCACGCCCGCCCTGAGTTGCCTCGATGTCCGGGCGCTGCCCCTTCATGACCCTGAGCTGTCTGCTTACTACTGGTTTTCCCCTTGATTTCCCCTTCATGTCCCTTCCATTCCTTTCAACTCCCCCTTCATGTCCCTGTCATTTTCTCGGTGTGTCCGCTTCATTTTCCATGTATGTCCCGTTCTTTCGTTGCCAGTCATTTCCCTACATCTCCCGTCGTGTCGATTGGTTTTCTTGTCCTTTGTTTCCCTTTCATTCCCCCTGCGCTCCCCTTGTTTTCATGTTCAATGTCTGTTCCTTACTTGTTCTAAGGTCGGCAAGGTGCCCAGTGATGATGCCATTCTGAACGAGGCCAAGAAGAAGCTGGGAATGGGAGCGGTGCAAATTGTTGTGTAGATGGCATTTTGGCCGTCGCCAGCAGGGGGCGAACCGGCGCCTGGCATTTGAATGAGGGATCCAAGATCTGCAGAGAACTATGACCGCAAGATTTCTCGTGCAGCACCAAAACATATCAGAGAAGATTTGCGTGCAGTCTAGCATTTGGATCCCTCGGGCCAGGCCTGGCCCGCCCAGAAAGAATTACTCAATTACGGGAGGATGCGTTATCCCCGAAATACAGAATCCACCTCGCAGACGCCGCGGTTTTATGAGAAAAGGGGGCTTGACAGAATGTAGGCCATGTTGCATTGTTCAGACCCTTGAGCGTTACGTTGTTGTGCTGGCATGGGCAGTTTGCACAGCTGCAACGACCATGGCGTGGCGGCTTGTAGGGTGAAAGTAGTTGCCATGTTCTCTAGAGGCACAAGCTATTTGTTCCAGGGCAGACAAGATCTTCTGAAGGCAGACTCCTCCACATAAGACGCAGACATCGACCCATAGAAACGTCTGAAGGGTTAAGGAAGATTCAGAATCCTTTCCCTGTGCTAACTTGGAACCCCATGGCGGAGCCCCCGTGTGGCTCTTACCAGCCTGCGCAAAGCTTTGATTTTGATGCTTTCCATGCTGCAAGTCAGGAGGCATGTGCTCCTGGTCCAACATTTGAGCAAGAGAACGCGCAATGCGCGACACAACAAACTTATTGTCCACAGCTCAGAGCGGCTGAGGCAAGAACATGGTCCTCGTTGTGCAGCTTGGCAACTGTAAAGGGCCACAGGATGCCTACATGCTCTAGCGTCGACGGATTTGTTGCAGCTAGTGGCCTGGCATGCTCCGCGCGTTCGGGCCCGATGGGCATCCCAAGGCCTGTGGGTGCACTCCCTCAATGCCCACAGCCGAGTGAAGACTTTCGCGCCACTGGGTTTGCTTAGAGAGCGGCGGCTCATGGGTGGGTTTTGCGCTGGGGGTGTGGCAACAAACCACCCCCCAGACCTTCTGTTTGGTTGTGTCTCCTTGTCAAAGAAGACATGCGCGGCAAGGGCCTCAGGTTACACCGGCGAGCGCCTCACGGTGAGCGCTCTTTGAGGCCCTCGCTCTTCGAGATGGCCGCGATGCGCGCGGAAAGGAGCGGAGGTTTTGAAAGCTGCCCACTCGCAAAGTTTTTTGAGTGGCTGCCTGAGGGTACCACAAGACTGGTGCAAGTTTTTGTTCGATTCAAGATCTCCTGCCAGAAGATGTCTTGTGTGTGTGTCTCTAACATCTTACAGATGAAATTGATCTTGGACATAATTACTCCGGTTGCGAATCAACCGCCCGGGGACGTTGTTTCTTTTGTCGTAGGAGGCGCCAGAGACAGGCAGAGGCTAGTGGAGAGATGAGTCCCGCTGCCCAGAACTCATTCTTTACCAGGCTTAGGCCCTGAGGGCCATGCGCAAGATCAAATATCTTGAATCCAACCGTTCTGCTCAAATGACGGGGTTGGAAGAGGGTGTTTTCAATTTTTGACACTGGATTTTGCCCTGCGAGTGGCTGTCACTGAGGCAAGGGCCAAGATGCTGTCACGGGGGAGGCCTTGTTCATGTTTCAAGCATCCGGAGATGCGCAAGGTTTGACTGATTCGAAGGCTCCGTCTGCCTCAGATGTGCGTGTTTTTTTCGTGGGGCTTCTGCCACTCCTCGTCAACCTTGTCTAGCTTTTCTATGTTGCAAGGGCCGCTTTGGCACGCGTTTTGTTTCATGTCATTTCTACGAGGATGCACTGCGGAGATTGCAAGTGCTGGAAGATGAGCGCCGGGTACTTAATGTGGAGGCTGCATGGAGCGAGCTTACGGACTTTACACCACTGTGTGTGTGTTTGCAGCGTTTGAGACGAGGGATGTTTGACGTTGGACGTGGCTTTCGAGCCAGGCCAGGTGCTGGCAAAGCAATTGGAGGAGCAGCGGCGGCTGCGAGCAGCAATGCTTGCGCAGCGGCCCAGAACCTTCAGAAACCGTTCTCTCAATACTCTCGTGACTGCTTGCTGCCTGGCCGCGGCCTAGCCAGAAAGGACATGTGGACTGCTTTGTGGGTCTTGCATTCTGTCCTGCTCCCATGTGTTGCCTGTCCTGCCATTTGGCTCGCGTGGTGCTTTTGGCTGTGGATGCATGCCTGCCTGGGCCGCAGAGGGAGGGGATGGGGCGGGGCTTTACGTGCCCCGTTATTGCATCTTGACGTGGATTTGTATGAGCCCCCGCCTGTTTTTGCCTGAGGTGGAACGCGAAGTTGCAAAATGGCGCAGCAACCCGGATGAAGCAGCGGCAATCTGGTCGGAGGTCTCTTCCCTTTAGGTCAAACACCCTCCCAGCATGGGAGGGGCATGTGACAATACCTGGAGGCCCCCCCATTCCGGATGCATCAGCTATAGCTTGGTGCTTTGGGTCCGAGGCTTGCAGAGCCGCCCCACGGACGAGTTTTGGACGTGTCGCACCTGGCACTCCATGCTGGGCCCCTGCTGGATAGCGTGTCTTCGCGGCACTGGCGTGTGGCCGAAGGGCGCTCATGGGCAAGGGCTACGTCGCAGTCGGGGGGTGGATTTGGAGTCGTAGGGTCACGGTGCAAGTACTCAATGAGCAAAAACGGAGATAGGCATTCTCCATGGGCGACATCACCCACAATACGTCTTGGTAAAGCCGCACTGGAGTACGTTCGCTTGTTGGGTTTGAAGAAGTTGCTCGTTGCTTGTTTAGCTTTGGGGGTCCATTCATGGTGTGCCCGCCCATTTGCGCAGCCACAGCGTTCCTTCAGCCGGAATTCGCTAGTTCGTCCCGTGGAGCATGATGTCTGTTTGGCCGACTTTTGTTCCAGCACTGCCGCCAAAAGGTGAACTGGCTGCTGCAGGCAGTGAACCAGCAGCATCTTGGCAGCGAAGTGTTGTGCTTTCAGGTGGCAGCACGCCATGAAAGCCTTTGCTTTCTCAGGCAGCTTGCATGCAGCAAGCTCGCTGATGACGTTGGGAAGCTGGAGGCCAGATGTTTGGCACACGGCGTGGTTGACAGACATATCCGATGTTTCAAGGTTATAAAAGCAAGGCATGCCTTTCAACTTCTTACAATGTCTTATGTGGTTCGGGGTGCCATCTTTTCTGGTTTTGTTGTTCCTGGGTCGCAGCTTGGAAGAGCGGCCAGGTCTTCAAGGAAGCCACGGAAACCTCTTTGAAGTCCGTGCAGGAGGAGCTTGCAGGAGTGGGCAGCTTGCGATGGATCATGTATCTTCCTCGTTCACGCGGAGGTCCGCGTGCTCTTGCCTACGCTTTCTTGTTCAGACGCTTGCAGTTGAGCCTGTTTACACGCGTTCCGGCTTTGGCTGCCTGCCTGCCTGCCTGCCTGCCTGCCTGCCTGCCTGCCTGCCTGCCTGCCTGCCTGCCTGCCTGCCTGCCTGCCTGCCAAGTTGTTTTGTAAGTTAAGCGCATTTCTTCCATCGGTAACATTGGCCAACATCCTCCTCTATGCATTAGGCAAACTCAAGCTGCAGTGGATAGTGATGTCGCATGTGCCAGGAGCAGCCGCAAAAGTTGCGGCCGGCTACACCAAGGATGTCATTGAGCGAGTGCGACCGCTGGCCGGGCTTCCTAGTCCAGCCTGCCTGACGCACGGAATTCCCATCCTCCCTCCAGCCTTCCATTCCAAGTTTGATCCTTACATTTTATGACGTTCATGGAAACTTGTTCACAGTCGCCTGCAACGCCAACTTGTCCTTGGTCTGAGGCAGAAGCAGAGGCGGAAGCAGGCTCGGGCCAAAATACAGAGCCTTGAAGCAGCACAGGATTGGTTTAGGACCGCATTCCCTGGCAGGCGGCCCAGATGCAAAGTCGGCCAAGGAGCAAGTGGAAGTCGTCAGCAACGCTTGCGACCAGGCGGGCTTGACGCTGGCCTTGTCCATGGCAAAGGGAATTCGAACGGCATTCCATCCTGCTCTACGCTCCAGAAAATCCTGCGCTTCGCGTGAGGGACGAGGAACAGGCAATAACATAAGAAGCTCGCATTTGGAAGAAATAGAATCCACAAGAGGCAAAAGAAGAATCATATGTCATCAAAGCAAATCAACAGAATCGAACTAGAGAGCTCTTGGATCCAGGGTGATTTGGCCATTTCGTCTGTTCCTTGACTGGTTTTTATGACATTCCCAAGGTACCACCTCTCCATTTCTCTCTGGATCACCTTGGAAGTGACTGAGCGAATGAACAGAGAGAGTGGGAGCGAAGAGAGCAGACATAAGAGTTCCATGTCATTATCGAATTATCGCCTTTTTTTGTTTGATATACTTCTTGTTACTTTATCTTGACCATTTCTCAAAGTGTATGTAATCTTAGAAGCAGTAATTATTATGTGAGAGCCATCTTTCCACACCTCATCTCTACATCAGAAATCAAAAGGTGGCATCTTGGTCTCTCGCGCCAAGTCTCGCCGTAAGAACTAAGAAGAGATGGATAGAGGGCCGAAAGAGCTAGCAACATATGATTATTGATAAAGCTGATAATTTGCTACTCACGATTCCTCGTCCACATCTGTTTTTAGGCCAAACGCGCCCATCGAAGCTCGTGCGGCGACCACAGGGTCTCTCCGGCCCTTTCGTAGGTGAAGGCGCAGCTTGGGCAGCTTGAAGCTGAGCTGAAGGAGAGGATGAGCCAGCTGGAGGCTGGCAGCTCTGATCAGCTCCCTCGAGGCAGCAATGTCATGCTTGTGGTTGGCTTGCCAGGAGTCCTTCCAGCCATTGCTGGGCAAGGAGCTGGGGATGCTGGAGCCAGGGAAGCTGGAGACGCTACAGCAGCTGGAAGCGCAAGTCGCGCAACTGACGGAGCAGGCCCAGCGGGCGGAGCAGCAGGCGGAGCAGGCGAAGCAGGAGCCGACAGACGGCCACACGGCCGCGGCCGCGGCGAGCGCGCCGAAGGCCGACGCCGAGGTCGGAGATGCGACGGCCGAAGCTGCAGGCAAAGCCGCAGATGCCGCGTCAGAGAGGGAAGCAGTCGCTTTCACTGCAAGAGAGACAGGAAATGAGGCAGCCTCGAGCGAGCGTTTCGCCAAGCTGGAGGGAGAAGTGCAAGCCTTGACACAGTCTGTTGGCATCCTGTCCCTTGCAGTTGAAGCCTCGCAGAGCGTGCCGGGTGGCACGCAGGGCGCTGCGGAAAGTGGTGCATCGGATATATCGGATGCTGCCATGTTAGCCGCTGCCACGTCAGCCGCTTCACAGGCTCCGCAGAGTTTCCTTTGCTTGCATTACTTGTGCAAGATTATTTGCCGGTTTATTGACGGCACTCGCTTGTGTTTGGTAGCGCGCGGCAGTGTAGGCTTGCATCTTGCGCATCTTCCCGCGTCAGGCGAGGCCGGGCTCACGATCCGGGGAGCTGGAGCAGTTGCGGCAGCGCGTGGATGGCTTGGAGCTCCGCGTCGCGGCGCTGGAGGCAGCCCCAAGGCCCGGAGAAGCTGCAGAAGTGGCGCCGCAAGAGGCACCTATCGCGCAGCCGGGCGCAGAGCTGCACGCGCAGGATGGAGGGACGGAGGTAGAAGGCGGTAAGAAGGACCAAGCAGTGGACATGAAAGAACAGGAGCAGGAGAAAGAGAAGGAGGAGGATACAAAAGACGAGGCAGACAGGAACCAGGTGGAAGACAGGAGGGAGGAGCAAAACAGAAGCAATGAGGACGACAGCAATGAAGAGGCTCGAAATGGTTCGAAGAAGGAACACCAGGAACCAGCCGAGGATCCAGGAGTTGTGACTTCCAAAGGTTCATTCAACCGACTTTGGTACTTGTTTGTTTTGTGTGATTTGACTCGAAGACGGGTCCCCCCGGGTTGGGTATGTTTAGAAGCCTTCTTGTTTTTCAGGCTGAGTCTGGCTCCCTTGCGAGTGGTCTTGCCAATCGGGAACAACCACCCGGTTGCCTGAAATCAACCAAGCTGCCCAAAGTCTGGCGCAAGGAACTGACTGTCCCGAGCCCGAAGCAGAAGTTCAAGCAGAGCGACCACCCAGCGTGCCTCCGCTGCGACTTCCTGTGACGGCACCCGCCTTGATGCCTCAAGTGGCCAATTATCTTGACGAGCACAGGCAGCTGGATGAGAAGCCACTGTGCTGACCTAGTATGCGTTGCAACGTTTTAATGCTCAGCCGACTGGTTTGGGGTTGCTAGATTTGAAGTGGCATCCGACCTCCGCAACCGGACCGCCCTCATGCTGACAGAGCCTGGGAGCGAGAGATGTGACAGAGCCTCTGACAGACAGCTTTGACGCGCAGCCGCGACAAGAGCCTAAAGCTTCCGCCAGCGACCGGGCCCATCCATAGCAGCCCGAAGCTTGAGGCTCCGGCCAGTGGCCTCCCGCCAGCGACAGCCCGAAGACCGAGGCTGGAACGAAATCTGACAGCCCAAAGCAAGCGCCCGCGAGACAGCCACGACAGCCCAGCCTCTCAGTGGCCCGGACAGCCCGCGTCGAAAGCTTGAAAGCTTGGTCTTGCTTTAAGAGATGGAGAGAGATGCAGCGCGGGAAAGAGCGTGGTATGTCTTAGGTGAGGATCGTTCGAAGGAAAGATACTTAAGATTGAAGAAAACAAGCAGCTGCGGCATGCTGAACTTCTGCTCGGCTTCTGCCTTGTTATTTTAGCTTGGGATTGCTGCAGGCCACTTGCATTTGGCAGGCTGTTGTGATGAATGACTTGTTGCAAGCAGGTGGGGGGGAGTTGTAATTCTTTCTTTGTTCCCACAGCCTCCCAGCCCAGGTTAGGCGAGCTCCAGTGCTTGAGCCCGCAGAATGAGATGCTCTCGGGCATTGTCAAGGCCCGCATTAGCAAGTCAACGGCTGCATGAAATTGCAAACTAAGGGTGTTGTAACCATTATAACCCCGGCCCGGCAAGCAGTTTTTTTCAAGTGTATTTTTTTTAGGGTTCTTGCGGCTAAGCTGCGCGAGGGCCGTCAACACTTTCAATCGTGGCCCTCAGGATGTTAGGCACTGCCTAAAGCGCTGCGAGCTTCTCTTCCAGCTGCCAGAGATCAAAGCATTCATCAAGCGGTTTCAGGCTTCGCTGCAGGCGTGCGGCATGCGTCAAGATTCCTTGGATTGGGGAGGGGATGTCTTCAAAGCCCAAGTTGTGGGATGATAAGGAAAACACCGTCACCTAAACGAATTAGGGGTTAGCGCCGGTGTTCTCTGGTGCTGTTTGGTCCTTTGTGTTCAATCATTCACAGGTGAGTCCTGGTTTAGTATGCGGCATGCGTTTAGCATTGGTTTAGTAAGGCAGATAGCTTGTGGGTACCTTGGTGAAAACACACATGACTCCAGGGTGGAATCGTGCTGCCGGATCAGTCTTGGTTTGGTATTATAGCACCGGTTTAGCGTTGGATGAGCGTTGGTTTAGTATTGCGGGGGACAGCCAGATTCAGTATTTCCTACCCTCGGTTTGGCAGCCACACTTTTCTCACCGAACCCAACACAACTTTCTTCATTTACTCTCTTCATTTACTCTCTTCTTCTTTTTGAGGTGGTGAATACTTTGGCCGGAAGAGGCAGTACTCACTGTAAGCCAGTGTGTTCCATGGCTAACCTTTCTGCTTTTGTCGTGGTATCGCAGTTTGGCGCGGAGGTGAACGCAGTTTTGCAAGATGACTGGCTCGGGCCGCCAGCAACAAGGCCTCGAGCTTTGTTTGAAGAGGAGCCTCCGAAACCCAATATCGAGCATAGCAAGTCGGTCGGAGACCTCACGGCAGTGGCCGCAGATCCCTTCCACGCGCGGGTGAAGAAGGGAGAGTTCAACAAACGGCCCTTTCGCACGGTGAATGACTGGGCCCGACCACACACGCCCTTGACGCTGGATCCAAAAGTGAAAGTGTCAAGCCCAACACTTCCCGAGATACAGCGGTGAGCTGATGGATAGTTTAGTTGTTTTTCCCGTAGGTACTTGAACTAGGAGCCAGTGTAGAGTCAGACCTTTAGCATGCCCATGAGACAAGGACCACAAAAAGTGGCAGCCTACTCTTTGTGGGCCACCTGTGTCACCCACACCTGGGATGAGATGCCATGCTGCCAGGAGGCAAGCCTCCCAAAGTGCAATGTAACAGCGTGGCTGGAAAATAATGCAAGATGCTGCACCCATTCAGCAATGTGCTAGCATTTTGTCACTGAGCTTCTGCAAAACGTGTGCATGGCCTTGTCGGAGAGAGGGTTGCCCAACGCCCTCCCCAGGCCTTGCATGAACCAGATGCCATGCAGGCCAGGATGGATGACATGCTCTGGCCAGGCTTTCAAATTTGCTTTGACATTCTGCTGGCATGAGCCGTCAAGCTTGTGTGTGACTGTGGCTGTGGATCCCTGCCCTGAGCACCATACAGTGCAAGACATGCAGCCGTACTTTCAGCTTTGCAGAGCCTCGCTGCGGATTCACGTGCGGACCAAAAAACGCCGCCCGAAAGCACCAGGCTGAGCGGCAAGTATCGCTGCTTTGGCGTGGACGCCCTGTGCAGCTGAGCTGCCGACAGGATGCCGCCCGTGCGCAGGGAGGCGGGAGGACCATTTTTTTCTGCCCAAGGTGGCGAGACAGCTGAGCCACGTGCTCAAAACCCGGGTAGATGAAGGTTAGGAAGGGGCAGTCCCAGCCAGAAATAGTTGCGGATATCTGCCTTTGTTAATTCTATACATGGCTCTGGGTAGACCATTTTACTACCGGGTTTTGATTGTGACTCAGCTGTTGGTTTTCAGCTTTGCGCCAGGTCTGCTGTGGAGCTTCCCGGCTGCACGGTGAAGCAACGCTCCGGCCAACTGCCGACTGACTGTCCAGGCTCGGGAGTTCTACTGGCCAGATATCTCGCAATGTTCGGCCAGCCTCCTATGCATCGGCCCGGGTTGCAGCGCATTTGGCCATTCATCTCTAAACTTATGCTCAGTTGTTCAGTGGCACCCTTTTTCCTCTTTTTTTTGGGGGTGGTGGCTGCCCCACTAAAAATGGTCTTCCCCAAAAAGGGTTCTTTTTTTTCCTCCAGGGTCACTGAACAACTGAGTATTACTCTTACCGTTCAATCACTGCCATACTTTCGAGGTCTTGGCCAACCGAGACGTGAACGTCAACGAGTGCTTGCCACTTAGACAATGCTTTTTTTGTTGCGCCCTGCCCTAGTTTGCAACTTGTTGAGCAGTTAGGGCTGGACCTTCTGCCAGCCAGTCATGGGGGATTTTGGGGGCGAGGCTCGAGCTGGGCTGCGGTGCTGCAGCGCTGCCGTCCTTGATCTCTTCTGCATTGGGGGCTGATGTGCTGGCCACTGATTTGCCGGAGGCGGATGCACATGCTGCCATATGCTTTGCTTCCCGGTTTGCTTGCGGCGCTTTCCCTCTCCCGGAGTAGTGTCGCAAGTTTCCATGAAACTTCTCTGAGTCCCATCGGAGGTTATACCCTTGGCAGAGGAGAATGTACGCCGCAACTCAGCCATTGTTGGGGAGGAAGGCTGGGTGGCGCCGAAAACCATGGAATAAGACGCACAACTGAAGCGAGAAAGAACGTCACAGTCTCAGGACATGCTTTGTGTTGCGAAGGTTTGCGACTATCCAGCTTCGACTGGACAAAGGCGTGTGAACCAAGCCTCGTTGACTGCTTCACATTTTTCTGGTATTGGCAGGAAGCACCCTTTGACGTCGCATTCGACATGGTGCTTATGGCGGACCTTCTCTACGATCCCAGTTGTCAGGAGACTGGCAAGACGCGCCCATGTTTGCCATGTAAAGTCGGGGCGTGCCGGCGCTGCACAGGAGGAATTGGTACAATGCTTGGCTGGCTCCGCTTTGCTCTCAACAAGCAACTTTGGTACTGTTTGGTTGATCGACCAACGTTATGACCACTTATAACAGATGGCAGCTATCAGGGCGCAGAGGGCTGCTGGCAAACAGTGCGTGGGGCTTGCAGCGGTGTGGTGCTGAGGTCTGTCATGACGAGGGGCTGGTACTGCTGGCGTTCAAGGACAGATGTAGCAGGCAGAAGCATGGCACCGTGCTCATGGACAGGAACGCCATGTAGCAAGCCCAATGATGGTCAGGAGAGAGATGCGCTGATTGAGTGCTGTGCCCAGCATATGACACAACGATTCCCATGGCAAGTGGCAAAGCAGGTCGCGGTTCTTCCAGCACCTGGTGCAACTTGGAGTGCCGTGACAGCATATGGCGGACATTTTGCGGCATGGCCAGCAGCTGCCGACCTTGCAATGACCGTGCGCTGTGATCAGAGACGATGGTTGAATCCCGGGCTGCTTATCCCAATCTTGATTCTGGCGGGTTTCATGCAGACATGGTTTGGTTGGAGTGGTCAAAGGAGTCAAAAGTCTCACCATACATGAGCGCTAGGGGCATCACTTAGGTCCAGCCTAAGGCTTAGGCTGGACCTAAGTGATGCCCCTAGCACAGGAGGGCTCATGTATTTTCCTTCGGTACTGTTAAGGCCATTGTTCGGAGCGCGGCTCCGCCCTTCTGGCCCTGAGGCCAGTCAGCCAGAGTTTCTGGACATTTCGCCAGAGCTGGCGGAGGAGCGAGCGGCAAGCCAAGTCGGTTCTGAATTGGCTGTGGGTCAAAACCAATGGGATCCCATTTTGGGGTAGGTGCACCACCCAGTTTAGTCATTTTAGTGGGGATTGGGATGTTCACTGGGGACCCATGGCCAATTCTCCTCGAGTGTGGGCCTCTCACGTCTGCATTCGCGGCTGGGCACGGTATTGCGGGACACAGCGGGCAGCTGAATGCGTTGTTTGTCACTAGGGGTCTTGCTCCCACGCCTTGAGGGGAACACCATAGCGGAGGCAAATGCCACAATCATTCAATCATTTTTCCTTGGCTGGCGTTGGTTTTTAACACCTGCGTGCCACGATGGCTAGCCTTTTCATGCGCAATGCCAGTAATACTGTATGGAAATGGACCTACTTTGCTTCGTCAGCAGCCGCTACAATGGGCCCGACTTGCGTAGGGTTCTTATTGCTGTGGCCTCGAACTGGGGTTCTGTAGGGTTCCGTTCCAAGCCATATGCTTGGCACTTGAGCCTGTTCGGAACGCTGCGACCTATCCAGCGCCAGCCAATGGGCGGCATTCACACGTGCCAGCCTCTTTCCCCCCTTTTCCCTGACCCCTATTTCCCTTGTGTCAGCGGTAGGACTTGGAGGTGAAGCAACTTCGCCTTTGCAAGGCGGGAGTTGGCCTTCAGGCACATTTCGAAGGGCTGACTCTGTTCTACTGGCAAGGGATTTCGGGAGAGATTGCCTCACCGCCCTGACATAGGATGCAATGTCGGATCAATAAAACGCTTTGCTGGCAGGTATCCTTCCAAGCTGGCGAGGTCAGCGCTTTTCCAATCCACTGCAATCGAGCATGCGTTTCGCACATGAGGTTGCCGTCATGCGTTTTCATTTTCTACCATGAACCGCAGCTTTGCCGTAGGCTTGCCAAAAAGCATCGGAGGTGGATGGGCTGTACTTGTGATGGAAAAGTGAGCAACCCATCGGCCGAGCACCGACTTGCACAGCATGGATTTGAATCAACGCGCAAGCTGCTCTTTGCCTCGCCTGTCGCGCGGCCTCAGCTGCAGCGGTGTAGGCGTAGGCGTAGAGTTTGGAAGGGCGCCATGAGGTTAATGACCCACAATGTGCTGCAATGTGTTGCTGTCACAGTTGCAGCTGTGAGCGCGATCAGGCTGTGGGCTGAAAGCAGAGTGGAACATGGGATGCCAGGCAACAAGAAGGGCGTGCAGAACGGGTTCCCACTCATCATCAAAGCCACGTCCATGAAATACGAGGCTCTCATGCTGGTGCTTTGAGTGCTGAGTTCTTGTCATTTGGGCCGGCCACCAGCTAGCTGTAGGAGACACCTTTCGACAAGAGCTTTGTGAGCGCCATGATCCCTAAGATCGAGTACCATGCACTACTCAAGGTTGGCAATCCGAATGTGGTGTTTTGGCACATTTGTGATGTGCGCTTGCTTTTCCTGAGCATCGGAAAATTCATCAAGCGTGCCCCGGGTCTCAAGTTCACTCGTACTCCGACAATTCAACTTGTCATCGAATTGTCTACTAACTACAAAGGCCCAATGTGTGAATTGTGGGTTTCCAGCTGTTTGATCAGGGACCGAGCTGGTGAAAGATCTGCCAGGCGGTCTCCGAAGTTCAGCAGTGTCCAAACATCGCGGGCATGGACAAGCCGACGCCTGAGTTGTTTTTTAGGTGACACTTGCAACTTGAAACCCGCCAAGCCACTAGGCTTGGTTCCCTCCCAGTGCTGCCGCTGGCCATGCCAGCAAACCCTGCTGCTTGCCTCAAGCGGATCGCACGCAACCGACTCCCCTTTCGGCGTTTCACTTACTGCTTGACTCATCGGGGTGCGAGTTGCAACGAGCGTTTTGGAGAGAACAACCGAGTTGTGGTGCCCAGACGAAAGGTTGCGGTGCGCTCCCCAAATGTCTGGAGCACTTCAGGATGAGGACGAGGACTTTCTGAGGAGGCTACATGTAAAAGGCTCAGCTGCGGCCGCATTGAAGTTGCATTTAGTAGACTCTCAGCTTGGACGATCATTCTTCTCCTTTGCACAGAGCTTTTTCCTTGTAGGAGGTTTTTTTTTTGCTATACGTGTTGAAGACACTGGTGCAAAGAGAACTGTAGCCACGAGCCCGTCAAGCTGGCTGTGTACCGGCTATGATTTGGCTCTGTGACCCCGACACATTGTAAGCATTTCAGCACGCAGCTCATTGGCAGACTGAGGGGCTTCGCAGACAGGCAGCGTTTGCTAGCGAGAGAGTTAAATTGACCATGCTAAGACTGTACTCTTCGACCTTTCTATGCTAGAGGGGGAGCTGGTTTGCGGCGCCCTGAGCTGTTTCACGCCGGATTGTGCCATGCTGAGATGTGACGCAAAGCTCATAGTTCCATCGAAGGGCCTTTTCAAAGCCAACGTGACAGACATGTACTCAGGTCCAGAGTCAGGCCGAGTGTTTCCTGTAAATGTGCAGGCCTCAAATTCAGGGTGTTGCGCGAACCAGCTCTTGTGCTTTGTACCTAGGGAAGGCATCTGCTTTGAGGTAGCAGGTTTTACATGTCATGCTACTTCCATTTTGTCCGCGCTACGTGTCCTATCCTGCCCAAACCCAAGGATGGCATCCCCAACATGCTGCTCAACGATGATGAGGTGTAAGTCATGTTGGGCCGACTTGTTAACGCACCGAGGGCCTCAGGGCGCTTTGCAAAAAAAACAAGCTTACACAGCTGCTTTGGCACAATGCAGTGGCAAGCTTCTGGGTGATGTACTTTACTGGGGCAGAGCTTGCACGGGCATTGCAATCTTGCCATTTTACACAGTGAGCGCGCTTCCGGCTATAGCTGGAGTTTCTACCATCGGGGATGACGGGCAACGCAGCTGCCAGCAAGCAATCTGAAGTGCAATACCGAACCACCCCATATTCTCCCGATAGGCCAGCGAATCGAGGGAGGAAGTTGCCTAGCATGGATGGCTGCTAGAGCATGCAGACCAATCTTCCTTCGGGCGTGCAGGCGCTTTGCCTTCAGTTCACAGACACGTCCACCAGACCTGGCTGCATTCCTGGCTCTCAGGCCCTCCGCTTGCAGCAGTTTGGATGGAAGCCAGCCTGGGCCAAACCCGAGAGGACCGGAGCAGTGGGATTCTGCGCATGCCTCGCACTTAACGCAGGACAGTCCAACTCGAAGTGGAGGCTCCCGGCTCCCCGGTGTCGGTCTGCATAACCAGGGCGTTGGTTTGCATTGCCGCTTACCTTCGCCTGCCAGGACGAGGAGGCCTGGCCAGAAGCTATCCTTTGTCGCCTGGCGAGGCAGTTGGTTTCGTCTTGCCAGATACCATTCGCCCGCATCCTGGAGCAAATCAGCAAGGCAGGCCCTGAAGAGCCGCAGCTTGTGGTTCAATGAGGGCGCCAGGGTGCTAAGGCTGAGGTCTTCCCCCTTGGCCTTTGAAGCCTATTACCCGCGGTCTCGCGGGTCAGGCAAATGCCAAGCGGAGCGGCTGTGCGCCGAAAGCCTGAGTCTTGAAATCAGTCTTTGTTCGAGGGCAAAATTTCACTGTGAGCAGTTTCAGCAGGGCTCCGCCTTCTGAGATTCTGAGACACACGAGCGACTGGCGATGAGGTGCTTCCCGATGTCAGCGCTTGGGACACAGCGGGGGGCCAAGTGTCCATAGAGTAGCTTTTGCGAGGCAAAAGCGCAACGAGGCAGCTAGGCGGTTCAAGCCACCCCCAAGCAGTTTTGCCGTTGTCACAAGTTGGCCCGGCCCCAAGAAAAAGCACATGGACGTCGGCTTTGACTAGGTCAAACCTGTAAACCCTTTTGGGACGCAGCGCTTTCCATGCAGCACCTGGTGTCATCCTAGCCGCCGTGGATGTAACATGTGGTCTCCAAGTCCAAGAGCCACGGCTCGAACTCTCTCCCGTCAGTCATTGCATATAGTGTCGGGATTGCCCGAGATGTTGAAATGCATCGGTTCACACTGTTTTATATGTTTTATATGTTTGCATGTGTGCAAAGGGTGTTTGCTTTTGAACCATTTGATCATTGAAGCAATGTTGTTGCTCAGCCGTGGCAGGACAGCATGGAGTCAGACGAGCCGGCGCTGCTAAGCAAGCAGCCGCTGCCACAGCTTTTGCAGCCATATGGGTGTGGGTCGAAATTAAACCACCAGGATCACCAGGGGACAGCAGATTTTAGTCCTTGGTTCCATTTACCAGGCTTCTATTTTGGGTACCCATTTTTGACCCACAGCCATGTGGCTATGTCAGAGCTCATGACAGCTATTTGCGATTGGTTTCTTCCCATGAGTGCGGCAGTAGTCCTGCGAGGCATGATGGCGGCATGGCTGCACCAAAAGCGAAGCCCCACATTGCGCCTCCTCGCCCCGTTGGGGAGTGGCCTTGGTCAATATGGTCGCAGGCCGAAATGCTTGCGCTGGCTTGGGCGTTCGGAGAGTTGGCATGATTTGACGTGTGGCAGTGTCAAATGTCTCAGGTTGTGGCAAAATGTCAAAGGTTGTGATTGACAGGTTGTGACATGATTGACATATATATATATATATTGTGGTATTGGCTTGTCTTGCAAGATCGGTGGCTGTGAAGCTGCAATCCGGGTGCAACCGGCCAATCCAGGTCTGCCGGCCTTTCACCCCGGACACTGTGGTCGGGTGTCAGCCTCGGGCCGTGTCGCTAGCGGCAATGGATGGGCGTCAGCCCGAGGACGCTGAAGCCTCGCCAGCTCAACCATTGGGAGGACTGGAGGGAGCCCCAAGCAGCCGAAGCTTCGGAGTGCACGGGTTATTTGGTAATGCTAGTAATCCTCTGCTTGCCAGGAGGCTCGCATTTTCTCTCCGAACAGAACGCCGGGAGCACAACAACAGCATGGATCCTTGCAATGCTCGGCTTTGAGTCTGTTCAGGTTTTGCTTGAAGCGTTTGCCGGGGCGGTTGCCCTATTATTCAAATTATATTTAAACCTGAATTTGAGGTTTTTATGGGAGATTCAGCTTCGAAGTTCTTTTCAACAACAAGCAAAGATTCAGTTTCTTTTGAACTAAGCTTCAGTTTCTAAGTTCTTTTCAGCAACAACAAGCAAAGATTCAGTTTCTAAGATTCAACAACAACAAACAAGTTCTTTCACCAGAATTCAAGAGGTTTTCATAGGAGATTCAGTTTCTAGGTTCTTTCCTCGGAAAAAATCGCTCGATTTTTCCACCGCCCAAAATGCTTTTCGCCAGGTGGCCGGCAGGCCCCAAGAGGGGCGCCCAGCCCGAGTTCTACGACGCCCGCCAGGGCCTGCCATGGCAGCCGGTCAGCTGGAAACACTCCGGCGAGCGCGGCGCTCAGCGCCGCTCAGCGCCGCCCAACGCCGGAGCCCGGATGTTTTTTGTTTTTTTCCCCGAAGATATCGGGTTCGGCGGCAAAGAAGTTGGAGCTGTTGAACTGTTTGGTTGCAAAGGTTAGGGAGTTTGTCGCAAGCAACTTTCACTGCACTGAGACCTCCCCCCTCTAAAGGGGTCTCTTGAGTTAGGCCTGCGCTTTGCAAGGGGATGTAAAAAAAAAGCGTGGCTGCGACAATACAGCAGCCCCTCCGCCAGGATCATGCGACACTTTACAGCTTCGAATGCCTAAGGAGTTTCGGTGGGCCACCACCTCTGAAGCGGAGACCCTGCCAATCACCTAGTTTCCAGCGCAAGCTGAACTGCCCGGAGTTGAAGCCCTGTCGTCGGGACCAGTGCCACGGAAACCAAGCTGCATCCTAGGCTCTGCCGGCATTCGAGGCTCCAAAACGGCCGCTGACCCAGCTGGGCCTTTTCAATTTTCCACTTGGCCACTCCAAGGCGCCCTCGAGCAGAGTTCGGCCAACCTCCGCCGGCTGCTCAACTTCCGGGATGGATGTTTGCCGACCGATTTGGCTTTTGCGATTGGGCTGCTGCATCTGATCACGTAGCGTTTTATACTGCAGCATTCCGTGCTCATGCTTTTTTAAGATATGAACGATTCGTGTTCTGTGATGGTGCTTTGTAGATCCAGTGTTTTGCACAGCCCGAGGCAATCGGCAACCCTTGTAATCCGGAGTCTCCACGATATTCGAGCCATTGCCGGCAACCGCGCATCATGCGGAACACATGGCCATGGATCAAAATCCAAATCGTACCCCAAGTGAACATCCCAATCCCCACTAAAATAGGTTCTGAAATGGGTGGTGAATTCACCTACCAACCAAAATGGGATCCCAAAACGGTGTTGACAACCACGGCCACAGGTGTCAGCTTAGCCCTCCCAGCTTGAAGCCCGAAGCCCTCAGCGCGTCCGGTCACCAGCGTGCGCTATGGCGGTCCGCACGGACCTCACGCCGGGCCACTACCGCGGCTTCGTGCGCCAGGACGAGGAGTGGCCTGAGGACTCCGAGCAGTACCGCGCGGGCTGCGAGATCCAGCGCCTTTGTTTGGATCACTGGTCCAAAAAGCGAACCGACCTTGTGGAACCTTTGTTGTTTTGTTTTCTTGTTTTTTTTTTTTTTTTTTTTCTTTCTATGTTTGCATCACTTGTCCAAACCGAATGGACCTTGTGGAACCTTTTGGGTCTTCTCTTTTTGGTGCTTTTTGCCGGTCATGGCCCCAAAAAGGCGAACCGTTTGCTTCCAAGCCAGTTGGAGAAGTGAGTGTCAGCTACCCCTTGGGCTTTTTGGGCCCGGTGGTTTGGATGCGGATTTGAACGGACCAATCCAAACCACGAATCCAAACCACCAATTGTGGGGAAGCTGATAGCATTTGTAGCTCTCTACATGTGGCTGTGGGTCAAGACCCTGTCCTGGTGAACATCAGTATAGGTGGCAAATGGATGTTCATCCACAAAATGGACAGATGGCTCTGGGAAACAAACCGGGCCTGTTTGTTTTCAGGGTAGCCTTTTTGGGGCTGGCTTAAAGGGAAACCAAAAGGAAGCCAACTTTTTTTTGGGGGGGCTGCCCGGCTCCCCTACGATGGTTTGGTTGGCCGGAGTTGTGAAAGCCAAGCTCGGTCTCGAGGAACCGCAAGCGGCCTCCGCCCGATGAGGTGCCGGGGGATGTCTTCGATCGGCAACGGGTGATCCCAGGCTTCGACCAAGCCCTGATTGAGCGGCAGGCGCTGCGAACATGGGGGCCATGCCTGTTCCACTGGTTTGCTTTCAATCTCTTCCGATGCAGGGCACGTGGTTGTAGTTCCAAGCGCTGTGAATCATCAAACGTTGGATTCCTGCTGTTAACCTCAGTTGTCCAGATTTAATCAAGGTCCCAAAAGGTTAACCTCCTATTTCTGGGTCCTTTGGGAAACTGAGTAGTTTTCTTTGAGCAGGTTTGCTTGGTGCTCGGCGCCGGTGGAGTTGGACAGAATGTGGCGCTCACGCTGGCCCGGCTGGGCGTGCCGAAGCGCAGAAAGATACCGAGGGCCGGTACTGCCTTCGTGTTTTTTTGGTTGCCCCTGTTTTTATGTTCGGCTAGCAGTGGCAAGCGGGTTGAAAGCGCCACGTGTAAGTACTTGCTGAATAGGTAGGGTAGGTCGGACAAGTAATTGTACATATATGGATACATACAAACACATGTAGTCATAGGCGGTGTTTGTGAGAGCGTTTGCTGGGATCGAGTTCCCACAGCTTTGCTATGCTGAGGTTGCTAAAATTATTTTGGTGGACAGAGACACCTATGCGGCCAGCAACCTGACACGGCAGTGCTTGGGCAGCTTGGCAGACGTTGGCCGCAGGAAGGTGGATGTGGCGAAGGATGGGCTGCAGGCCGGATGCGGGCAACGGGCATGGCATGCTGGCAACGGGCATGCTGGATGCTGGGGGTTTGCGTGCCGCCCAGTTTGTTGCAGTTGACTCGCGCGAAGGCTCACAACCTTCGTTCAGAGATTGTGGCTGTGCACATCGATGCGGTCCTTGAGTGGGCTTCGGTGGTGAACCTTGCACGTCAGAGCACAGTGGTCTTCAACGCGATTGACGTCGGTGTGATGTGGGACTTTTGCGTCAACTCCCTCTGCAAGGAATTCGGAATTCCTCTGAGCGCCGGCCAGTCTTTCGGGTGGAAATTCATGACTGTGCCCTGGCTGGCCTGACCTGTTCTGGAATTTGGAAATCTGCGAAGTAGCCAGGCATGCCAAACTGAGGAACTCTACACCGGCCGGCCAGGAGAAGTTTGCGCCTTCTGCCTCTTGGATGCACACAGCCCCAAGGACCTATGTTGCGGCGTGCCACAGGTGAGCGAGTACCAGAGGATGCCCGATTCACAAACGAAAGGCCGGGTAATTAGCAGATTGCCGAAATTGTTCTTCCCCCTTGACTCAAAGGTCACTTGGCTAGCTGCCGAGACAGGATATTGAGGCAACAGGTGTTGCGCTCACCTGTTGGATTGTTGCAGCCCATCCTCAAGGGATGGCTTGAGGCTATGATTCGGTCACCTCCACCTTTGCCGCTGACGAGAGGGCCGTGACGCGTCCGGGCGGTCTCCTGGAACGCTTCAGGACCTTCACGTCGGCTGACGCATCGGCGCAGGAGATCGTGGCTTTCTTGGTCCAAGATCGGCGCCTGGGCTGTTAGGGGTCTGCTTCTTTTTTCCAGGGGATGCGTTTTGGGGGCACCGATGTCTTTTGCAGTATTTTGAAACCGCAGTAGTTCAGACACGTGCCATATGGCTACTAGATAAGCATGGTTGCGGGTTCAGATGCACAGAAAAGCAAACAACAAGCCAACAACACGGTAAAATGCAGCCCAGATCAAGGTTGGTAGGGGACATTAGGAGACAATCCCCGTTTGATTACGATTCCCAAAAGACTCTGAGTAAGTACCAATTCACAAGAGCGATATTTTTTTTGAGTACCAAAAACCACCCTCAGTAAATGCACAATTCATAAATTCAGCAGCTCAGCAACTTTGTCGGGGATTGAAATTCCAAAAACGCCGCGTTCTTTTTTTTTGCTTCTTTTTTTTTGGGGGGGTTTTTTAAAGACCTCAGCAACCATGTCGGGGATTCATTTGTGGTTGAAACAGAACCTCAAGTGTTTGAATCCTCACATTCACAATCACATATTCTCAGGAAATGCAACATTCTCAAAAACACATAACTTTAGAGCCTCAGGCTCAGTCCGCCGACATTGTTCTCTCCCTTTTCTCCTTCTTCCTCTCTGTCTTTTCTCCTCCCCCGTGTGTTCCCTCGTCCTCTGTCCCTCTCTGTCTCTCTCCTCCCCATCCTCCCAATCCTCTCTCACTCACTCACACTCTCTCTCTCTCTCTCCCTCTCTCTCTCTCTCTCCCTCTCTCTCTCTCTCTCTCTTTGTTTCTCTTTCTCTTTCTGTCTCTCTCTCTCCTTCCTCTCTATGCCTCCTCTCTCTCTGTCTTTCTCTCTCTCTCTCCCTCTCTCTTTCTCTCGCTCTCTCTCTCCCTCCTCTCTATGTCTCTATCTTTCTCTACCTCCTCGCTATGCCTCACTCTCCCGACCTCGTGTGTGTCTCTCCCCCCCCCCCCCCCCCGCGCTGCCTCTCTCTCTTTCCTCTCTCTTTCATCTTTCTTTCCTCTCTCTTTCCTCTCTCTTTCCTCTCTCTTTCCTCGCTCTTCTCTCTCTCTCTCTCTCTTTCTCGCTCTTTCTCTCTCTCTCTTTGTCTCTCTCTCTCTCTCTCTCTCTTTCGCGCTCTTTCTCTCTCTCTCTCTGTCACTCTCTCTCTCTGTCTCTCTCTGTCTCTTTCTCGATCTCTGTCTCGTTCGCTGACTCTTTCTCTGTCTCTGTTTCTCCCTCTTTCTCAGTCTCTGTCTCCGTCTCTGTCTTTCTATCTCTCTCTCTCTCTTTCTCTCTCGCTCTCTCTCTCTCTCTCTCTCTTTCTTTCTTTCTTTCTTTCTTTCTTTCTTTCTTTCTTTTTGTCTTTCTTTCTTTCTTTCTTTCTTTCTTTCTTTCTTTCTTTGTTTGCATTGCAGAGTCATGTCCCCCCTGAGTTGCCTCGATTTCCGTGCACTGCACCTTCATGACCCCTGAGTGGTCTTCGTACTACTGGCTTTGCCCTTGATTTCCCCTTCATGTCCTTTTCACGGCTCGTCATTTCCCAGGATGTCCTCGTCATGCCCCCTTCCATTCCTTTCAATTCCCCTTTCATGTCCCTGTCATTTTCTCGGTATGTCCGCTTCATTTTCCATGTATGTCCCTTTCTTTCATTGCCAGTCATTTCCCTATGTCTCCCTTCGCGCCCTTTGGTTTCCTTGTCCTTTGTCTGCCTTTCAGTCCCCCGACTCCCCTGTTCTCATTTCTTTCCCCTTCAGGTCCCTTTCAGTTCCCCTGGTGTCCCTTACATTTCCCTTTGCTGTCCTGTCATAGGTGATTACCGATACCCTGCACATACTTCGAGTCAGTACACGTGGCAGTGGTCATGATGTTGATCTTGGTGGCGTTGTTTACCCCTCCACGACTAGGCAAACATGTCACCAATGGGCCAGCTCAGCAAGCGGCCAGGCAATTCTCAAGCAGCCTGGAGCCTGTGCCTGGCTGATGTGTACGTGTGTTTGTGTTTGGGTGCTGGCATGAAGCCTAGGAACGCAGTACACATGGAGGTTTGCGCATTGCAGCTGCTTGCCCCCAAGCAGGATTTCTGCATGAGTGCAGGGTGGCATGCTGATATCTGCTGTGGAACTGGAGGATATAGGATCTCCGGCTGCAGACAGACTGCGCCTGTGCACAAGCTGACAGGAGATCCTGCAGCTGCGTTGCAGAAGCGAGACTGCAACCCATGCGCGGCGCTGAGTTTGGTTGCTCTGCGTGGCGCTTGACATAGTTGCTGCGTTCCCACGTGCGGTTTTTAGTGACCCACCAAGGTGCAACTTCTTCTTGAGTATTGCGACGGAGGCTCTG